GCTGAAACCTGCATTGCATTTTGCACAATATTTCTAACGAAATATACTTGTGTGTCGCATTTTATTCACTAAATAAAGGCTCATTGATCTAGAACGCTGAACGATATATGTGAATTCATCGACGACTATATTGCCTCGAAACCTGCAAGCTTCTTCAGCGTCGACATTCGTACGTTACCCGAGATATGGTGCAAGGTCACTGAAATCGGAGAAGAATATTCCCATGATCAAGTTCATCGCTCTCATAAAGAATATTTGGTGGCACTAAAAAGATGTCTGATTGCTAAATATTAAACAAGGCGACATCATACAATATACCAAGGGAACTAATTTGTTGTCTCCATGACAAAGGAATCGTACTTTGTGATTAATATACGAGCAATAAATAAAGTCTTAAAATTATTAACCAATTTGCAATGAAAAATCCAAAATGGACAGGGAACCGCGTTCGTATAACGGAAGCAATTAGGTTATTCATTCAATTATGATGTCAACTTGCGTATAGGATCTGGAGTGATGATTCGTTTCGGTACCCTAGATCGAACAGTTTATGTCTCGAATACTCATTTAATATGTGCCTGAGCCATGATTAAAAGCCTTTTTGTCACTTATCACGAATCATCTAACGTTGTCCAACACATTTCACTTTCCATTAGGTGCAAATCAATCAGAACATCCAAAATCAAAACGCAAATTGTTAGCTGCTCTACCATTCTGATACAAAGCGAATCACTGAGCACAAGTGGCAATACTAGCAAATGGCCTTAGTGACTCTTGTAAATCCATCCTACATTTCCCTTTAGATGTATACCTGCTGTGCTACTTGTCTATGCAACCGTATTTCATTCCGCTTTCGCACAGACTCATCGGCCTTTTTCAGCGATTTGAGCATGCATGTATCAGTTTACCCCGAACTCACAGACAATGGAAACAATCAATACCTGCCACAGCACATTCATCGTGCAAGGCCTTTTCTTCTCTTTGCAACTCTTATCTTACCCTGGTTGAAATACGTCATTTTGAGCACTACTGCCGTAAAAATTCCGTCCCTCACTCAAACATGGTCAAGCAATTTGTGTACATAAAATATCTTCACCCTGTAAAGACATTTTGCAAATCAACTCATATCAAATAACGGTGCGCAGACCTTCCAGCATTACTTCAAGGTATTCATAACTTTACAACTGTAAATGTGTACATGTAGAAACTTTCCCATTAGCGTTCAACCACCGCCGTGATAAACCCCTCGACATCTTTAAGTGCTCTGTGAAGTGTCAGCACTTAGGCAACTACTGAATCGCCCGAATTATGGCTGAGGTAACGGGTGAAATGAACATCCTGGGCGATACCGTCACCTGACCATCTAACAACTACTAGGCAATCCTATTGACATACGCGCCGACAAATACTTAGAAATATACAGTAGCCTTCCCAAACATCCCAAACTACCGTGAAGAAAAAAACGCTTCTACAAACACTCCAAACCGGACTGAAGAAGGAAAACCAAATGGGTGTGTAGCTAACATTGTATCTTCCGAGAATGCTGTGTGAAGGAACAATCACAGCTTTAGCCAGGCCGCCTATTTTTATTAAGGCGTAAGGATGTTCGAAAGGTGTTGAAATGCGTGATTCGTAGTGGAAGGATACACTGATGCGATTTCAGAAGAGAAAGGGAACCTACCATGTCTTCGAGACTACAACGTGGCAGCAGTACTATATCGCAATTTCCAAGCAATATATTCACCAATAAAAATAACAGATCGATGCCAACAAAGGTAGGAACACACGAGAAAAGGAAAATGAAGAGACGAAAAGGTAGAAAAGGCAAAAATGCTCTCTCAGTCAGTCATCAGTTATGAATCTTGATGGATTTTTCGCTCGGCGCGTAGCGAGGGCGCTTTGGCGGCTTGTGGACAACACCGAGCCATGGTCTTGAGGTCGCATTTTTATCACTTGTAAATATCTCTGTCTTCACAGGCACGTCTTCTTCAATAGGGATACTAATGGACTTATGCCTCGTGACGAGGACGAAGTTCCAGGCATCAAACTCCTTTTCGTTTACAAATTCAAGGCGTTCACGAATTCGCTTCTTCACATCACTGTACAACTCGCCGTTCCGCACACGCACAGTGAACGGCACGCCAAATGTTTCTGTACAGTCCTTATGAAAGTGTGCGGCGTTAATCACCAAATCATCCTGCTGCAAGTTCTCCTCATCCAAAGGAATCTCTTCAACTCTCAAACCCGAGTGAAGATTGTCAGTCAAATCGCTGTGCAGTGACACTAAAGACGTATCAATCTTCTCCAATGGATATGATTCGTCGTAAATTTGCATTATTCGGTTTGAGCGAATCTCCATTAGACGAAGCTTACCAGATCCAGACAGCGAAACGTGTGATCGGACTTCAGCAAGGATATCCGAAACAACACCGTTACCAGGTACAGATAGGGCGAGGTCCAAGCGATCTGAGAGACGGGGTCCGAAGAAGGCCACTTGTATTTGCTTTAGTGATTCCAGTTGTCTCACAGGAAGAGCAGTGTGGGCGTAGTAGACACGGCGAGGTGCGGGTGTATGAAAATTGTGATTGCTAAAAGGAGAAGGGGTAATTCTAGGAACTCCAGAGTAACGGGACACGCAGAGCGGAGGACGATCTTGAGCACCCGCATTGCCAGTCGGGTATTGAGTTGCAATAGTTGAAACGTTGGGAGGAAGCGATAGAAAATCACGGAGAGTTCCAGTTGTTGTCGAGGGGATTGGTGGACCTGGTGGTTCGCGGATAAGACCCTGGTGAGCAGCTGAGGCTAGCGCTCCAATTACATTGGCTGAGGCACCAACAAAACCTGAAGAAAATGTGCGGAAGATAGTGAAAACATCAACGTTGTCCGGTCTATTAAAAGCCATGATGACTTAGACGATTGTCTTTTATAGGGTAGCTGTGTTTAATGGTTGGCATAATTAGCATGTATGCGCACATTCCACCACGCCGCAATTCTAGATGTGAAGTTTTTTCAGCCATTTGCACGTCAACTCCTTGTGCAAGATCAATAAAAATTACCTGCATGAAAATAATGCGCATCAGACAATAGAAAGTTTAAAATAACTTGATTACAAGTGTAACCAACAACGGAGCCCCCAGATTTCAACTATTAGTGGAACACAGATAGATTCTGTGAACTAAAATCAAAGAAAATTCGTTTAATGTGCGAGTGGATATGCTACAAGTTGGAAACCGGTACCGCGAGGGGGGAACAGAGGAAATAATGACTCCTCAAATCGCTGTTGGAAACTAAACTTAAGTCCACTAACATAGAATTCGGAATATATTCTGTGGTAATGCAGCCCAAATCAGCCGATCACATTCAACATTAAAAAAGGACATCAAACCTGAGGCCCTCGCAGCTCGCGCTTGTTCGGATAGGACGGAGACGCCTCCGCTAGCACCGTTTGGTGAGTAGCAATTACCACTGCCAAACTCGTTGGACAGTGGGGGTGGGTTTGTAGCTACAGCATGGAGGTCCTGCTGGGGTCCACCTGCGCCCCCTTTGTTAGTAGTTGCGCTTACGGCGGTGGAGGTGACTGGTTGACAGGTGAAGAACTGCAAGTGGTCAGCCCGACCCGATAGGTAGCCCGCAGCAAGTTCTGCAAACGCGGAGTAAGACAGCCACGAGGAAACACGAATGAGGATACCAACATCTGACTTGCGCAACTTGTCCACGAGCAAAATGTCAACCTGAACAAAAGCAACGATGACCACGTCATATTTCATAGGTTCACTAAAAGAATACACGAGGATTGGTGGAATAACGCGATCGCATTAAAAAAACCAGCATTGAAGACAAGCGATTGTTGTAACAAAAGTGGACGGTTTGTCTACTAGATTCCTTCCATGTTCGGTGCACAAAAGTAGAGATGATGTGACCGCCAACAGTGCAGGCTGGTCAAAAACGTTGTTATCATTATACTCGAAAGGTACCGGTTCCAGATGAGACTTCACGTTGACTTTCTACCGCACTCAATAATAGCGCGCCCACCATGCTCAAAATTGAAGTTGCAAGAGCAGCGAACATTGTTCGGTTAAAGATGAGTTGCACTTGGATGATACCAAGAGCCTAAAGCCAGAACTTTGCGAAAAGTGTACCGCGTTTGCTGTCAAATGAGGCATAATCCTAATCAATCCGATGGACGCACAGATTTAGATGCTCACCAGCAAATAGTTGTACTAACTTAGCGTTCAAGTGCAATAGAAAGCCATTTCCAGAAAATCTTCCAACGGTGATTGGCTTGTCTAACGAGCATACGCAGCCGTACAGACCCAAGAATTATTCAATATAAGGGTGTAGGGATCGAGGCTAGCAGAGAAAGTTACCAGGAAGCGTAACAGATGTGGACAGAAGCAAAAACGGAAAGCGCACTCACCAGCCCAGCAGATGACTTAAGGTAATCAGCAAAGATGAGAGTCGATGAGAGAGGCTTCTCTGGCAGGCGCACCTCACGCCCGTCAATGGCCATTTTGTAAAGATGTAAACTCGCATCCTGAGGAATTTCATAACGCCGGTGGCTATGATTATTTCCCATTGAGTCCTCAATGCTGTTATTTGCCAACGAAGTTGCAAGCAACAATTGGTCCATCACTTCCTTGCCCTTTGACTGACTGGTATCAATCTAACGAATTACAAAAATGAACAAGACTTTGTGACAAAATACAACTCCAGACGACAGACAAAGGCTCTTGGGCTACAACTCATTGCAAAATCTGTTTCCACATTACACTACATAAGAACACTTTTCAGACAAGGCGAAAATTCATACGGAAAATCGAAAGTTTAAAAGGTACGTGAAAAATTAATATCTGCAACGACCTAACAGTAGGTAATGAACGTGAAAAAGGGATGTACTTCAATGACACTGTACTAAAGCAAAAAATGATTTCATAAGAAGATAATAACAGATGCAGGACTTTCACGCATGCCAATACAATTTTGATCAATCAGGCGAACCTAGATTGATGATGTCTTAAAGATTTCTAAGAGAAATTGCGTGGTCTTCTTGCAACAGAAAAAAGACTAATTGAAAGACAATTTAAACTTGGGCGTAAAATCTTAATTACAAGCTATTCAGTTTCAATGGAGAAAAATTAATACAAGAACTAATGTGAACATCGAAACTCACCAAAAAGCTTTGTGAATCGACCATCGCGATCATAAAAACATATTTTCTTCTATAAGTTGGTATCTATTAGCATCACGATAAACTGTAGGTGAAATCTGCATTTAGATGCATGTAGCCGACTGAGTAACAATTAAAACCCGTTATTCTAAACGACAATTCTAATTGTGCTATGTATAACGAAATCATGTAGCCAGTTATCCATACACCCGAAGACTGTGGACGTCACCCAGTTGCGTGATTCGAGATAATACGTTCGTTTAAAAGTATAAAACACTGGATTTTTTACACTTCCTTCTAACACTACAATTAACAGGAGTAATTTGCATCCAGCTCCAAAAGAATCGCCAAAAAGAACGTAAATATATAGCGACTACATCAAAACTTCAGCCCCATTCTCACAAACCGTAAAAACCAGTAAGTAAAATGTGTTTGCAATTTTTCTACCTATTGCTTTGGCACAGTTGTGGACCGAATAAACTAGATCGGTTTTTTTATTTGTTACCATGCTTCGAAGTGAAACAACATTGCGATTAGGTTGATTGTTTCACAAAGAACAAATGTGCAAAAATGACTTACATTCTAGTGAATTTGTACATGTGCAACAGGTGTTATTTTTATGACTTTCAAGGTATTGGATAAACGGCATGACATACGTGGAAGCAAATGACTTCACCATGCTTAATGTGGCGAAGTGAAGAAGATAGATCAAGACGGTGCGGCTGCCCAGTAGCGTTCAACTGATAGAAGACAAGAGGTGCGTCAGGTGGCAGACCGACGCGCTCATTCAGGAAAGAGAGAGCATCCACTGGTCCTGAAAGCGGCAGCTCAGCGTGTCCACAGTAAGAAAGAGTGCAGAGGCGAGGGTCATAGTACTTAAAGAATAAGAGACGTGACTCATTGGGATGAACGACGGGGGGTGCACCCAGATCCCGACGATGAACCCAAAGCGTCAATATACTGTCTGCCGAGAGGTCGGCGGGGATTTGGGGACTGAAATCGACCGCGCCGCCTGCCTTACTACAAGGAAAAGTTAATCAAAAAATTCAAGCCATCTGAGTAAAAATTTGCACCTAAATATTCAGATTCTAGGGCAACAAGAAAAGTTGGCGTCCTTGGGGGTGAAAAAAATTGTGGTAGATATACAAATTGCCATTGAAGCCAAATTAAATATTCGACGTAACAAATGCTAAAATTTAAGATTTGAAAATACAAAATCATTAATGATATTCATGAAATACACTGCCACACTAAATAAATGAAAGCATGCTTAGAGTGCATATAAAGACATCAAATCATGGGCTAAAAACGTATTTCGCAAGATGCAGAAATACAATTCAGATAAACTGGCAGCCAGCGGTAGAAAGGTATTTTGGTTGGTTATACTGGCCTCTTCTCAGGTCCAAAAATGAGCTCGGAATCGTAAGGCGAATAAAACCAAGTATTGGGGCCACAGAAAAAGAAAGATGCATTGCAAATATAGCGTAAACTCACCGCTGGCTGATACGCCACAGACAGAGATCTTGCAGCGGCCACTGTAGAAACTTGGCAACAGCCTCAAGCAACTTGTTACTATCAGTGCCCTGTCGAGGAACACGAACCGACCGAATCGGTATCTCATTGATTTGAAGGAGTTCAGGACCCTACATAACAATATTAACTCGTAGGCAACGCAAAATCGGTCTCACTAAACAGATGGAAAGGACTAATTCTTGAAGCCAGAAAACATATTTGATAAAAAAGGAGACGACATTTAGAAACGAGAACCCATTTGTTGCCGTCAGGCGTACTGGTATTGAAATCGATCAAGTATTCCGACCCAGCATCACGTTTCTCTTATTTAACAAGACCTTCGGTAATTATAAAGTCTTTCATACTACTCGAGTAGTTAAATGTCGTTTTGTGTTACAGTTAACGAAAACAAATTTAAAGCTATATTAGCCGCCATATTTTCCAAACCGCTTTACCTTAAGTGCAGTCCTGGAGATTTTGAGGATGGGATGGGATCAAAAAGACAATTTTAAGTTACGAAACATATTTCTGAGAAGCAAAAGAACACACTTTCAAGATAAGTTTCAGTTTCTATAAGCGTGTCTGAACGTTGGCTGCATGAGATCGCAAGTCACAGTAACCAAGCTATAGCAATTTAGCCAATGGAGTGTATGAAATTATATGGAAGTGGGCCCGTGTGGCGAATTCACTAATGTCATTAGTTAAAAATGGCAAGAGAAATTCATTTGAGTGTTACGTCATGGGGCCTTAAACTATAATTTTTATATCGAACAAGTATGACGGGATTAAGGACTTTTAAATCGGAGCAGGGACAAAAATCCCAATGCCGACGAGGCCAGAAAATCTGCTTCCATCGAATTGGGATCCGATGCAAATGCAACATTGCAATAGGGTGGGATGATACACCATGAATGATGCTGAGTGCTAAAAAGCGGTTAACTACGAGATAAATAACATATTGACAAAGGTAAAAGGTTACAATTTGAAGAAAACTAGATTATACAAAAAAAAGGAAAACTAGGGTGCTCCAGAGGATTTTCTGACTTCAAACAACTAAAGCTCTTCGACAATTTCAAGTACAGATCAAACCACGTGGATTTTAACCAGGCTCTTAAAGAGGGGATTACACAAACGACTCAACAATTTGGATTAAGTAAAAGCAAGCAATAAAATAACAATTTATGGAAATCAACCTCGAAGCCATAAAAGTCCTCCTCCAGAAGGAGATTGACTGTAGCAAATTCATGAGCACTGTCCTTTACGCGTCGTTTTTGTTCCTCAAGGGAACGGTCCTCTTGAAAGCGGTTGGAGAGACTAGTTGGAATAATTTCCTCAGTCACTGGACACAAAACTTCCTCCCGAGCATCACAAGCGATGTACACCAGCATGTAGGCGTTCGTGAAGGCCCTGCTATCGGGTTCATCGCTACCATAATTCTGAAGGGAGGAAATACACGTGACACTAAGTCAAACCCATCAACGTTGTCAAAGCCGGCTTTTGAACTACGCTTGGTGCGTCATTTCCCAGCCTGCTCCCCGTGCATTGATAAAGTAATTTAAAAGGCCTCAATAAGAACATACACAGGTCGAAAACAGATCAGACTGCTGCATTAAGAACGACTCAAAGAAAATGCAACCTACGGACGTACCCAAATATTTAATAAAGATATTTGGAACTGTATTTTTAAAGGATGTTCCTCGTTCAATTAAACTAGGTTTAACCGAAGTCGGATACGCACGCACTGCACTTTGGTTCAGTAAATTCATTCACTTCTGGGTGTGCTATGAATCGTACCAGTTCGACAATGATCGGTAAAATTGTGCTAGGCGTAAACCAATTTCATGAATTGCAGGAAAATAGAAATTCGTCATTTTAGTAATGACCTTTCCAGCTGTTAGAGCAAACAAATTTTACCGCTCGATGTTATTCAACAAGCAGACGATGTAATACAAGCTGCCCAGGTGTCGGTTGCCTACCATCATAGGGATATGAGGTTATCTCAGGAATGCTTGATAACATTTGTAAAAATCAAAACAGGAAGAAGAAAAAAACGAATTGACGACAATATATAATTAATGATACACGAACTGACCTGTTCGATCGCGTCTTTTGGCATACAACTGCACACAACATCATCATCAAATTGATACCACTTATTGTCTCCACGGGGATTGATATATACAACATAGTGCCCACCATGGTGATCCCCCGAGTGCACCAGAACCGCGTGCAAAAAGTACTTCGTATACTGCGGTTTGTCATCTGTTGTTCCTGACTCCTTAAGCAGATAATCACTCAGGTCTAACTCATATGGGAACTCAAAACGATCATTGATCTTGAAATTGGTATTGGACAAAAAGTCATATTGGAAGCGCATTAAATGCAAGTAAAGAACTGGTGGGAACCGCAAAAACCAGATGCCTTTCTCAGCATCCTGTAAACCGAATTTTCCCGCATCATACTTATTATCTTTATCCAGTGTCTCTACCTCCACGTACTCTTTAAAGGCCTCTTCAACGCCACGATTACCCTTCACCTTCAGTTGAATGTCATAAAACTCTTCTTCCCGCCTTGATTCGCAGTCCACGTTCTTGCATTTGATGTATGAAACCATGTTCCCACAAAACAGTCTTGGGATTATCGCTTCCACGTCCGTCCCTTTCATTTTGCTCTCCATGGTCTCCAGCAACACGCGACAGAGTTCCTGTGCGTCATGTTGCATGAAGGAGTCCAATGTGGTCCATCCGAAGCTTCGCGTAAGTTTTTCTGTCCCAATGGCCATGTCAGAACACTGCAGATCGAAGAACGTGCGCTGTAACGCAAGTGGCACGCTTGTGGCAATGTCGTCACTTTCTGTGGGCATCTGAAAGACGGCCTTGCGAAGCGCATTCGTGAAGTAGAAGGCCTGGAGTACGGAATTTAGGTAGCACGTCGCACCTTGGTTCTTTAGACCGACAAAACCAGTTAACTTTTTCGAGTCCCATTCAGCACCATGCGGGGCGTCCGCTTCAACATGAATGCGCGCACGAAGGGTTTTGTTCACCACATAACCACTGTCCGGGTTAAAGAGATCAGCATATGAAATGAAGGACTGGTAACCCCAGTCGTTCTCCTTAGCGGCGAATACATGGCGGATGGTGTACGTTTTACTCTGACCCTTAGTTTGCGACAGTAATTCAAGTTTGGCGCGACCGTAGCAAGTCCAGGTGGTCTGGGGACTATCAGCGTTGCACTGAAGAAACATTCCCATTGAAGGACGACTATCGGGGCGGGGGAAAACAATCAGGATTTTCCACGGGAGACAACGAATTATTACTGGGTTACTGAGTATCTAAAGAGAAGGCGAAAAGATATCTTATTCTGCGTCAGACAAATGGTGTATTTCGGTTAACACTAACACAACAGAGTGAGTGGCTCAAATTGTATGAATGGCTGAGTCTGAATATCAACGAGCTACAATAATACACCTGGGATCACAAAGTTTACGACTATTAACCTTGAAAATATGCCCTAGAAACTGGATACTACTAAGCTGTTAGCTAGATAATATTACCGACCACAATTAAATATAGAGTAATGGCTTAAATCCGTCTCATTTGAAATATACAAGCTTGCTGGTATAAATCATTGAATAGTTACGCAGAGAGAATGAGATTTATAGATCCTAAGCCCAACTAATTTTTTGGCTGAGGCAGATATATATTAGATAAACCAAACATACCCGACGTTCACTTTTAATTTCACAAATCTAAAATAGAGGAAAGTCAGTTTACACGAAACGTGGAAATGGAATAGGAAAAAAAAATGATTAAGACGAATTTGTAAAGTACGAAAGCCAACTGTAAACCCGATTGTGAAATCATGGAGAACATCCAACAGCTGTTTGATTACAAGAAATGATGTACAACTTTTAGCGTGGTGCGTAGGACCAAGCATTTCCGAAAGCGTTCAACTCATTGGGTGCAAACTCCGACAATAAACCCTGATATGCTGAATATCCTCACACATATGATGCTGCTTAAAGTAGAGCGGTACATTTCTTTATTTTGAACAGAGGATACCAAAACATGCCGGTTCAAAAACATGTATTTTTATCTAAATTCACGCTATTAACAAAAAATCAGACGAAACAACAATGGGGTTGAGCTCTCAGAAGAACAAAAGGTTGACCAGGCCATGGTTCAGCAGCTAAAATCGGTTTCAGTGGCTCATGTTACTGATAAATATGACACGTGCTCTTCAACACTGTGGGGAGAGAACCAGTATGCCTGGCGATAAACGCATGTCTGGAGACCAACCGTCAAATAGTATTAGTCTAAATATATCGAGTAAAACGTCTGTATAACATATTAGTCTGCTGACTTACCCGAGGGTCCTCGATGTTTGTGAATTCCCATTCTATAGTCCCCGACGGTCGAGCTGGATCTTCATAATCCTCACTAAGATCTTCGATTTGCGGATCCGGTGAGTCATTTTTTTTCAAGAGGTCCTTTAACAACAAAACAGGGCAAAATATGCGGCCAAACGTGCAGACTAGTGAAAAATATCTCGAAGTAGTTATATTGGGTACGGTGCAATCACCCAATCATTTTTATGCATTTCAATTACACCACCTTAATGCCAATTATTTCTGCCTGGTATCAAAAACTATACTATCGAAAATAAATCTTTGCCTAGTATGAAATTGTAAATCTACTACGACAACTTACCTAACATGATGCCTAATAAACACTTTACTAAGGAAAGGAAGAGCGGTCAAGGGACTAGGAATCAGTTGTGATTAGAAAGTATTCAAAGGACCCGTGTGCCACTGCGCCAGAAAAAGAGTAGGGCAATGTGGTTCAAAAACAGCTAATTTGTTAGTTTTTTTTCGCATCCAAAAAAAAAACTCACCTGTTTTTTACCAATTTGGGTGTCCGGGAACTGAAGAGACGAATCAGTTGTTCTTATTGCGTTGGAATTGAAGTCCAAATCCATAGATTCCTCACATCGATCGTCACCCTGTCCGGCCAGCTGTTTTAACGGCATTTTACCGATCTATTCCCTGAAATTATGAGGTGGCGAAATAGGCCGATAAACACGTCTTCGTCTAGATGCGATGTTATTGAAGAAAAGAAAGGTCTCGTATCATAACTTGAACAATTTCTTACAAGACTTAATTACCAGAATAAATAAAACCCCAGAGATGTACACTGCAGATTTATAAAACAATGCTCAACGCACAGGAGTTTCTCTGGCACCTATAGTTATCGATTTGATTTAAAGTATACCAATGAATAATACCACCAGCTACCAAATTGACTAACCCAATGAGCTACAATCAGCGTCTACCAGGTCAAAGCACCTTTGGAAATTTAAAAAACGGAACTAGCACTGGCGATTCAGCTTAATTACAACCACACAGCTCACTAAATAACACGACAGCAAATGGTGAGCACCTGTTTATGCACTACATTTTAAAAATGTGCCATTTTGGTGGATAACGCGGTTTCCTGAAACTTTATCCAGTAAGATTATTAAAAATTAAAACAGCGAAATATCACAAACAATCACACCGTGTGCCATCGATTAAACGCATGAGTAGGCACTCCACAAAATTGACTGACCAGCATCGCCCAATGTATGCATACAGGCCGCCGATTTTCCATAGAAGCTCAATTAAACGAACGAGATAAAGTGTTTTTAACTGAATTTATATTTTAGTAAGAATACTTTAATTCTGAATCAAACAAATTTGTTGATCAGTTTTATTAATTGATCGCATTGTTTAACATTAATCAGTGACAGAGCATTATCAAAAAATTATCCGTGGTTTCTTCGCATTTTTCAGGGAATAAATTTCCTGAATTGTGCAGATATGTGTACATACACATTAGGCAAAATACTGTAATGCATTATCAATTAATAAAGAAATGTCCTGCTTCTAAGAAAATCTGTTGAGATTTGTCACATATTTCCATTGGATGATTGAAATCATTGCATAGAAATCTCTATAATAGAAAGCAATTTATCAATAAAGCTCTTCTTATGCAAATAACTTTCATAGATCAATAGCTTGAACGTCAGTATCATTGCAAGATTTGCTAGATCTAGGTGCTACGAAGACAGACTAACATTCAGTAGCTTAGATAAGCATTAATTATTGACGTAGATTTGTGACTTGCAGATCATTACACCTAATTTTAGGCTAACAACGTTGTGTTAAGGATAGTTTTGTTTATATGTGACGTTTCTGGGCCTACGGCTGCTAAGATAGGGTTGCAATGAATCCAATGCAAACGAAATACACTTTGATAATGTAATCCCTTAAATTAATTAATAAAATAATTTTACATGCAAAAATCTTGTAAATGTTGTTTGATGGAAGCTTTTGTAGTACAAAAGCAGGTGCTAGATAAATCAAAGACATTTTTCGTTTTAAGTGTAGCACGTTTGTTTATTTACTTTTGGCATGGTAGCAGTCAAATACCGCTGGTTATAATTTACCCTATCATTAAATTAATTGTTAATTCTTGTGTTTTGTAAATACACATTTAAGTTGTGTGCTGTTGGCTGTTGTGGCTTCCCTTTTGATTTTTAAAGATGAGTTCTAAATTTTTCTTTTTTTTTACACGGACTTTTTTGAATGGCTTTAGCAGGTTTGCCAGTTGACAGCATTGTTCATTTGCATATTTAGTGTGAAAAAACTATTCAATTTCTCGTGTAAAACCCAAATAATAACTAGATTTTTAATTAAATGCACCCTCAAAAAGCTTTTACTGTTGCTCGAGCTTATAAGTATTCTACACCTTTGCCTGCTTAGAGCTGAACTTACATTACTGTTCTTTGACGTTCATTTTTATGTGGAAATTATTAATTTGCATGTTCTATCATCTTGAGTTGCTATGGAAACTTTGTTCAGTTTGATTCAATTAATCATAATAGTCTGATTTTCACCACCCTTAATTCAAAATATGTCCATTTGTTATCTCTCAATTCGAGTTAAGCTAGCTGCCGAAACACGTAAAAGAATTCCCTGCAGGCATTTGCACATTATATTATCGTTTAAAGTTTTTCTAATCTCGGCACCGCCTTGTAGATTATCTTGCTTAGAGTTTCAATTTTTTATTTCCTGTAAGGAAGAAATCTAAGCTTGAAAAGTGTCGCGTTTCTAAAAAGGGACCTTTGTCGAAAATTTTAAACTTGATGATTTTCAATATACATCTGATTCTGTTTTATTGTTGCTCCCTTGCCAACATGCCATAACATTTTTGCAGCATTACTCCTTATGATTAACTTGGTGGCGCATTTCAATTCATTCATAGGGAATAGATTTAGATGGTATTCGAAGTGCTAAATAGTGCCACATCTAACCAAAATTTTGAAATAACTAAAATTTGTTCAGAAATACGCAGTTCGACATACTATATTACACTAGTATTAATTTGATCATTATTTTTTCATTGCTAACAATTTTTATCCGATGTTTGGGTATTAAAACCAAGAATGCTATGTTTTGGTTTGAAGCAAATTACCTAGTCACACAACTTTCGTATTTTTAACTCATTTTATTCTCTGCTTTAGTTTTTTGCAAATATTACACTTAGCAATTTGAATGACCAATAATTTGTACTTCTTTTCCTTAATTAAAGGAAAACTCAAGAGTGAATTTTGCTGTTTAGGCAACCTTATACCTAAAATTATTGTAGGCTTGGCTCCAAAATATTTGTATTTGCTTTTTCGTTGCAATTTCATGGGGCAAAAGTCTTTTAAACTAATTTTTACGATATTTTGGTGATGTAGTATGGATAATGGACTCTCAACGTGATGTAGACAGTATATCCGTCAATGGGCCTAAATTTATGCATGGCAGTTTCACTATATTTTTTAATAGCCATTTCCTCTGCTGTTAATGGAATATACTGAATGCTCTTTTTAAAAGCAATAATGAGGACTCAAGTTGGGGTATCCAAGTTTAAACTATGATCAAATATAATCCCCAAAAAGGCTAGTTTTATTTCAAAAATTAAATATTTGAGCGAGAATAATATATTGACTGATATTTCCAAAAAATAGGGCGGTTTCTCTTCTACGAAAGTAGTAACGAATCTTTTTAAGTGTATCTGTGTTTAGGTTCGAGAAGTGTTTAAATGTCAAAGGCTAACTACAGTGTATGTGACTACTTTTATTCGCACAAAAACAGCGAATACAGGAAAAAGCCAGTAACAAAAATTTCAGTGCCCATTAAAAGTCTGTGACAATGCCGCGGGGATGTACTACCCATCAGATTCGTTCGTGTTTAACCGCCAAATGATCGCAAAGGTTATTAAGATTTGCAGAATGTCCTATCTCTCCCACAATGTCTGCCAATTTTACCCGCGTATCTAAGCGTATTTTGCAAATAGAGTGTTATGCAGGGATTTCACCACTATCTTCAGTCACTAAACTAGTATTAGCTCAACCATACTATTTGCTTATCTAGTTTATGTCCTAAGTACTCAGTAGAACTGGTTATCCGGCTGGTATGTTGAGTGCTGTTCCTCATCACATTTTGAACTAATTCACTGTGATTACTGGTGTACACCCTAGAAGCCACACGAATCCTTGAAGTTGACTTCAAATCCTAAGTAATGTCAAATTTATCATTTCTTTGCAGCCGTCCACAGTTACTAGTGCAATCTACCTGAGTCAGTGCAATGGCGTTTATGCCGCTTTTGAAGATGAAAATGGACGAGTTGTTCTTTCGTTGGCTGACTGATGCGACAACTCAAGCAGGCCTCAAACAAAGCCTCATTCTCCTCAAATCCAGCGATCTGGCAGGCGCAAGGAGAGCTGTCCAAAGGATTTTCGTGCCCAGCCCCCATGGGCGGTCTGGGCAGTCCAGCGGGAGTTCGTGCTCAGGTCCCGTCCTCTGTTCCCCCTGCGCCTCCCCTCGACCCAACACACCTCCCCACTTCCCCGCTGCTCACCGCCAACCTAATTCCCCCCGACGGTCACCCCTGCATTCCGTTGCAAAACATGCGGTTCGTATTTTTTGCATTTTTTTTTATTTTACACTTTGGTGCCTGCGTCTCTTACTACTCATCTGGTAGTAATTTATCGTTACCACAATTTGTTTAGTTTGTCTATCTTCATGATAACGGAAGTCGTGGTATAACTAGTGGTTGGATTTGAGCTTCGCCCTTAACTTTCTGTGCAGAATCATTAGTAAAGTATTATTTTTGTATCTGTCGTCTTCAACTTTTGCTTATGTCTATATGCGTGTTATTACGACGAAATGGTTTTTCCGTACCTTGGACTTGCCTCTCGAATGCGCCTTATATCACATCAGGGTGTAGTCATACCTATAAATTTCGGTACATGCCCATTCCCTTTACTGCAGAAGTCAGCATGTAGCACATGTGTGTACTTCTAAGCAATTAGTAGCCGTTATTCATCTGGAACACCTTCACATTCCCTAATTCGTTTTGCGTGTCGCGTAGTCATGTACGATCGGTTGATCTTTTATGGTTGTGAGGGACTTTATAATAATTATAATACCTGCGCTATTTTATGAAATAATTGGCTTCGTCTGTGGTGTTTTTTCTTCCTGATGCTTCATCTTTTTGTGCGTTTTGGCGGTTTGTACAAATCAGGCACGACCGTTGCCGCATTTTCAAGTTTCATTCCGCCAATAGCGGATTAATGTCCCATTTAAGTGAACAATTGATATGGAAGGCACTTAACTTTAGCTAGCATTGTCTACCCGGATAACCCCATTACTACCCTGCCCTGTGTCGCTTTTTTGGGAATATCCTGAAAGCTCATAGTCAGTATCAACCGAGTTCCCAAGGTCTCGGCTTCTAGAATTTCGTAACGTGGAGAGATAACGTCCCTGAGGTTTGTTGATTTCAGGAGGTTTTGTAGTAATACAAATCGCTTCATTTAACTTCATGCACCAATATTTTTCAAGATCCCATGAGTTGTCGCTGACTGGTTGGGTCGTTTTATGTGTTCTCGGAATTCATGTCACAATTAGGACATTCCTGACTGCTCTTATATTTTACCCCATCTTTCGAGAGAAAGGGTCCGGTGGACATGCACCGCCGTACCTCAGCAGAGCTGAGACCCACTGCACTCCCTTTCCCTATGCCTTTAGCTCGGCCACTTTGCGACACTTTGACGGCGTTAAACCCTGTGTACAATCGATTGGCCAATTACTTAATAGCTGATTGCATTTGCGCTTCTTGATTGGCTGACGCGTCCACTAGTAAGCCAATGAGGATGCGAAGTTGCTTGCGTGTAAATGGGCTGACACGCAAACTCACACACGCAGAAGCCGTAGAACATTTGCTGCCTTCGTGCGCACGCAGCCCCGCTGTTTGCGCAGCATGGCGATTGTCTTTCATCTCCCACCCAGGAATTACCAGTTTCTAGCCCTCCAGACTATCGTCTACTGGGCAATTGTCGCCGGTCACACCGCTTCCGGATACTCGCTCCTCATTGGTATACCCCTACTCCCTCTTCTCGTAGTTCAAATAATCCTACTTATGCATATGTGGACTAGTTTAGTAACAAAGAACCGATTCGGGCCCGTTGAGGCTCCCTCAGGACCCCTCGCATCCAGGAATACGAGCGAGCAAGCGCTGGCGCCGTGAAGGATATGAAGGGAGCTACAATTGCATTCCGCCGAGTTCAAAATGACCAACTATGTATTTTACCTTTTTTCACTTCCTTTTTCGTTATTTTCAGTTTGACTGTTACAGATTAATAAAATGTCGTGTCGCCCTTGGGGTAACCTGCACTCGAACTTGGTTTTCCTATCAGATGCCGTTCATTGTAGATATTCCTATAAAACGCATTTTTTTCGCATACGGTAATTTTATTGTGACATCTACACATTCAGGGTTTTTCATAAAAATGGTTGTCTCAATTTTCCACCTCATACCACCAGCAGATTGTGGGGCACCGCGAGCTATCAATATAATGTTCGATCTGTACTTGCTCAATAAATTCACTTTATGTATACCTTTGGGGCAAAATTAAATTTTCTACCGCTCTTTTAGTCACATTCTTTGAATCAAAATGAATGAGAATCAGGCCTTGACAAATTTTGCTAGTCTAAACAAAATTGTTGACCCGTTTTAAACATTATGCATTTCTGAACGCTTGGCTTTCCTTCAGGAATGTTTGGGCATTCGACACTGTAAATATGTGTTTGTGTTTTATTTCAATGTAAATCCACAACCCTCCGGCATACTGCTAATGTTGTGGCATCGATCGAACTTAATATCATAGCACATGCTATCACATGAATCGAACGAGACGAAAAACAAGCTTCCCGAGGCTTAAGGGAAGCATAAAATCAGCTAGGTGGGTGAAAAGTGACTGGTGTTTAAAAACGTCGGCTTCTCGATTCTGAAAGCTTTCTAAGCCATGCTTTGGTCGGGAGTACTCTGTGCGCTCCAGGAAGAGACTCAGCACCAAATTTTCGCAATTTCCATGTTGCCTCGTTATGCTACTTAATTATCTGCGAGCATAAGTTTGGGGTGTACAAGAGTACAGTTGGTCTCTTCGATCACCATAATTGCAAACTTTTGTATTTTTTTAAAGTGATCCTTCCATTGAGAGGTCCGGTTTGTCGGACCAATTTTGGGTGGTCTGAGGAAATATGGGTGAGTGATACCCATTCGGTCTGCTGCTTTCTGCAGATAAGACTCGTTTATTGACAGTTCATATCTACAAATAATTCCCTTCATCCGTTTTCTTACTAGTTTTGGGTAAACAGGAGTTCTCTTTTGGAATTGGATGGGTCTCCCAGATTCCATAAGTTGCGTGGAGGTGCACGCATCATAATGCGACTCTGTGTCGTGAAGTATTACCCCACGAAATCCTCTGATGCCAAAATAATTTCTATTAATGCTTGATGTTATAATTCGATTTAATCATGATCGTGTTCCATGGTACTATCTGGCACTGCTGAAGCCTGCTTGCACAGGCACAGGAAAACTAGTGGTCAATTCCCAATTTCCGAGCACGACATTCACTGCGTTTATTTCATCGCAGTTTCGCACCAGTAAACCCACTGGACGGTGGTTCGTGGTTTTTGATTGAGACATTTTGTCTCTTTTTTCCTGTTCTGCGTTTTTTTGCCGGTTCACGCCACCATGTTCCCAAGGCAGGTTAAAAGTACGTGGTTCGTGTTTTTTTTGCCGCTCCACGTTGTGAGAGCTACTTTTGCTAAATTCAGGGCGGATTCGGAGTTTATGGCAAGTCTGTGCAATTAAACCGCGCCCTTTCTTCAAGCCCTCGAACGTTCGGACGTACGTTTTAAGGAATTTCATTCTGAGTGTTTATCTTTTTCCATTCAGTTTTACTTATCATTTCCATTGAATCAATAAAACCGCAATAATTTATTCCACAAATTTGTCTCACACTAAGTGCGCTCGAATGGCATCGCTCTGTCACACTCATCATTTACAATTGCCGGAATCGTTTACTTGGAAAAACTGCTATTTTTTTTCAGCTACCTGGTCATACCTACTCGCTAACCTACCTCTTTAAAGTAATATACATAACTTATTGAATACAATTTCAGGCGTTTTTAGCATGCTCGCCTGTTTTAATTCCGGATAAGTTTTTGTACACGATTTTTTGGAATTTGTAAACTACGATCCATTGGTAGACTCAGGCACGATTTACGTGCTTGTGGTGATGCGCAAATCATCCGTAACACAATCTGATTCGTGGATTTCCGCTTGATTTAAACTGAAGACCATTTGTCTAGAAAATAGCTGCGTTAATCTTGACAGAAATTTTATGATGTGGCAAGAACGAGGAAGAAAAGTCGCTGCTTTATTTCTAAATATAGTAATAATCACGTGGCGTTCAAACGTCCTTCGGCAACCTGCACGGTTTTCGTGATTCACTTTTTTTTCATCATGGGAGCTTTGTGAACCAGCAAATATCGGCATTTTGTCTCGAGCCATGGTTTTCTTTCAATGATGCTTTTGCCATTCTTTTCAATTTGGGGCTGCATCTGCTAAAAGATTCGAGTTGGACTCTGTAAAGAACACGGTGCCCAAGTCTCTTCTGTTTTACTGTAGTTTTCAAATAAAATTGATTAAACTCCAGTCTCATAGACCCTATTTGCGCATTTATTATTATTTATGTGCCGCCAAAATGTACCGCATAACCCTATGTTCGATGTGTGATATGATGACAAACAGTTTGATGACGTTTTGCTAGTTACCGCATGTCCGTTGAGCATTGGGGGCACATTGAAAAGGTTTGTGTAGCCTTCTTTGCGCTTAAGCGTTTAATTTGAGCAGCAAACTGCTTCTCCCCAATTTAATGGCGTTTTGTTCGGGCACAGTGCACTCACCCACGAACACGGCAGCAGCAGCGGCGGCGGTCGTGACGGCAGCGTTCGCCAAACGTCCGCACTCGTCGTTGCACATCTTGTTCAGGCACTGCAATCGATGCGCTGCTGGTGGGTGGTGCTTTAAGACGCAGCAGTTCAACTGTGACATGTCGCGAGATGGCAACGCTAGAACAGTGTAGCACGGTGATTTGCATGCTAGTGCGCTTTTAAATTTCTGGGCTAGCGTTTTTCGAGTGACACCCGTAAAAAAGGTTGTGTTCTTGAAAAGTTCACTTCCCGAACAAGGTCACTTATTGCCTCGATGCAGCACCCATGGCTGATCAGGAACAGCGCCAAGGGATGAAGTATACTTTGTTACTTACAACCGCCTTTTTTCTTGCAACCTAGTGGTTGTGGAAATAAAAACTAATTCATCTTTCTGTTCTTGCCGGACGCTTGGCGATGATTCATTTCCTTCTAGAATGGCGCTTGCACTTCTCGACTTCTAGTTTCGCACAGTTAACAGTTAACATTGGCGGGGCCCTAGATTAGGAGGAAATTCGATGGCCGTCATGAAAAATACATGGTCTTGGAGTTGTTGAAGTGTCTTGGACCGATTCAACTGTGGTTGTTAGTCTCCAAACGCCTACCACAACCTTGTGCCACAAAACTTACTCCTGTTAGCACTTTTTAGTTGGCATGAATCATCGTCCGTCTGAGTATCTGGCGATTCTAATAAACAGTGGCTGCAAGTTTTAACCCCTCTACGTCATCCACGTACTTTAAATTGGGGAATATAAAAGCACTGAAATTCAATGGTTCTAAGGAGATCTGTGAGTGCATTGACAACTTAAATTGCATAAATTGGTCTTTCCTAAGGCACATTTGTCATGCTGAGTACTGATACATCGACGGAACTGGTAAAACCGCTGAACTTACCCTTGTGGGTCACGTGTTGCATATAAACGAGCAAAACATTTCCCTTCTTCGATTTGCAAAACTTTGTACGAACCTTGTTGGTCATGGTAAACAAGTCGCGTGCCTTGTGTTTTCGAATAACTTGTGACTAAATCGACGCACATATTTAAATTATTGTACTTTAAGTTCACACCGGTTCGTGGATTTTACCTAGCGCCAAAGTAGCTTTTAGTACCAATAGGTTCGTTCGGCTGATGTAGTACAGACTATTCAATTCCTTGATTAGTATCCTTAACGTTACTAGTTTGGTTGATTTTATTTACAGTTGCCAATCGACCATTGAATTCCATGTGTCAGGTAACACCATTAAATCATAATGTTATGTTGGCTGTCCTGGAGTCCTACATGGTGTCTCAGAAGCTCATTGACCGGGTGTAGCACCAAGCCGGGGCCATCTGCCGCTTTACAACCATCCTCAGAATGGAAATCATCTACCATGGTGGTAATGCTTCCGTTGGCCAATCAGATGTGGCCGACAGAAGGTCCTACAGCCAATCACAGTGTTTAATGCTATCGGTAAAGTTCGTTTAATACTCACTTAACTGACGATACTAACGCACGTCTATGTGTGCGTGTGTGTGTGTGTGTCTGATAAATACATTCAGAATCTACATCTGGCCTAAAGAGTGTGGTGATTGTTTATTCGAAGGCGCACTTTCCGCCCTTTTCCACTTTTGACGCGAATGAATGCCTGCGGATTGTATACACTCGCAACCTATGTCAGTTGTTTCGTAAGCACTATCTTCCGTTAATGTTTGAGCAAATATGCATTTATGGTCCTTTTATCCTGCATTTCATGTTGCCATTTTGTAAACCAGTTATTCCAGAGACTTTCTAGATCACTGGGCCTTTATTTAGTGAATAAAATGCGACACACAAGTATATTTCGTTAGAAATATTGTGCAAAATGCAATGCAGGTTTCAGCATGCCCTTCTTACCATCTCGACCTACCCACTATAAACCCTCACAAAATAATAGTTTCACCATGTTAATAATTTCATCGTCCAGCGTTTGAACTGTGCATCCACTAAGGCGTGCTGCTGCATTGACCAGAACAAATGGTAGTCGGATGAGGCCAAGTCTAGTGAATATGCTGCGCGTGTGGGAGAAATTCTCGATCCGAGTTCAAGAGGGTCTTCTGAGTCGCTAAGCGAGCAACGTGAGGTGGTCGAGCGTTGTCATGCAACAGAATGAGCCGTTTACTTCTTGCCCATCAAACGGCCGTATGTTGTCAAGTTCATTTGTTCAGTTGGTTGGGTTGTCGGCTGTATCGTACGGCACTCGCGGTCCGACGACCAGTTTGCAGGAGTTCGCAACAAAGTACATCGCTCATGTCGAGGCACATACACAGGAGAACCTTGTTCAGGTGGAAGTCCTGTTTCGGCGTTGATGCACAACAGGGTTGCGCTTGCTCTACCCACGACGTTGTACGTGTAAGGCTCTCACAATGAAATAAGTATAAATTTCATCAGCCGTTGTAATTGTTCACGAGAAGTGCAGCTGCTGCTTGTTGCCGACGGGCAGGCAGCGAAAGGCATGCGTACACACGTTGACCTAGGTTGTGTTGGGCAACACGTGTGGGGGCCTCAACTTCGAGGTTTTTGAATTTTCCCATTTAATGAAAACGCTTGGAAATAGGTGTTTGAGTGACTACTGACAGAGCTGCAAGTTCTTTTTGCTATTGCGTTGAGTTTCTATCCAGTAGAGCTCGCAATTCCACATTTTTAAGCTTTCGAGGCTGTGGGGAGAGTGGCTGGTCACTTCGAAAACGTTTTTGTCGATAATTTCACGTTTCATAATGCACGATGTCGGCACTAAGAAGACTACAAGTCAATTTTCATGCTTTAGAAGCATATTTCCAGTTAGGAATTTGTATGAAATGCCGTGCCGAATGTGCTGTTTATCGGTTGCCATCGTAAATTCCTCTTTTTTTGAGAGACTATGCAACTTACGTAGACTTGTCATTTGGTGTTCTGCAACCGTACTTGCGATGCTTTTGAGACCACGAAAGACCGGGAAATTGTTTCCATTGTAATTAAAATATTGAGCTTGACGAAATTATTTGTATGAATTAAGTCAAACATCTAATATTACATACGCACTCAGCTCTCTCTCTCTGAACGAGTATGGCATTCCCAAAAGCCAACTGTAAAGTGATTACTTCCAGTACTCATTGCGCAACTTGACTTTGTCGTCGTCGTCACGCTCTCACGCCTTCCTGCCTGCCTGGCTTCGCGTGGGTCGGTTTAATCACGTACGGCGCGGTTGGCGGCGAGTGGGCCATGTGCATTAAACAACCCTAACAATCTGACTGGTTACGAGTATTTTCGATCGACTTTCTTCCTGTTTGGAATTCGATTGCTTCTCTACGTGGGACCCACTTTAATATGCGTGGATTTAACCATCATGTCGCGCATGAGGAAAATTTAGCGTTGCCACTTTCCGATGCTGGGCATTTGTAAATCTTGCCGTACCGTCACTTTAACAGGCTTTTCAGCGCCAGTCCTTTGTATAACTTATTTTGCCACTGATTAAGAGTCCCTTGTCCCTTTACCTGCTCTTGGATACCGTTGCAAAGCGCCTGCTTAATTGTGAGCTACTAAGTCCGGCGCAATATCAATTCGAATGAGTGGGCACAACAGGCTCGCATTTACGTAGCCTTTCAGGGATGGAAATCCCGCCTTCACATCACGTACGGAATATGTGAATGGATTAATGACATTGCGTTTACTCAGATTTGTCACTTCCCCGCACACGCACAAATACAAGCTCAAACCAAATAAACACACATCAATTCCGAGAGATTAACTTTTCCAAGTCCTACACAAGACGCCACAATCGGATCAGCTACGTACTCCCTGGTAGTCAGCCATGCTGCCAAATCTGCCTGTCACTTGTCACAATTGGTTGGTCGGTCTATACGAATTGCCGTAGGAAGTGTAAGTCTTCGGAGCAGAAATGCCTAGATTAAAGTGCTTTCCTGAATCAAGTTTTCCAATTTCGAAAACACTATCGGTCTCGGCCATACGACAAAACACGCGTGAACAAGACTCACGAGACTAAGCGTACTGAAGGGTTATTTACAACTTGGGTAATTCGACCTATGAATGGGAGTTTTGCCTTGTAGTACCCACGTACCCTGATGATGTGTTGAAAATGTGACAAAGCCTATTTCAGGACATTTTTTCTGTTATTCTTGCTGTAGACAGTTAATAAAGCAATTGATTTTCAAATTTTTTTTATCTACATATGGCTATTTCGACATTTATTTAACCACTGATTTACTCTCAGTTTTATTTCTTGAAATCGCTAAGGACCTCGACATTACGTAATGGGTTTTGGCCCGTGCAGCACCCACTAGGTCTTGTTTGCACACCTGATCTAATTTAGTGAATATTATCAAAGCATTGCCATCTGCTTTGGTTTACTTGACGTTTTGTTGGTTCCATCTGCTCTATCGTGAACTGCGCAAAGTGTAAGGGTCGACTTGCTTGTGTGTTGGTCGCATATGAATCAAATTAATTCAGGAGGGTGGGTCATCTGCCCACCTCAGCATGGACCAGGTATCCGCGTTAGCCTCGAAGTCATCGCACCGTGTCACCCCTGTCCACCCCTCTTCCTGACTCGTATCGCTCTGTGACCAGGGCCTCAGTGTGCGGAAGCCTGTTTCGCTCGATACTGTTTGTGTTATTGTTGGGATCCACCCATGGTGCCCTCGTTTTAAGCTCTAAAAATGGCGGAGCCTTCCTCCTCCTCTGCCAATTTCCTTTTCCGCACAACGTGTCTAATCCTATATTTGGTTTTCGCGGCGCCGAAATGATCCGCAGCCGAACAAAAATATAAAATAACTATTTGAGTTTCATTATTAATTGACATATTGGTAGTAAACGAAAGCAAGCGCACGAAATTTGCCAAACCACGCACCTGGAGAGTCCAGGTAAAATCAGCGTCCTCGAATCGACCTATTTTAACCCCTCTCAGTCGTCTCAGTGCTTTTGTCAGTGTATTTTTATGTTAATGGGACACATAGAAAAGCATTTTTTTCTACCGGTGAAGTGGAAAAACCATTATATTACCTTTACACATCCTAAACAATAGCTCGCCACGTATTTTTTCCTTCCAAATCGAGAACTTCGGGTGCATTTGCGCTTCTTCTAGTGTACCTATTGCGCCGGTAAGATGGCCAACAGCTTTTCTTTGATGACTTTTTCCTTACGTTTCTCGGCTTTTCGTTGTGTCCAAGTGCAACCCTCGCCGAGGCTAACGCTGAGATCTTTGATCAACTATACCTGTTCCGCCACCTCGGTACTCACCGCTGTTCCTTGACGTGTCATTTCACTCCCCAACCGTCACACAAGTCGTACCGAGTTGCCATAGTTTCTAATTTCGCAGCTTGTTTCGTATCATGTAACGCGCCCTGTTTACACTTCTTTTCTCGATGCACTCGTCCTTCTGAATCTACGAAAATTCCTTTGAATAATCCTAACCCAACTCCAAAGAATCCAATAATTACCTTTTCCCTTAGGCAATGTCGTTTACTTTGACTGGGTGGTGCTGTGAAGACGAGCGAACGTTTGCGTGTCACCTTTGTGTGCTCATTGCTCTCCCGTGCTTGGCGCTTGTGCCAAGAACCTAGTACGTCGACGTTATGTACCAATGTATGTTACACTTGTACGTTGGCCCTAAGGTAGCACGTATTTCATGATGTTTTGGCCACACTCGGCTTTTGTTGATCGATGGCCTGTGTGTTTCACACCTTGCCCGACTCTGTCACTGTCCACATAAGCACTAGATTTAATGCACAGTCACAACAACCTCTTTTTTTACCACCTGGTCCGAACTAAAAGCCATTTAAATACATTGTAAATTCTGCTTGTGAATGTGATTTTAGCCTCACCGACTGCTTCCCACACATGCGTCAAGGCTAAACACGTCATTATTTACACCTCTTTTGTCCTGCAATCTGCACAAAAATGACTAACCTTGTTTGGTACTTGATGTGGCACTACAGGAAGTCACGGCAGCGAGGTTGCGCGCATGGTGTTAAGTGCTTGACAAGGCATGTCGACGTGATTTCCTGGCTGGCGAATATTAGCAGCTCAAATGCCTCTGCTAGCCCTTGTACACCCAATCTGTTGGACGTTGGCTCCGACCGCCGGTATGCGATTAAGTGGCTTCTAGACATGCTAGCACACCTTTCCACAGAGGACATGACGACTGTTGGGGTTTTTGCTTTGGATGGGTAAATGCATTAATCCCTACTTTAATACGCTTCACAATATTGGCACCACTAAAATGGCTTTATTAATTTATTCTTGGGCTCTTATCCAGAATGTAGCTGAACGCTGAAGAAAAGTTCCTGAAATAATTTGGAAATACTTCTCCATTATTCCATCGTTTTATTAACGTATCGATATAATGACTTGGTTTAAAACTGCATTTAATGGCCCTTTAATCAATCTACGTACGTTCGTTCAAACGTATATATCAAAATATCGCGGCTTCATTTTAATTTAATATTCTAATGTTTGCACTATCTGCTACACTTTGTTGTCAAGGTATTTTGAAATCAAGCACAATTCGTATGTCCACATAATTTGGCATGTAGGTGTTGATGATTTCCTTTTGGCCTTGTAAGTTAGTCGCAGCGCCTTAGCAACGGACTGGGTGAAACAATTGAGCGTCATGCTCAGCATAACCGCCACAACTGCAGCTGTTTGCCGTTGCCAGACTCTGATGTGTGCTGTGTCTGTTACTGTTTGATTTAAGTAAGCAATGTGTGCAGGGCTATAGCGGGCGGATTACCTAGATGTGATCACATCCACTAGCTTCGCAATATTGAAACGCTTCTTTTAGATCCCATGCACCTTCATTTTGTGGCAGTTTGAAGTCTTGTTTCTAAAACCGTCCCTGTGCAGCGCAAAGTTGCTGTTCTATTCGCCGGAGAGTTTTTACTTGGCGCACACCCACACCACTCCACATTGTCTAGTTTCTAAAACAATCACAATTTATTTGTACCGTATACCGTTAACATGTCACCATGAGGTCTGTCTAAGCAACTGCTACTGGAGTCTGCATATTTTGTAATAACTTTAAAATGGCAACAGAACTGCTGCGCACATTGTGCAATTAAATTTGTTAAACCAACACTTTACCGCTTCTAAAGTCAAAAGTAATGTTTTTTGTTGCAAACGGGTCAAGCTAGTTCTAAGCAAAATCGGCCTTAGTCCTTCGGTTAACAGTGGCGGCTCAGATTAAGTTCAAATCACAACTAAACCCAACTACGTGACACAGCACGTGAAACGTGCGCGTTAAGCTTTTCGTTTTCTTAAATGTCTTGTGATCAGTGCGGAAATCGAATTTAAAGGGATTAAATAAACTGTCGTTTCTTCCGCTGTTGGTTATCTCCTCGTTTTCCATTATCACGTATTAAACATGAAGTTTTCTGTTTGTTTGTAATTCAAAATCTGAATGATCTCTTGTTGAGTAAACATAGCCATTTGCGCTTCTGGAATCACTCAAAAAGGCCAACAATCTTACCAAACTCTCTGAGAATCGTCATTTACTTACAGATTGTCCAGTTCCCTGCATGGTAGACTGGTGGAGATTTCGAAGATTACAAACATCGGTTTTCGGTTGGATACTAGTCTTGTCAATACATCATGGCCCTTCACACTAGCAAAAGTAGCGATTTATTTTAAAATCAGCTCAATTTTCAAATGTGCTACTATTTTCTGATTCTCTACACACCAGAAAATATTAGTGTTCAGCTATATTGCGTCATTTTAATACTTAAATTGGCTCTAATTCAGTAACTTAAGTTACTATGTTTTATCTTTGCAACCCTTGAATGTTGTTAAGGCATGCTCAGATGTGCTAGACCCACTTGCAAAGTATCAGTGAGCCCTTGAAAATGTTTCCCACACGCTGATGGAAGAGACGACATCCACATTAAAAAGTACGAGCATGTCGCCTGCCTCTATACGTACGTACGTGCATTGGCGTTTGTCCAGGTACTGACGTCGCTGATGTTACGGAGCTTACTCAGCTGTTTTTGCAATCGAAACGAGCGCAGACACGCGCACACCCAAACGTATTCAGCTAACCAGGAAGTGCAATCGTCAAATGAACCAATCGTATGCGCCGTACACACACGTGTGTGCTTGTAACAATCAATATTGCTGCTGCACCTCGCCTTCTTGGCTGTGGACTGGTGTGTTCTTGCTTGTACGTGCGCACCCACCCTCCATCCAATCACTTCTTAGACGAAACGTTTGCATGCGCACGCATGCAGCAATTTTACTTTTATGCGCGTGCTTCTGCGCAAGTGCGCAATCGCTCGCACACATACCACGCATACGCAGTGAGGAGGCGAGTGACAACTATCACGTCCCGTGGCAGTAACACACGCGCACAGACAGGGACGCACACATCTAAATTGGCCATTACAATAACTGGGACTAGTACGTGTGTATGTGTGAGTGTGTCTTACCGTCGCCCACTTGCAGCACTCCACCATCACAGCCAGACGGCCTTCATTACAGCGCAGCCACTCCCCACTTTTTTCCCTGCGGCAACTTTGATCGCCTGCGCTAACTAATCGTTAGTAACCCTGGCCTCCTATCCCCGTGTATACATCGACGGCGCCACACCATACGGCACTAGGTGGGGTGGTGGGAATGTTTCTACCAGCATCGGGAGTCCTTCTGGCAGGGTTTCCTCTACCTTACCTTCAGGCTCGGATTTCTTTTCCCCCCTCAAGTCAAAAATAAATCAGTTTAATTCATCTACTACTCCTATCACTGGATCCGTTGGAGGCAGCTTAAACTATTCTCAGTCCATCGGAGTACGGAATCACAAAATGCCAGTCTGTCACGGAGTACAGAGTTTCGTCATGGCGTCAAGAGCTCCCGTTTTCCACGCCTGTTCTGTGGACCTCACCTGGCAGACAACGGTTCATGCCTGCCAACGGTGTCCCCGTGCTGCTATGACTCCGAGTGCTGCCACTGCCGCGATCGCGACCCAGTCAAACATGGAAGGAACTACCTCACGGTTTTGCCCTGCTGGAGTTCACATGGGCAAGTGCCTTCCTGCACAGGATCTTTACGCAAGTGCTTGGGGACCTGTGTCAAATATCCCCTCTACACTAGGCAATGGATTGGCGTCAAAGTTATCTCACAAGTTTACGGAACAATCAATGGTTCCGGATGCCTCGATTCCTCCTACCCCTCTGCTTGAGCCCTGGGCGCCACCTAATCTGCCCATCCCAACAACTGTTCACAGCAAGGCCTCATTCTCACCCAGTGTCCCTACTGCTGTCCAATCACCCCTGCCTGAAGAGAATACTCCAAGCCCAAATGCAGCGACTACACCCAAGCAACAGAAAACCATCCCAGCGAAACTGCTTATCGATAAGGAGCCTTCGTCAGTTCCAAAGTCATCAGAATCTGTTGAGAATGAATTGCCATCAACCAAAAGTCCCGTGCAACCGAAACTAGATAAGGAACCGGCATCTCGACTTAAAACCGAGCCTGATAAAGTGGATGTTTCTTCAGTTAAGTCTGAAGAAGAGCAGGTTGTCGTCGAGGAGGAAAGAGTGAGTTGCCAGGCTGTAATTTAGGCTCAGTGAACAGCCGATTGTTCTGCTCCCATGCGCGGTGTGGGGCCATTTCGTTTTATCAGCCAGACCATCCAAACATGGTTTGTCCTAGTTTTCTGACTAATTTGTCAGTCACATTTAGTTGGGAAACTAGATAAGCCATCTGCGTTAGAAACACCAAACAGTTTGTGAATTTGACGGGACACTATCGTCTTCCCAGTAGAGGTCAATTTCGCTTGCATCAAGTGTAAAATAATGCTGCACCAACTTTTGTCTGATCACAAAAGAGTGGTTATTCAAAGTGTAATTAGCCCCACACATGCTATCGATAGAGGTTGGCAAGTACCTGATGAGTTGATGATCGTACGGGAGTTTTATGTTGCATAATCCACTAATCCCTTATAACTAGCTCAAGTTTATTCCCCCGAAAAGCTATCCAATCACTGCCTCTTCATGTGACTACTATGAATTACCCCATTTTACTAAACTAGTAAACTCTGCTCTCGCCACCTGCAGAAGTGGTCTTCTGATTAGTGATTAGCCTCAAGATCTGTAATTAGTGTTCAGTCATCCCCACAATTGATTCATTTACAGTACACTCAACTCCGTCTATTTTGCTTCCTAGCAGTGACTCTCTTCAATCCTGCCTTCGCTTATTGGTAATGGGTCGGTCCATACTGAATTGGGTTTCAGATGTGTTTTCTTTGTATGTGACCCTTAGTCACAGATATTCACAAAAATTGCGATAATGCGACCAAAGGCCGATCTCTGTAATGCCAACTCGTATTTACCGGATGAGCTCCGTTGGCCTGCCAACACAAAGCCTAGGTATTAACTAATCATAGGTTTTCTGTATGTTTTTATACATTTGCGTTCACCAAACCTCATTAGTGATTCATTGATTTTAGGCAAATGAGTCACCACAGAAATCACCTTACAGAAGTTATGAGTTTCTCCAAGACAGTACTCATTCTGTCACTGTCTGGGACTCATTAAATAGATTGGCTGTCGTGTTTACAGAAACTTTGGTGATGCCAATTCTCGGTTATTTTGTGTGCCATTTTGGAGTAGCAAAGGTGGGGCGTTCTCTTATCATAAAACGCTACTGTTCAGCACGACTTGATAGGAGTTTTCATCTATATAATTGGTGGTCCTAAACGCATGTTTTAACATTGGAGAAAATTTCGCTGCATTTAACAAAATAAGCAATCATTCTAGAAATTGCATCACGGTCTGGTGGAAGTAAGGACTCAAGGCATTACTGAATCGATTGATAGAAGCACGGGGTTAATATGCCTTAAGTTGTTTATCATGGGTAAGTCATCTCTGCATAATGCAACATCTCTCCGAGTGCGCAAATGGCTGACCTTAATAAAATCCTTGTACACGCGGGTCTGGTAACATGTGCCAACTGTGTTCCTACCACAAATTTTTCACACTGTTGCTCTACTCCGCTACCAACTTATACTAATTACCTCAATTGTCCTTTTAAGCAAAATAGACGTCTGTAGTTTATTATCCACCTTAATGGGCTGTTGAATATTCAATTAGAGCTGTTTGCGTATATGATATCCTTATACACTTTTTACAGGAGGGTCACCAAAAGTAAATGTCGTTCGCACCATCTAGTGATCTGCGTTTGGCGAATTCACGAGGAAACATTGTCATATAAACTCACCGAATTCACAGGTCAAGATTTATAGGCAGTTGTTGGTGGTTCGTGTTTCTTCTAAGTTAATTATGGCTACACTATTCAAGTGGTAACCGCAGAAGACTAATGCCTTGGCCTGGTTCCTGTCGATCGTCACCTTTTGTTCCTTATCAAACCTCTTAAAGCATATGAAAATCTAGGATTTGTTAGCAGTCAATGCGACAGTTTTTTTTACAATTGATTAGTTTATCCGGGTACTTTTCGTCGCATCGAACGGCAAAACCGGTAGTGAATTGTGGCGATCCGCTGTGGCTGCGAGTCCCACATCGAGGCCCTCTAGAGATTGTTTTGTTTATCCATGTTAGAATAAAGTACCACCTAACAAAATGCAAATTACATCATTTAACAGACCTCCATACAGGTAGAATATCGTACACTCCAAGGTACATTTTTGGTCAAAAGTGCACCTTGGAGGTTGTCCATTCCCTTTATTTTCTTGCAAGTTTACTCTGTGTTTGTTGGCTATTATCTGTGGGGATGTTACACACATGTTGTCGCCTGAAGCATCTCACTTAAATTGCTATGGAGTGTTGTAGAAATACATGCATATCTCTACTCGAGGCCAATGTCGACCAAATGTCCCAGCTAACTGTAAGTAAGGTCTCTTTTTAAGTCATTGAATGTGGGAATTCTAATGGGCTAACTGCCTTGTGGTACGCCCGTATGTGATTGGATACCTTTGCAACAAACCCGCTTACAAATTAGCGCTTGACACAGGTTCATCGTAAAGAGCAACTCATGTTTGAGCACTAGATTGGCATGTTCTTCCAGTAACCTTGCTTTTGAAGTTTTATTCCTCGGCTTCACCCACCTGTTTTGGCTTTGTGTTCCTCGCAGTGAGACACGAACTTCATGTAAATTCCTGAGACCAGTAACATATGGAAATAGATTATTTGAATGAGTAAGCACGTATGGCTAAAATGCCCTTTTGTCTCCAAGAGTAAGTTCAATCTCTCCATTCCATTATTAAACACGCACCTAGAAGTCATGAGAGAATCACCAACGTCATCACATATTCAGATACCTCGATGTGTTTTCACAGATAATGATGCAATCGGCCTTACATTCATGTCAAATCATCTTTCTGTAGTTTTTATAGTGAAATGTAAACCAGTTTTCACGTTGGTGTCTTCTGTCAGCGAATTAAGAAATTTTTGTTAGCAATTCTTACAAGGGCAGTTTACCAGCATGTACGAAAATTACGTGAGACATTTTGTTGATGAATGCTCTTTCCAACGACTGAATCTCGCTTTGTAGTAACCTTGGCTTGTTGTTGAACGTACATGTTTTCGACAAATTTATGTCTTCTTGAGGCAAAATGTAAAATGTTGACCGGGTTTTTTTGACTTCAAAATAAGCCAAATCTTGAAATAATTACAAGTGCTCTCCAAATATTCGAACTCGTTGCATTTATAGTACAGGACTCCGTCGCAGCAGATATCACTTGGGCACCAATCTGTCGCACATTGCAGGTCATGTAATCGCATTACATTCAATGCTATCTAAGGTCATATGTCGATCGTACTCATGATTGTGTGTTTATTGTAACAACAAAATGGTTAAAAAGTTTCATTAACGTAGTTAGTCATTTTTCCCAAAGCAGATTGGATGCGTCAGTAACTTGTAGCACTCAAGATTTTGCTCTAAGATATGGCTGGCTTCGTGCTGGTGGATAGTTTTTTTGGTGGTAAATTGGTGTAAATTAGTCACAAAACTGCTGTTGCGAAAATAAACAAGTATGCTTATGCATAAAATAGACTTTTGAGAATCTATTTAGTTTCGGAAATATTAATCCAGCTTTTAGTAGCACCAGTTTTACCCAAAATTTAAATTGTTTCCGTCTGGACGATTTATCTCTGATTGGGACAAATGGTTTCGTTGGTTTGAAGCTTTAAAACTAACAAACTCTGGATGCTTTTCTTAGAACACTTAATCAAAAAATACTGTGTATACACCACGACCTCATTCTTGTAAATTCAGTAAGATTTCCTTATTGATATTTTGATTATTTTCGTCTGGGTGATTCAATGAGATTTAAAGGGTTGCTAAGTTAAGCTCATCCCTGACTTCAAGTTGGGAACTCGTGGTAAGTTTTAGGACTTAGTATTATCGGAAAACACTGGTTTTTCAATTTGTTAGATCGCTGATAATTGATGGCTTTAGGTCTTAATGTAACACCTTATATTATTTTCTTTTTACATCTAGCCGCCCACCTTTATTCCCACTGACATAACCGAAAGTACCAATGGAGGTTCTCCAGAAAAATCAGTTATTTCGACCACACCAACGACCACCCCCTCTTCGATTACCTCCACCAAAACCACTGACGACTCCTCTCCAAAGTCCACCGCCACCCTCAAAGAGGAGCCTATCAAGACGTCTCAAAATGCCTCTGCTGTCAAGCCCCAGTATGGGGGTGATGAAGGCAAGGAGAATGTCCTGAAGGCGGGGGAAGTTGGAGAAACAAAGTCACTTCCGAACGATGGCTCCGGTGCATCAGCAAAGCCCCTGCAGCCTAGTCTGCGGGTACCTCAGTTCTACGTTCCTATGGGGCGTTCAAAGTTAGCACCTGCAGATTTGGAGTGTGAGATAGACAGGGTGGGGAAGAGCATTGTGGAGGGTTTGTCTGAGCCCATTCCGGCTCCCGAGAAGACCGAGGAAGGAGAGGAGGCGGTGAAAGCGACAGAAGAGGCTTTGCCAGCGAAAGTCACACTAGACTCGTCCGTTCCTTTCAGTCGGTTCGGCGTTGTCACCAAGGTAAACTGTTTTGCTATGCACACTCTTTTTCCTATTCACTTGACTCGTCGGAACACGAATAACTGATTGAGTTGGCACGCCTTAGGTCTCCTGCAGCTCGCACAACGAAAGCCATAGACAGAATTTGCAGTAGGTGTTTTATTAATAACTGGCAAAAGGAACTGTGTTTCATCGTTTACTTTCATGCTCCTCACATAGTGATGTTCTATTTCCAGCATTACTAACATAGATGCGGCAACTATACCTCTAAAAGTACCTTCACAAGAGTGCAGAAGTGCAAACATTTTGCTTAATTTTGGACTTCTTAAATACCCCATAATTTATTAACATATTCGGTTTACAAATGCCAATAAAATACGGTGGCAAGCGGATTTTATGTAAAACACACATCTTTTCTATAGGTTGATGGGATTCGGAAACGATTCCTTTAAGCTTAAATACCTTCCTAAATCTGAAACCCAAGTATTAGCTAAGAACATTAATCTGTGTTTGCTCATCTTGCCAATACATAGATGACTTTTTAACTGAAACAAGCACTCGTGAGAATTTCGCATGACTTTGATCTAACCACCGATCACATGCTAGGACTTGTGGTCGGAAACTCGCTAGCTCAACAGAAAACGTTCTGTTTCGAATGTTTCAATTGGGTTCACTCTAGAGCTGTCGAAATACTTTATAAAAGCTCTTGAAGTAATGTCGGTTTAGTGAGGTTATGTGCGCACTAGAGTAGCCTTACAGCAAAAAGATCAAGTTTACTAGGCATGACTCAGTTGACATTTCTGTATCTTGCGGATAAATCACATTAATTCGTTGTTATTTTCGTCTGAATCGAATCCAAATGTGCTAGCGAAATGAGTATTAACAATTTGGCGTTTTGTAAATTTGGGCATTCTGACTGACATTTGCCTGACCTTGTGTGTATCGCTAACGGGTTCATTCGGACCGGCGTCTTATTGCGACGTCTCCCAACCGTTGGTGCAATGAAATATTTAAGGGTTTGTATTGCTTCTTCTCAGGCATGCGGCTGCCCTCTTTACTGGAAACGAGCCCTTTTCACGGCCGCCGGGGGTGAAAAAGACGATGTCCCCGTCCCAATCGCAGACATCCTCTCTCTTTGGCGTCGGTGAGTTGCGCGCCGATTATTTGTGAATGAACCCATTCACTTTTGTTAAGAGTCGCTAGTCTTTGTTGGTGTTCAGCCCATTGCATCTAACTTCCAGCTTTAGCTACCGTTTTTGTAGCCGATTAAACGATCACATTTCCTTTAGAGTTTTAAAGACCTGTCCGGACTCGGCTTCTCGGTTCACCTATTTGCTAACCAGAGGCAAGGCTCAATATCTCATTCCCGATGACTTCCGACCGATAATTCAAGTAAGTGTTTTGTTGTTCTGTCGCTATTTCACGCACATGACTATCGAAAAACCGGATTTACAAATTATTTTGTGAGAAACCAGCATTGAAAACTAGGTCTCCCGAAGTTGCGCTTTTTTATTTTTTATCACCTTACTTCACGGTGCAATCCTGATGATTTCCTAAACGTCACTTCCTTCAATTATTGAGTCATTGACAGAGTCCTCTGGTTTATCAACTCTGTGCTGCAAATCTCTGCGTGGGTGTTTTGCGTGATGTGTACGCTTCATAAGAAGACGCACGTGCACAAAACTGATTCACCCTGCTTACTAGTTTTGAGTTGCTTCTCTTCAAACAATTTTCCTCATGGAAGATGCCTCTAAACTGCTAGGGGAGAGAGTAAAGAAAGGCCTGTGTTGTCATGGTTCAGGTGTCGAATGCACATGAGTGACTGGGACGCTATGGTTCATGGGGCAGCAGATTTGCAGTCATAGTACAATTCGACGTGTCCTCCTAGTTACTATTTTTGGTGTCTAGAGGTAAGAGCGTCAGGTAGCACCCCTACACCTCTATTTTAGGAACTTACAAGTCCCGTGGTTATTTCGAAGTATTTGTTTAAATAAATCTGTAAGCGATTTCAAGGGCAACAACACAACAACGACCTCCACTTTCTTCGAATGCCATTCCGTGATGGCGTTTGGAAAAAGTTTTGCAATTTTTGATTATCTACTAAGGTGGGAGTAAAGGAAGGACACATTCCATGCTCTTCGTGCTCACATGTTTTTGTTATCGGCCCTGCAATCGTTGATGTAAGAAGTGGGCGTTTTCTTTAATACAGGTAAATTTCGCGAGCGTCACCTTGCGTAAACCCTGGCTGTTTGCAGCTATCGACCTGTTATTTAAGTAGTTCGTAAAAAAAGTAAACTTGAAAACCTTCCTCGGTATTTTATTCGGTTCTTCAGTTGAAACATTTACGCAGCTCCTCTGGAGAACTTTGAGATCTTTTGCAGATCCTTTTAATCCCAACTTGATGAAGAATCATGAACTTGATAGTCATTGTGGTGCGTGTCCTTTATGTATCCATATCTGGCCAGTAATTCCACTATAAATGCAATTGATGAATAAATTGATGAGCCTGGTTCGTTTGAGTCGCAAGCTGCTGTCACGCAAGCTCACAACCACCGAGGATCACAGTGTCGCCTTTGTCATGTGCACGTTTCACTTCTCTGTTAGTGTTAAGTTATGGCCAAGTGAATCATTACACTCGACAACCACGTAGCCAATCGACTCATTTTTAGAGCGCTAATACCTCCCAAAGCAAGAAATAACTCTCAGGAGGCTTTCAAGGTCCCCTGTCCTAAATATCAGTGCTAGTGGTATTTCACGTCTATTTTAAATACTTCTTTTTTGATGTTTGAGCCGACCTTTTCTTCCTGGAACTTAGTCCTCCACACAGTAAATCGCCTTCATATTCTTTTGGAAAAAAACTTAATTTCACGTCTATGGTCTCTGTTCGGTCCTTCTGGTACGTAAATGGTCCACTGCCTAATTATGAGGGTTGGGATTCTGTTACTAAACAGCTTAAAAAATTGCCAATCGGGGATTGGGAGCTTTTTTAAACACTACGCCAATTTGAAAACCGTCGTTTCTGTTTTGGGCAACTCTGGTGGCGTTTACGTAGCTCTCTATGTCGAAAAGTCAGCAACGCGTAAAACAATCCTAAACGAACAGCTTATTTATAGTTGATTTCATCCCTTGAAAGCTCACCGTTGTTGTCGTCATTACTCTGCTCTTCTTACTCAATTGTATTTCCTAAAAAGTCCAAATTCCCTACCCCATAACTTCGGGTGTTGCAATCCTCACATTTAGCGTTTTGTTTTCCGAACCCTGGTTTGAGGCATAAAAGCATATCGCAGGCACGTCTGGCTCTGCTTCCTACTATTTAAAACTTCCCTTAAAAAAACACCCTCAGTAGACTGGCGAGTTTTGATCGCTCTTCCTCTGCATGCTGTTACTGGTTGGGTGTGGATCATTCGCGCCTACATTTCGCTCTTGCAATGTTAATAAACACGCTGTACGTGGTTGGTTGACCGAGGTGTCGACCGCGTCTTGATGAATGGTTCGGTCTAGTAAATAGTGGGTTCTACTGTTGTTTCAATGCACTCCCTCCCAACTTCCTTATGCCTGTGTAACCAGTAGCGGGGGTGTGATGAGGTCTTGCATCGCCAAGTCTCAACTGCCGCTAGTCAACTTTGCTCAAGTTCCGCATAACCTCATTCAGAGTAATGCGCGTGATAGTTGTGCTTACAAGCCGCATTTCATCCGAAGCTTACCAGTTAATGGCTTGCCGTGTGGCAAAATCTTTTAAAGTTGCACAAAAATAATGCCTAATTTTTTCTGTTAAATAAAAGAACGTGGACATCTTTTTCGTCGACGTCGTTTACTATTTGAAGAACCAAGTACTGAATGATTTAAGGATCCTCATCCAAATAGATTCATTTTGGCAACCCTGATACAATTCAACATTTTTTTGTCATCATAACAACTACCGCTACCTTCAGCGAAAGCTGATTTTCATCATAAACCTGCTTTCGGTGTTGTGTGGGTTTCAAATGGATTATCCACGGCAAGTATTGTTGTCCATGGCTCGATAGACTGAAAATCTCGTCGCTTCGAAAACATCTAGGCTAGATGTACTTTGGGGACATCATGTTTCAGTATTGTAACGCATAGCACTGCTTCAGTATCTCGCTCCCGGGGTGTCGTTTTCCGCTTTCTTTCAAGGTGACTTAAAAGGGACAAAATCCTGCGTTGACACGTGTAGTTTCTGTCTAAATTATTGGGTAATTTTTTACACGACTGAGAACTGTCACGGGGTAAGTTTCAACTAAACGAGCTTTTAGACCATCGAATCTTGAAATACAGGCATGTTTATCGCGTGAATTTCGCCCATGTTGCTGGTACCTGTAGGTGCCTTTCCCGTGACTCGGCTAACACCAGATGTGTAAGCCATTAAATATTGCACACTCATCACTTTCACACTAGCTACCTACACTTTAGTGTCTTGGAGCTGCGATTGCTTGTTTTGTGTGTTTCAAGTTGGTTTTTGCACTGAATCATAAGCCGAGACAACTCTTTGTACTCTTGAATTAATTTCTACTCGTCACTTAAAGTCACTTAACCGGCCATGATTGCAGCGATGTGGTCTGAGTTACAAAATCTATTTTTCGTCCTCAACCAGTCGTTTGACAGTTATTGGGTTTGTTTTGATAAGGAATCGGTTAGAGAGGTAGTGCCCTTTTCTTTTTACCAGGAAGGGTAGCGTTTATCAGACGGCAGTGATTTCCCTGTCCGACAACTTCATCTGCTGAAGTTTTGCTTTAATGAGAGGCCTTTTATTCCAATTGATCGCGTTCAATGCAAGTCTGATGAGCAAGGGTAGGCGCGCCCTGTTCTTCAGTCACTGAAACCCCTTCTGTGGATTGCGTGGGACCTCCGCCTAAGCCACGGCAAATGTACCCTTCTGGTGTCAGTTATACAGGAGAGCATATTTTATAACATCAATACCCTCTTTACACTTTCGCCTTCTAAACGTCGGAGTCGTAATTGTGTCGTAATCAACTGTTTTGTAAAAAAAGGTTTTGTCACATGCAGGAACCTATAACTTCGTTTTAAAGCCAACCTGATTTTACGATTTCCTAATTTGTAGGCCGTTCTTGTTGTACTCTTGTTGTCAAAAGCGAGATGAATAATTTTACTTCCCAACACAGGAAGCTTACATCGAGTTGCCACTAAGACATCAAACGACGGTTTGCGCAAAAGCATTCCTTCAGGATTCAAGTAGACACATCCGTAAACATGTGGCGTTTTGTTGGCAAATTCACTTGCATGCCACCAATTAATTGTACCCATGTGTCCAGATGTCGAGCGGCCACAAAAAATTTCTCCTCACTTGCAGGACGTGGTGGACACGCATCCTAGCCTGACGTTCCTCCAGGCAGCTCCTGACTTTCACTCGCGCTACGTGACCACAGTCGTCTCGAGGATCTTCTTCTGCACCAACACCTCGTGGTCGGGGCGCATCACCCTTGGCGAGTTGAGGAGGTCCAACTTCCTCGATGTCCTCGCCAGCCTTGAGGTGGAGGAGGACATCAACTTAGTGACGCATTACTTCTCTTATGAGCACTTTTACGTCATCTATTGTAAGTTCTGGGAACTCGATGGGGACCACGACCTGACAATCAGCAAAGCTGACCTCGCCAGGCACAACAATTACGGTAAGTTCAGCAACAACATGAACAAGCCGAATGCTGAGCAGCAGCATCGCGTACCTTCAGTTGTTTTTTTAAGTGACATTTTTCTTGGATATCTGCCACTTTGTGTAGAATGTAGAGCACGGAGCTCGTTAATTCCAAACCGAAACTCTTGCGCATTAAGAGCTTAATGTTTACAATAACCGTTGCAGATCTCAAAATTTTAATATGGGCAATTTTCACTGAAATACCATTGACACCTGGGTTATTTAGTGCCTTTGTTGAAAGATTTGACTCAACTAAGTTTCTTGAGTCTTAGCTTCTTTTTACTAAACCCTTTCGTCCGAAAATCTCCTTGGGATCAAACGTCCTCTGCGAGCCAAGTAAACCTCACTTAGTTGCATACTGACAACCACCCTCTGTGTACCTGTGAAATCTACAGTAATGCAAAAAACGGAAAATTCAAAATTTGTAATAATATATGTGCTAAGTTTATTCGTTGAAATTGTGTGTGCCTGCGTAGTCCTTGAATAGACTTTGTTTTATTTCCTTACAGCTATTTCAGAACGCATGATTGACCGCATATTTAGTGGCGCCGTCACACGGTAGGTTCATAGTATGTCTCGTGTGTGTGTGTGTGTATCATTTTTCGGCGTTTTGCGTAGTCGACCTACTGGGCGAGCCCGTTCGTAAACCACTGGCATCACAGGTGTATCCGCTCTGACAAAATGGCGCAACCCCACAACACGTCGTCTCGCGGACAGCATGAACAAGTTCTTGCTTATCCAAATTAAAATGATAATCGAGCAATCAGTCTTGCTATCAACTGTTTTACTCCCTCCTACCTTTATTCTTAGTCGGTTAAAATTGTGAAAATTAGCCTGTTTCAACCTGTCCGTGTGCATTCAATACTTTCATCCCAGTCGTCAACGTCGGTGAAATCTTGCCTCAACTGGGTTCAGCATCGCGATGCAATTGATAACTATCGAAGTGAATCTCCTCTAAGTCAGAACGCGGAAAGAGTCTTGTGGCCACGTGGTTGTTAAAATTAACTGAATAGCGGTGAGGTTAAGTGATGTCGTTAAACAGATCACTTTATGTCTGCGTATTTTAGTGGTGCGTCTTTCAAGGAAGGAACCATGTCCTACTCCGATTTTGTCTGGTTCCTCTTAGCAGAAGAGGATAAACGGCACCCGCGAAGGTTAGTCTTTCCTACACCCATTTAAATAGTGATTTGGCAGCTGAGTGGCGTTGTTAACTCAAGTTCGTTCATTCCTTTCCTCAAGAGAATGTTGTTTGTGCAAGAACAATGTGACTAGGTGTTCACAATATTTTGCGGCTTTATCAAGTGCATGTAGTTCCACTGGTATCAAAATTGTGGTTTTTGGTGCATATTTCGTTAATTAGATTAAATATAATCGAAGCTTTTACATGAAACAATTCCTGTAGACTTGTTTGTGGGTACAGTGCTGTACAGAGCTTCCTCTTATGCCTTTAGGGAATATCAAATTGCTTTAACAAACTTGGGATCTTTTGAATTCAAATGTAGATGTATCAGAATAATCTAGCTGAACAACTTTATGCTTTTACGAATTTATCGTCAATAACGTCAACGAAATTGTTTCTACGAGGAAGTGATTGCCAAATCACGATTTGGTTCTGTGTTACCATAAAAAAATAATTGAAGTGCAATTAATGAGTAGTTTCGAGGTCTCATAAATCGGTGTTCGAGTGTTTTTTAACTTTAACAACTAAATAATTCGTTCTTTCGTCCCTATTTCTCTTTTCAAACATATACTTATGTCAGAATTGCGTTGTTTTCTATAAGTGCCAGTAAGACCACATTTTCCTGTTTCGATTGCGTTTCTCTGTCTTGGTGCGCGTGTCGCTATGCCCTGGCGCATTTTACTGCTGCATTTTCGGCTGTCATCAATTTCGCACCGCGTCCCCCGTCTTCGCTTTCTTCGAAGCGCCTTAACTGAAAGGGCTAGCGCAATTGGACTAGTCGCTGTCCTGCACCTCACCAAGGCAACCACCTTGGGTTTCCAGTTCGATTATCCATCCCGTCATACCTACAGTCGTTCTTCATTCCCAAATAGGAAACTCTTTTTTGGCTTAGCGAGATATTTTCATACCTTTTTCTGCAGGTCTGTTTGTGCCCAGATCAAGTAATGTGATTTTGGAAATTATGCTGTAAAGGAAGGTTGTCACCGCGCACCAATTGCTAGTGCCAGGAAAATTGAGGGCATTATTCCAGTGACGGTTAGAGCAGCGGCAATCCGAGAACCAGGCCCTCGTAACGCTCTGCTGCATGCAGGTGTGAGTCAAAGCGACAGATGTTCTAAAGTAGGCGGGTTTGGTGTAAAGCAGCATCTCTTTGGATACGCTGAGTTTGTTACGTACACAGGTTCAAAAATCACTTCTGGTTCAAGTTCCTGCCGATTACGTCGGGCATTCTCCTACACGTGTTATACTACCCAACCAGTGTCGCAGTCCCAAGGACGATCGCAGCGTTGACTTTCAGCACAACTAGTTTTGGCGGGTGGCTGAAGAGTCCAACTCAATGGGTGTGGCGCAGGCAGCAATGAAGCTCTCTCAATGCAATTACTTGAGTGCAAGCAAAGTTGGTTTCATGCTCAGTGGGGGCCATCGGAAATTGCATAGTCAACGATACGCCACTCGTGTACTTCGTCAGACCCATTTACTGGGCAACTTCGCCACATTGGCAGCACAGAAGCTTAATGGTTTTACTATTTTAACTGTTGGTTGTGTTAAAGTGCGTGTGTGCTCGCTAGAGTTAATATTTCGTGTTGTTCCGATTACAGCATTGAATATTGGTTCCGTTGCATGGATTTGGATGGAGATGGCCTCCTTTCGCTTTACGAGTTAGAGTACTTCTACTCTGAGCAGTCGGCCCGAATGGAGGAAATGGGCATTGAACCGCCGACCCTGGAGGACTGTCTTTGTCAGTGCCTAGACATGGTTCGGCCGGCTCTCGTCGACAAGATCCGCCTCTCTGATCTTAAGAAGTGCAACCTCTCTCCCATCTTTTTTGATACATTTTTCAACCTTCCAAAGTACCTCCAACACGAGCAGAGGGACCCCTTCTCTAATCTGCGGGTAAGGTTACAGTTAACTAATCGTATCTTAATTTTGTATCGATTTGGTCGTAGAGAATCCAGCCAACGGATCATTGGATACAACATAGATTATATTTTACCGATTCTCTTAGGATTGGAATCCTTTCATCATACTGACACGAACAAATGGCCACACTTTTCTTCACCAAGTTCAAGTCCTAGCCCTAGCCTTATCAGTCGTTTGGTTTTTCAAAAGATGATCATCTTGAATGGTCGAAATAAGAGAGACATAATAGAAAACACTTTTTGTGTAGGTAGGAAGAAACCCTGAGTTAGGAGTGTGGTACTGACGCTAGTTTTCTGCTTCGTGTAGTTTGTGCTCATCTCAGTCCCGTCTTGATCCTGGTGAATTCCAAGGCAGCTTCGATTCATACGTGATATTAATCCTCACAAGACGTAGTACAGGTGGTGTGCTTGGACGAAGCGGCTTCACAGAGTAGCAAAACTAGAAAATAGTCTCAGAAAAAGCAAATGTTCAGTCAAGGTGTAATGGACGACTGTATTTGTGTAAGGAAAAGCAAGTTAGCAGAAAATCGTGCGTTTTGGTGTGGCTCGCAAACTGGCACCTTCGTCAGTGCGCATGCACAGCGCTCGTAGAACGACTCTCGTTTCCAAATACGTTCTTTAGACTGTGTTGCCTTTTGCATTTTCTGGATTATGAAACAACTCAATGGTGTTTCGCCGGTAAACGAAATCCTGCTGGTTTTTGACGTCACTTCGAGTTTGTCTGTCGCGGGCGAAATTGGCATCTGCGTCAGGTAAAGCTGTCGCATTTAAGATGCTCAGCTGTTAACTGGTCTTTCCTGAAATCGGGAGGGCCTACAGGTATGTAGGTAGTGTGATGCGACCCAGCTATTGCACAAGATAAAGTCTGTACCTCCCACGTAGACTAGGATGAAAGGGTGTCACCCAGAAACTCCTTTAAATTTCATTGTCCTCTGAATTCTATCAAGAAAATAGGTATTTATCGAACTGGCATCTATGAGGATAGAAGTCCTCAATTTTGATGAAGCACGCCACAGGTTTTGGTTTGTTGGTAATTCCTGTTCTCGCTCAAAAGTTCGGAAACATTTGCCATTTACTTTTCTTTGTGACTGTTACTCATCGAATGGCTACTAATCTGTCGCTAATAGTTACATAAACTTATCCAGGCTTGCATTTAGCCATTTGGAGGCGAGAGCAAATGAAAAATACCTCTTTGAAGGTCATCGTTTCCCTCTTGTTTTTTATGATTAGAATGTGCCGGCGGTAAACCGGCGTGTAACTCGTGGATTTGGCTATGCTCTTACTCTTTATCCCTCACAGGACATCGAAGAGGGCTTAACAGAGGTCTCGGATTGGGATCGCTACGCCTCAGAGGCCTACGAGATGCTTATCGCATCTGAAGGTGGTGGCGGAGGAGGCGGCAGTGGTGGGGGAGCCGAAGACGACGATGAGGAGGACGAGGACGACGAAGAAGTAGCTGCGTCACCTGGAGCTGCTACTTCAGCGAACACCGATTCAGCTGCCGTTTCCCCTGAAAAGACCGTCACAACCGTTGAAACGCCTTCATTTTCCGGCAAGGACAGTTCTAGATCTACGGTTACTGCTCAATCTATTGAGGAGGAGACAGGAAAAGGGGCCTCGTAATCCTTTTACGTCAGTGATCTTTTATATCATAGCGGTGTCTATGCTCCTGAAAGGGGATATTACTTGGTGGGCACATACCCATTCTAAGCTCGAGTTTGGGCTGCACGTATTATGAATATTAGTAGCATTGCCTGACTTCCGATTTGGAGTTGTCATATTCTCACAAAAAAGAGCCAACTTGATTTTCTATTTAACAACGCATCCCCACTCTAAATCGAAGTAGTGACCATTTTCTTACTGATCACTTGTTAGTTCTCTAATCGTGTTATCGGCGTAATAGTGAAATAAGCTTTTGCTTTAGGTGCCACAGCACACCTGAAAAAACAACAGACTAGGAGGACACGTCATCACTGACACAATGTCCCCTGTAAGGTGCCTTTCCTTCTTAACCGCAGCTGCTCAACTGAGTGCACAGTCCACCACTCGGAGGTTATTCAAAGGTGTGCGTGAGGGAGATGCTCTGCCTTGTCTTCCTCTCGCTTTTCCTACACATCACCATCCACATTATTTATTAATTCATCCTTTCCCTCTGTGTACAGAGCCACAACACCATCCACAAATGGTCTTTCAACGAATCCACCCAGCTACCACTGACGCGCTATTTAGCAAACCCCTACCCTTCCACTGCCCCGAGATGCTGTGTTGTTCATTTCTGCTTTCTTACATTGCAATACTAATGCCATTTCGCTCCCTCCTTCGCACACACCCAGAGGTGACTACCACTCGATCCTCTCGCTTCCGTTGTTTTATTTAAGGTTGTAAATACCAAAAAGACGCGCTTTGCAGATTTGATTATGCTGACTTTTTTTGTGACAATTCGAAAGGTGGGAGCCACCCGAAATCGTAGATGTCATACGTTGATAACTATCAGTTCCGATCAGGAAAAAATGATTTAGCGGGAGCGAAGTATATTACCTAACATTCAACAACACTTCCCTCTCTGACTTCGTCGTCTTTTCAATCATGGTCATTCTGTGTGCGAATGTGGACTAACACGACCATGTGGTAAATTCATACACTAGAGGCTATCGTTAGTCGTTTTTGTATCCCACGGGCCCTTGTGCGCACGAGTCCGCTGACCTTGGAGTGTAAAATGACAAGAGAACAAACCGTGAACTAAGTGAAATGGAAATTTGCTGCCTGATTCAACAAGTTCGACGACGTTGGGTGTACACATTCTCCCGCTGACGATTTTTCACAAAGTGTTGATGATTGTCAAGTAGTTGAAGGCTGCAGAAATTTACTGTTGCTTACATGGCGACATACGATTGGACGACCATATCAGGTGGTTCGCCCTGACGTCTGTGTCGGATCCTCTCGACATTCCATGATGTGCTGGAGTTAGTGCGCTTACAATACCGTGGATATTTGCAGCTCAAAATGGTTGAGAATTATGGAGTGGGCGACACAGTCTATTTCGAATGAGAGGTAATTTAGAATAAGGGCCTGGTGTGTAACTTAAGAACTCGTCCATCCTATAGATGGTGATTAAGCCTTAATTGGTGACGAGGTTACATCCGATTGAGCTCGGTTGAGACCCTCTCATTTGATGCTGTGCGCCAACACATCACCACACACCAATGTGGTTGGATGAATGAAAACGTAAGCAGAGAAACGAACAGGTGCAGAAGAACCTCAACCTTTAAAAATAGCATTATTTGCCGAATTTGATTTTTCGTTCTCCACAAAAAAATTTGGGAGGTGCTCAAAAGAAAGCTAGGATGTTTACACAAAATCGCAAATTGATAGAAAAATGTATCGTAGGAATTCAGCAAGTGGGCCATTTGTAGTTAGACTTTGAGGCACCACTCGTTGTATGCGCGAGATGCCTCCAGCCGCACGGACTGGCAGTCGTCGTCGAGGAGGCCTTCGAGAAGGCGTCGAACGCCCACGCGGTGTCGAGATGTCACCGAAGGCGAAAGACCAACGAGAAAGCGGAGGCAACGCGCCAAATTGAAATGCAGGTTGGAAACGGTTGTCGGCTTAGTGTAGAAAGAGAAATTCGTGCGTCCACAATTCGCAATTACCACTTACTGCTTTAAACAACTCCTAATTTAACCTCGGAAGAAATTGTCTACCTGAAAAACGGAGACGACGCAAGAAACCCTACGTGAAACACGAGATCGGTTTTGAAACAACTAAGAAGTGCGTGACTTCTGTGTGTCACGTCAACTATGCACATATCTCATGGTTATTGTGGAATACAAATTAAACAGTTCAAGCCCAAATTATCACTCTCTTGGGTTACGAAATTCTCAGCATAAGCAAGTCGCCTGAAATTATACCAGCGACAACTAGACACACTAAGTCAGAATTAAGGTAGCCTTTGTGAAACCCTGATTCCATGCACGGTTTTTTGTTTGGACGTAAGAGCAGGCCAGGTTTTAAAACACAATAGATACTCGTGGAAGTTGGACAAACAGAAGAAACGTTTGCAAACGGATGACGAAAATTAGGTGATAAATAGTGCATTGTTCCCTTCTTATGCACTGGATTACAAAGTCGGGAAGAGATAAATTGACAAGCATTTTTTGGTCACGCTTCTAAAAAAGTGCAAAAGTCCCTACCGAGGATCCTGTGTCCGCACAGGCACTTCCCAGGTGAAGCAGCTTCGCGAAGAAGTCGTCAGCACAATTGGGAGAGATTGCAGAAGAGGCGAAATTGCTGTCGACAGCCTCCGCCGCCGCCACTAATCGGGAAACGATGGAGAGGGCCAGCGCCTGCGTCGACAACGGGTACCGTCCAGAGGTGACAGCTAGCACTGAGGCCTCGAGTGCCTGCATGCAACAGATAAAGTGGCAGTTTTGTGCATGATGACATGTGGACAGTCGACGAACATATTCCCGAGCTCGCCTACATTGATTGGTTTTGGTCTGATTTACGAATAACGTCAGTTGTAACTGCAGGCTTTCAGGCGCGCACAGAAACGCCTTTGGAGATTTTTTTTAACGAGCATAAGAAACAGGGAAGAAGTTTGGCCGAAATCCCCTTAAACGTCAAGATCTGCCCAAGGGTTAGTGGTGAAGACTTTTTGACCTGAAGTCGAATCTGCAGGAACATTACTATGCAAATGTAATTTGAAACTGATGAAGTGACACTGGCTCTAGAACCGTTGGGGTGCCTTTCGGATTCCTTTCGAAACGAAAAAGGGCACCCGAATCATAGACTTTAAAGGAATCAGCACTAGGCCCCCGATGAAGACGGTAGAAGTGCATAGTCATGGAAGACATTTGGGCAGCCTGCAGTGGCAACAGAACACACCCCTCTAATTTGTCTGGCAAATAGTGAGAAATGGGCAGCAATATACACACCGCAACGCGTGCTTAATCGGCCCACCATCAAACCGAATGCTTCACTCAAGGGCGCGGTCGAAAGGGCTGCAAGATAGGTACGACGCATAATCATAGGTGACCTTCATTGGACACATCTTAATCCCTCCAGAGGGTCAGCGCCTAGTCAGAAAATTTAAACGGGAGGTCCTTCATAAGCGAAGTTGGCCAGGAATACGCACAACAGTTAAATAGTGGTAATAATTATAGGAGGACGAGGAGTCACGCAAACACAGGCGTGCACTTTTAAAGGCTTGACGATGTGTAGTGGGTCGGGATTTCCGCCCAACACTGGGTTTGTGCACCAAGCACTAGTAATTCAAGTTATGTAAGACATATGTGGCCTCCTTTGGCATGACAAATGGATAGGGTGTGGGAAATGTGGTTGTGACCTTATCGAAAGGCGTTGCGCAAGCGGTCAGCAAGGACTTACATCCGAGGCATAGTCACCGATAATTTCGTCTGGCAGAAGCGAGGTCAGTCGGAGGTAGCCATGAAGGAAGGCGGCTAAAGGATTACAAAGAAAGACGGTAGAATTTGTTCTGTAGCAGCGTCGAAAAGATCGTCGGAAAGAGCGGCTAATCGCGTTGAGACGCGTCATACACGGTGCATATAAAAGTAAGGACACCAGACACGAGCACCACTTAGAAATCTAGCTGAAATATCAACGCAGATCGACATCTGTTATTTTTCATTATATTAAAAAAAAGGTAAATTATTAAATGCTGGTGTAAACAATGTTCAAGGGCCTCAAAGATGTTAGCTTAGAAGACTGTCGCGGTATGAGGCCACAACTGATATTCCGGAGGTGGAGACCTCCGGGAGAAAGGGGGACTAAGCCCTTTAATTCGTCAATCAAATTAGGGTGTTTGGCTAAAGCCGTGACAGCGTGCATGCGTGGGATAGCCGGGTAAAAATTGAGGTCAGGGAAAAGTACACGCGGGTGAATTGTCAGAGGTGGCGAATCAGGCGCATGGGTGATTGAAGGACACAAACAAACCACGCCACAGTTAAAAGTACGCAAACATCTCTTCAAGGAGCCCGTCGTGCAAAAATGCGTTCATTTTACAGGGACCGCTTTGTTTTTACTGTCTACTGCGGGTAATGCTCGCGGATAGGCGAGCAGTTCGAGCATCCAAAGGCCACGGGTAAGAGAGAATAAACTAGAGTCATACCAAGGTAAGAAACTACCACAAAATCGTTACAAAGACCAGAGTAAAAGTTCGTAGTGCAAATGTCAATCCTCTCTCCAGTGATACAATCAGACAGAGTTCGAAAATGAAGTCAATGAACGACAAAGCTAAGAATTGGAAAAAGATAGCTTCTTTAGCCAGTGGTCCTATGCAGCATTCGTGGGCGACGCAGATCAACATAACACGTAGACATGAAGGGTGCGTAGATAGAAATCAGCGGCAATGAACACCAAGTAATGGCACCTCTACTTTGGTAGAAATAAAAACGCCTTAATACCATGCCAATGATTATTCACATTGGCGCCCTGGATCACTATCACCGACAACTAATTAGTCAAGTGTTTTACTGGAGTGAGGAATAGGTTACGTTGCGGTTTAAAAGAAAATTTCTTAACTGGTTAGGAAAAAAACATTTACAACAACATGCAATTTGATCAACTTTATTCCACATTGTTATTTACCACTCAATCCCGACGGTCAAGACGTTTTATTGAGGCCTCGGAAATATAAATGTCCAAGTTTCGGCTCACACAACGTCGTCTAACCATGTCGGTTATTACACGTCAGTAATTAACAAAAGCCAAGTCAGAAGAAAGCGAGTGATGTAGTAGGACTTTTCAATCGAGCGTTTAAATTGCAGTTTTTGTTATATTGGTATTATGAGGGCGGGTATTTTCGTGCTGCAAAATGATGCCATAGCGTTGATGGGGTCGCTTTTGCAGCATCGCTTTATGAAGTCGCTGAAATTGTTGAACACACGGGTTTGGACTCACTGTTTTGCTTTTCGCAAGCTCACAATGAATGATGCCTTCACAATCCCACCAATTACGAACTGCAGAGACTTATTCTTCAACCCAATTGCCGTGGATGTTAGCAATACCTATTGTCAACGTTAATTCGCATTAGGGTTGGGAAATCCGAATAAAAAATAATGCCGTCAGAAAATGTTTGAAACATGCACGAGGGAAGCAAACGGTTCGAACGGGAAAATTCAGCAAATAATAACCGGTAGGTGAACGCTTAGCCGGATGTCTCTAAGGAAAAAACACGCACCCTCCAGTGAATTGTCCGAAGAGGGGCTGATATGCATTTTCGACTTCTCCCAAGCAGCACGCAGACGCAGACCAACAAGGCAATAGCATTTCTGGACAGCTAGTGGATTCACTTGACAATGGAGAATGTCCGCATTCAAGGAGAGCACGTCTTCTTCGCCGTCAGTAGAAGTTTGCAATAGCAAGTGTAAGTTGTCAACGAGGCAGGCCCGCTGGAGATCCTGCAGACCCAGTTCGCCTGAGTCCAAGAGAAGAGAGGTGAAACGGTCGACAATATTTTGTCGATCTGGAGATGAGGTGAGCTGCGATGTGAGGAGCGACCGCAGGCTGAGCAAGACGAAGCGAGATGTTAGAGGGATGGAAAAACTCTCGTGTTTGTGAGTTAGCAACAAGTCAAGGATTCTGGTGATGACTTCGGTAATGGCTATAGAGAAGAGGTGAACAATAAGCCAGCATTAGACCAGAAAGGCATTATAAGGCATCAAGGCGTGTGCAAATACGATAGCCCTTTGTAAAGGTGGCTTCAGACGCAAGAGAAACAATCTGTCTGAATTTGTGGCGCACACGTGTAGCTAACAAAACCACTCTTGATATTTAATGAACCGAACCTAAATTTATGTCTGGTCAACAACAATCTGATGAGTGGAGCACAAGCATTATGTACAAAGAAAGCGGTACAGATACAGGAATATTCTTTTGAAGAATTTTAATCGCGTTGTTAGGAGTACCACTATACGCATCGTAGTAGCTAGGAGGAAACTTTAGGACCTCGAACCACGAAACAGTAAAGGCTCATAACGACTTAAAAAGCAGAATTAGATAGGAATGCAATTAATATCACCTTTATCGGAAAACTTGTTTAGTAATGTAGCAGCACAAAAGCACATTTCATGTGCAACAATGCCCTGTAGAGCCAGGTTGATCGAGAAGTCTGATGTATACAGTGTAAAGTATTTGAAGAGCAAGTCAGCAATGGCTTGGAGCTCGGTATTCGGCAGCTAGAAGGTGGGGAAGAAACGGCAAGTGATTATATGAAATTTAAAGACCTTTAAATATGAAAAAAAAATGGAGTACCGTCGGATAGACCGCTGAAATTACTGCACAGTCCAGAAGGATGGTTGAATATGGGCTCGAAACCTATTAAGTAGAGAGTTCCGATTATGGACAAATAAAATGTTGCTGCCACGCAGATAAGAGAAATGAATACCTTCGCTACTTTGGTAGAATCCAGGAATGAAGCAAAGGCAATTCTTTGCTGTCTGAAATTGGAAGACACAAATGTATGCAGTTAAAATACTGACGCCTACCGGGACGTGATGTCGCGTGAATCAGGTTAACAGACGATCTAAGCTGAAGAGGTAGCCATTCCCCTAGCCTGGCATGAAATTTATTCTATCAGACTTCCGCAGAGGTAGCATTGAAATTCGACAGGTTACATTTACAAACGAAGGTTGGAAAAAAAATAAAATTGACGATTTAATTGCGACCTCCATTTTGACCAATGGGTGCACTATAGCGAAGGTGCTCTCTGCCAAGAGCTAGTCCAATATACCAACTCCAAAGTACAAAACGAAGGATTAATAACTAGTCTACCACCCCTCATACCAGATTATTAGCAAAAGGCCACTAAAGCATTCACAAACAGCGCATACAGCTAAAAGTAGTCTGTTATGGTAAACATTTGTTTTATCTTGTTCCACATAGATTTTGATCAACTATCGCGGCCATGTCCTTAGGTTGACCCGACACAAGGTAGTGCTTAGTGTGCACGAAGGGACTACTTCGTAAGGAGAGCATAATTGACTGGTTTGCACTCAAATTGCATTTTCAGGGAAAAGATAGCCTAAAACTCACTCCTCAGACAGACCCGAGGTTGTCAAACGAACCACCGATAGCAGATCTGTCAAGCAGATATCGGCTTTTTCATTGGCCAAAGCAGTTATGAGGTAATCCGTCAAGTCAATGATGTTATTCACACGATTTTGGAGAAAGCTAGCCAGAAAAGGGAGTAAGCGGTTCTCGTCATTCCTTCGAAGAGATTTCGCAACAAACAGCAGTGAGGAGACCAGTCTACTGGCTAAAATATACCCGGATATTTTTGGAATGACTGCACAGCAGCAGGCTCCCGTTATTTAAATAGTGTAAATTACGCACCAGGAGGCATGCTAATTGTATCTGAGCACCGCTCAAAGAGGAGAGTGAAGAGGCTCTTAAAAATATCGCTGTTATTGCAGGATGCTCGCTGAAGTATCTCGATTGCAGCACACTCGAGACTATCCGATAAATTTTCTACAAGGGTAAAGATAGACGATGCGTAAAAAAGTGCAAGTTGTGAAAAGTTCATTGGGCATTGCCGAAAAGATCGATACCTTGATTTGGTAGAAAGAATATTCTAGGGCTTATTCCTTATACACGAAACGAGGCATGAGATAGGAAAAGTATACACTGTGTTTAAGACGCCTTTAAGCAGAGAAGAGAAACAATAAATCCGGTAATGCACCTTACTTTCGATAATTGGTAAAAGCAGACGCATAAGGCCATCCCCTACCGGCGAGGGCTCGGAGACAATTCTGGAAAGCAAAACCCGTTGTTCCGACCTATAATTAGAGGAGGAACGAGGAATTGGACCATAACAAACTACCCCATGACTACTGCAATAAGACAAGACGGGAATCTGATTTGTAATCTTAAGAATAATGGTTCATGCAAACGTCAGGATAAGCGGCCCCACCAGCGAGTTAGTCTTGACCACGTCCATGAGAACCCGACCATGCCGATTCTGGCTCATGTGGATAACACAGGTGAGTGCTGCGACACCACATTGTCGTAAAACGACAAATCTAGTGTCTGCGAACGAATTATAGCCACAGTAAATGCATTATCCCCACATTAGTCCGATAGGCCGCCCTGCAGGACAAAGATGACAGCGCATAGAGTCCTTCAAGCGGATCATAAGCAGCGCATATGCACAAGGAAAATTTGGGGCACCATCAGTCCTTCACTGGGCCGTGAAGACAATATGTGAGCTTTAGATCCACGCAAACATGGATCGCGCTTTAGTGTGCAAATTGAGCTTTGCAAGTTTCCAGCCGGTCAGCACTTATAAGCAAGGACGAAAGAGTTGCATTACCTTAAGACGTTCATATTAGCCTCTGTATCTTTACTAGGCGCAGTGTGTTCCAGAACATGGGGAATAAACTCCAGAAAGGCTTTTCTGACATCTTCACTGACTTCTGTGCAATAAGATAGTACACGGCAGAGAAGATTGAAGGCTACGATTTCGGCAAGACATCGCTGACGATCACCAGCACATAGTCGAAGGTCAGAACAGGAGCGTTTCAGGGTGTGTGAGAGGTTGAAAATGATTGACAGGGCTTGCGTCTCATCTACCTGCAAGGCTGAGTGTGGGAAGGAAATCGGTGTAGAAGTAAATCCCAATTTTGATAAGTTTAAACTTGTGGGGCGGGGCACATCGACTAACACACTCTGAAGATCAGTCAAATGTATGCGGAGTGATCGGGTGGCAAGTCTCCAAGATTACAACACTAGACAGAAAACCCACAAATTCCCCATTTGATGTTACGGTTTTGTTGAGACGAGGGCGGACAATATGTGACATCCAATCAGGTCTTCGTTTAGGACAGATAAAACTACAATCGGCGGAAAAACCAAAGTAAAGACATGTGAAAAAAGCGAATCTCCGTCTGAGCACATATACCTCTACAGTGTAAACTACCTAAAAATGTCGACCGTGAACATTTTCGATTTTGCTTGTCTGTTTGATCCCATAAAGAGATAGTTTAAACAAGGGTAAATACCTTTTAAGGAAAGGGATCTATGACGAGAGACGTGAAATAAGACACGATTGAGGAAGGAAAGATGTGGGGTCCACACGGTAAGCTAAAACAAAAACAGAGAATTGAAGAAGTACTAATGTACTTAACAAATATTGGTTTATGGACTAAGTTACTCCATTTGATTTGTGTTAAACCGTATGGCCTTGAAGAAAATCCAAAGAGATTATGACTACCTGTTCAAATTTCGACCGATAATAGCAGTCATCAGACGGTAGCGGGTTAACCTTTGGAAACAGAAGCGGCTCTGCGAGACGCTGGAATAGTCGGACGAGAAGGGCACCATTAAGTGATGCCACAGCAGCCACAACAATGCAGTCAGATGCTAATCCAAGGGGAGGCGATTTCAACGGCGATTCGGTGCCAGCTGGGGGGAGAGTGAACCAGCCACTGAGTCGCATTACCTCCTTCTCACTCTTTTCTGACCACAGGGAGTCGAGGAAGGCCTCCACGAAATCCACGTCTGCCGACTTAAGGAGTAAATATGATGTTAGGCTCAGTACCTTCCAGAAAAAAACATATAAATATCCTCAAATGGTGAAGCAATACACGACCTTCCGTAGCCTACAGTTATTTGCAACCAAAAACATCAAATCAGCACGCAATGGCCGTAACTCTTGGGCATGGCGATGACACACCTTAACGTACTAGGAATAAATTGTCAAGGTTAATCATACGCTAATTCCATTATCCGAGGGATTTTGGTAATGCTACATTGGTCGATAGCATCTTATCCTCGCAAGCAACGAAAATCTGGTAAAATGTACAATGTAGACTCGAACTAAGTTTTTTCAGCGTTACAATTAAAATGTTTTCACTAACTTCGTCTTTATGCATGATTGCAAGCCCTGCAACAATGGTGAGTAGCTGGCGGACGTTGTCTGTGCGATCCGAGGCTTCTAGTTCAATTGCCTGTAAAAAAAATTGGCACCAATAAAACATGATAACAGAACGAGTTTTATTTGGTAGAAAAAGTGATACCTTTTGTGGAGTGCCTAATTAACAACAAGACCTATACAAAAAGGCATCAAAAATTGCAGTAGAAAGCAATTCGCGACATGAATCGTAAAGACCACCGAACATTGCGTCCACAGACAGCACAACTTACTAGCTCTCTAACCATGTTACATATAGCAAATAGGTAGGCCGACACGTAGTTTGCCGGGATGGGATCCTCTTCAACACCAGACGGAAGATTCAGGGCAAAGTCGGAGAAAAATGAGGCTGCCTGAGGAAGACCGACTAGGCAGTCGGCGAGCAGGGCTAAGGCATCCGTTCGCCCCTCCTGCCACGATGAGTTTGCCTTTTCGAGTAGAAGGGGCAGCAGAAGAGAGCCGTCGAGATGCCGGGAGGCAAACAGACAGGCGTGCAACTTATCAACCAGCTCGGAACGAGCAACTGTCAACGGACTTCCGGGTGGCTTTCGCAAAAAAACAGTGAAATTATTATTATTACTGTTGTTATTGTTGTTGCTGTTGTTTGCATTTAAATGACCTCTGGAACATATTAGCAGTCAGCAACGACATATTATGACGAGTCGAAAAAAATCGAACATGTAATTGAAAACACTGTTTTATAGAGCACTCAATGCAGACGAAACTGTATTTCATTATTTTTTTGGAACAGCGTACACTTACACCGAGAAAGCTGAGTAAATAGGCATAACAAATATCACAACAAGACAGGCTGCCACCATACATGTCAAATTGACCATAAAAGCGGCAACGATAATCCATTGAACAGACCCTTAGATGAGGTATTTCGACTTCTGTACTGACCAAAAAGATATAGCACCACTTATACCTACCGGTGCGTAGTCCACTGGAAAGTAGGCTGCCATGCAATCAAAGTGCTCCTCGGCCATATGTCCCAGCTCAAAGTGCTGCAGTACAATTGAGTGCATAGGGAAGATGAGCATCAGACATTCGGGGTCTTTTTCTCTCTCAACTGACGCAATGAATCTGCGAATTAGTTCAAACTTCATTGAAATTAGGCCTTGGCGGGTGGAGGGAGTTGAAAAAAGCGCATGAAGAAGTCGAAAAGCCATCAGACGATCCTTTTTACAAAGACTGGGGATTTGAAGGGCGTCGAGGCACTCGTCGCTACAGATTCTAATGGCACAAGCAGCATTGAGGAGTTGGTGATCGGCAAACCATAGAATGCCCTCCAAAAGAGTAGTAACCAAGTCCGGATGAAACAGGACCAAGCGCGATACGTAAAAATCAATGACGTGGGACACTGTGGAAAGTTTCATTACCTTTAAAAGTCAATGTCACACGTTACCTCCTTCTTCAGTGAAGCATTTTGAGGGCAACGAACGAATGCCGACATTTAGCTTCACAAAAGCCTCCTTTTGCAGGTGGGCCTCGGGGTTTGTTAAGCCCTCACTAGCAAGCATGTGCATAATACGAGTAGCTTACTTCAACGATTCTACAAGCGTCAGTAAATCCGATTTGCCCATAGCCTATCAAAACAAAGTAGACCTCAATACACACGGATACACATAGTGGGAACAACAAATCCACTCACTTGACTACTGAAATGAATAACAAAGTACAAAAGAATAAAGATAAGCACAACTAACTTGGCTGACCGGTGTGAGAGTTCCATCAATCGAAGTTAAATTTGAATGTCAATGTACAAAGTTTATTTTAACACACATTCCACTGATAAAAAACGCTACGTGTGGAAGAGAGGGATTATCGTTATTCACAAACAAAAAACGCTGTCATTCGGAAGGGGCTAAGCCTTTGCCTTTCGGGGAGACTATGTGGTGAACACTGGCGACAAAGGCTGACTTCAGTTACCGACCATATCGCTATTTTTAATGGGGGAGAGATTTAGTAAAAAGGGATCTGGGGTACTCAAAATGACTGAACTTGGATATCAGGAGAAAACTGGAGTCCATCATGTGCTCGAACTTTTAAAAGAGAATAAAGGGAAAGGTATTAGTTGGCTTTGGAAACAAATAACCCCCCTTGCCATTGGCAAAGTCAGTAAGAGGTAGCAAATGACAACTTTACGACCGTGAGAAAAACTACATGTCATTCACGGAAGTGGCCATCAGAACTGGTAACTAGGAATGTAGTCTAAACGCATGTCCATAAGGTTACAATGGCAGCAGTCTGAATTGAGTAAATAACAGAACTTGATGGAAACTTCTATGGTAACATATACTACGACGACAAACAGATAATGGAGCCAAAAAGAAGCTTCCCGAGACACAATCTCATGGGATTGCAAGAACCATGCTGATTACCGAGGGTTTGACGAAAACAAAACAAATCCACCGAATCAATGTGAAATCACCTACCCTTCCGTAAATAGGAACAAGCAGCTAAACAAGTAATCAAATGTTACGCGGAAAGAGCAGTTAAAAGCGTTAAAAGATCTTTAGGGCGTGTAGCATACACAAAATTGAATTAATAAATATTCCAAAAATACTCCATTGATGACAAAATGACGCACAGGGATCTGGATAGCCAACTTAAATTGAAAATCACAAGGATGAACTTGGGAAATTACTAACAAACTAAGAGTCAAATAACGTAAACCCGGGTTTAATGCGCAGTTTTAGAGCAAATGTGGTCACGTTGGTCAAAGAGAGAGAGGTTTCTACAATTTACATTACTAGTAACTTCGAAACCCCACGTAAAATCACTAGATATGGGAACCAAGCAACTGCCAAAACGGGTGGAATTATAAAATAGTGCAACAATGAAGCCTGAGGTTACTTAAAAGATTGAATCTACGAAATCGGTCTCGACGACACCTCGTGGACATCAGTGACCTTGAAATGCAGCGAATTTGGTTGTTATTATAATGTATTGTTGGCGAGTTAGAGCCAATTTATGAATTTTTTTCCAAGTTTAGTTGACAACTGTTAAGTCTCATTCCAGAAGGGGAACTGTGACATAAACTTGAACATAAACGAAGCTTCCACAGTGGGTTTGTTAAGCCAAAGCAGACAAGCCAATCGCCGTCAGAGTTGATTTGCGAATGATGAAGGCTGCAGATTCTTCAAAGTGTATTTTCGACTACCTCAAAACTTTGGATGCCAATGATTTGGATGAGCTGTATGGTCACCCACCAACGTGCCTTATTGTTTTTAGGTTTGATATATTTTCCATCTGATGTTCTTTAGAGAACTTCGAGAACTGTCAAAGCACCTGATTCTGAGACTTTTGTTTCTTGAACAAACCATACCGAAATCAATCGTTTCTGGATGGGTTTCAAAGGGTTCTCAAGAACTTTTAAACCAAGCCTGCACCGACTTGTCAGACTTGCGTGTTTGGCATAGTATTGACAGCAATAGCGCCCGTGGATCCTGGAGACTAAATAAAAAATTTCAAGAATCAATGAAAGTTTCCCTATTTGGCGGGTAAGCCCTTTATTTTTCAAAATAATTTGCAGTGGAAATCAACTTTTGAGCGACTTTGGGTCAACAACAGCTGAGAAGCATCCAAAGGATGCAGATTTCTTGGAGAATTACGCCTCTGAGAGGTGGGATGTAAGCTAGCAACATTGTTACTTAAATCCACAGTCAATTTTACACTTCATGGTTGGATCAGACAACGCCGAAGTTGGTACTTGCGTTCGAGATGTTCTTTTGCTTTCGGGTCTGATGAAAAGGTAACTCGATTTACTACAAGTCTTACAGGAATAGAGGTGGCCCCGACTTTTCCATGGGTATTACGCAGAGAGGATTTCAGTTTCTCCTTATGGATCGGTCATCGCAAGTTCTTCGGTTTATGTTGCACTATTTTGACTACCTTAAGGTATTTGATTGACCGTTGTCTAATTAGTATTCAGGAAAGTCGAATGAATCTAATCGAATCACTTCAATTTGTTTTCCAGTTAAGTTTTCTTTCCATCGGCAAAGTATGTCTCTCCTTTTTAAACTGTTGGCCATGAAAGAGCAATGACCTTAAATGAATTTTTGCTTGGTAGAGTTATCCCATCAGTATGTTATCGACGGCAAAGCAGGAGATTTTGCAACACATGCGGGAGCTCGGTTTAGCTTACCAACGCAAGAGAACCGCCCCTCGATTTTATGTGACTCGTTTAGCTCTTAGTCTCGCTTTTGGTACCTCAACAATCTCAAGCTCAGTGCGCAGTTCTCTTGATGGGGAACACAGTCTTTTATTCTCAACTAATCCTCTACCAACCGGAGTTAGTCAGCGGGCAGTTAAGGCTGGTGGGACCGAATCTGGAGGCGCTGCAGATGTTGGATTTATTCTCGTCGAAACAAACTTCAGGCTTTATGCCTATACTGGTCAGTACTTAGTTCGCAAAACTCCTTGTTAAATGTAGCGAATCTCGCCTTCAGATTTTCAAAACTATTTATCAAAGTATGTTTACTTCTAAATGGCTTTTGACTTGTGTTTATTTTTAAGACCCAGGAGAAGGGATATAGTGACGTCGCTATTAGGCTCTATGAAGAATAATTAGATATAGGCCTGGATTTAGACCGTGTTCTCATCAATGCGCTGCACTTTTTTTGCACAGTTGAACCCACAACAGGCTAATTCACCATGCGACTGTGCGTTGAAGCGTCAGCTACCTTTGGAAATACATAATTGCATTAATGCTCAGCCGGTAATTAGTTAATGTAAGTTAAATATCCTTTTGGTAAATTCGTATTTACTTTGAAATAGACGAAAGTATAGAATCACCACCGGCGGACTATGATACTCGCTCCCATTTGGAATTTAATCATTATTTTTTCTAAAAACTGCTTTCAAAAATAGACGTTTTGGATGTGTGGTTACAATTTAAGGTCTGTTGAATATTTTAGATTCACCGTTGCGGACCGCTTTGTTAAGCTTGTTCAGTAAAATCCGCGTGAGATACCCAAACATGGTCGTTGCGGACATAACTCGAGATTCTGTTCGTGAGGCTCTTCTCAGGGGTATCAGTGCTGACCAGGTCAGTACAACTTCCGGTGATACATTTCATTCATTTATTACCAAATGCCTAAGGCTGGTATGGCTCCTCAATTCTTCGTTAGTTAACACTAGAATACATCAGTTTCACTCCCAGGCTTACTTATCCAGCTCCTTTGCCTGTTGAAATCTTGAGAAATTCGCACATAGCATGTCCAGCGGCATAGCTTCACTCGCTGCACCACGCTTTGCATCACTAAAGCTACAGGCCATTGATATCCACTATTGTACAAACCCCCGTTTTAGTAGCATCTTAGTAGTGAAATTCTAATGCAGCCCACTTTTCTTTCAGATCATATCTTTCCTCATGTCAAACGCGCACCCTGATATGCTTAGACAGGTACTATTTCCATGTCCTTCGGCCACAAGACTCTTCTAGGGGCTTGAGGCTGTTTTTTAAAGTCGTATCCCTCATGCAGTTGCAGTATTCCTATAACTGTCCGCTTAGACTGGCCAGCTTTTATTACATTTAGCCGGAAATTCTTCCGCCAACACTGGTCGATCAAATCCGTCTTTGGGAGCTCGAACGAGAACGGCTCTTCTTCCAAGAAGGCTGCCTCTACGAGCAGTTTGCAAAAAACACAGACTTTGAGATGATACGCGATTATGCTAAGGTACGTGGGGCCGCTGCCCGAGGTCAGATGTGCCATAAAGTAACTACAAAAACTGTTTGCTCAATTTACAATAAGTAATCAAGATTTTATTTTACACGGAAGTCACTTTTACCTTCTGTGTTTGTTTAGGGTCATGGATATTTGCTATGGGAGTGCCCGGAACGCCGACTAATGGTAGTCTCCAAAGCTGGCCACGACGATGTTCGCGCATTCTGGAAGCAGAAACGACCCATGTAGAATACACGGCAAAACAATGAAAAAAAAACTTGTACAGCCACTCGTTTTTTCTATTTCGCCGAACAAAGTAAAGCACGGTACCATTAGTTAGTCCAGGCACGTCTTTTATTCGCACATTCCTATCTTTAAGCAAAACCTCATCCGAGGCGAGGCAGTGGGTTCTCCAGAACCTCCGCCAGTTTATAAACTTGGGGGGCGGTCCCCGAGAAAAGGCCTTCGAGATTGCAACTTTGTCGTGCTTATCAATGCGGCTAATAAGCGCTTCATAGTCCTTTTGCTGTTTCTTGTGTTTACCATTGATAGAGTCTGCTACAGCTAGAAATATATCGTTGACCTTCCCATTGTTTCGGACGATAACCGAGATTCTCTCTCCGTCGGCTCGATTAACCACTAGTCGAGTTGCCTATAAAGTGCAAAATGTGGGCAAAACCGATATCCTACTTGGCCATGATGAAGAGCTATCAGGTTATCAATATGCCGTTCGTTCAGGGGAAAGTCTGGGGGTCGGGTATCCACTGTGAATTCGTCCCCTTCAATTAAATGCTCTATTTTTGAGTCAACGTCTTCTCGAAACAAATGGAAGTTAGCAAGAAATACGGCATCCTCGTCAAGTCGTTCATCCATTGACCTGCAAAATGGTCAATTTGGTGGGTTTACAAAGGCATTATTTTCATTTAAACTTCCAATGAAAATGCGATAAACATCCGTTCATTATAAGCAACCATCTGCACTTCATGGGGTATTTACTAAACCGAACAAAGGACTGTGCCGTTCAAATCGGCTGGAAAGAGGAGGAGTCAACAAATGTAGTCTCCAGAATGATAAATCTGAGATGTATGAGACTTTAACTGCATTACAGTTGTGTTATTATGTGCTCACAAAAAAATTCATGGAACATGATCGCAGAGGGCTGCCATGTTTTAAAATTTCATGGGAAAATTCAGAGCTGAGAATGCACAAGTATAAGCAACAAAAAAAACTGATGACACAAATACAAACGTAAATTTTCTATCAGAAAGCATTATTGGTTATTAAACAGATTGATTGTAACTGCACTCCGCACCAAATGTAAAGAAGAAAATGTCAAAATATAGCATAAAATGTGTATTTTCAAACAGGAAGCGTACACAGGCGTTCGGTTTAAATCTAGTCTACCGCTTTCCAAGAATATTGAGAAACTTTCCACGAGCCATTTCTTTAGCTAAACATAAGGTATCAACAGTAAATTCAGTACATACATTCTTCCAAGCCAACTTGGTAGGCCAGATTCTGCAGATGCTTAATCTTATCCATAAGCTGCTGGGTTGATAAGCTTCCAAAGTCTACAATTATTAGTAAGTATTGGGATCCCTGTTACCATGAATCAGTTCAAGGTCCTCTTTGTCAAGATCAGTTCTGTACTTCGAAGGTGTCTGGATATTCAGATCTGGCTGACGTGTTGATATAAATTCTGAAACACCTACAACCTAAATGCGCAAAAATTAAATCAGACTTTGATCGGGCCAAAGTTCTGGTGATGCCCTATCGAGGTTCTCATCGGAAACTAAACCTTGTTCGTCCATTGTTATTGGGCGAAGTTACAGCAAGCCCATCATTTTTAAAACCACCGCGGATGTCAAGACCTTATAAATTGACATGGGACTCAACCAAATTAAACGTAAGTTTTTCACTTTTTTTCAGCAAAAAAGTTAGAATAAAATTTTTTTCATTACCAATAGCCAGACGGTCATCACTATCTGCCCCGCCGTAATTTTAACACAGTTCTAAAGTTTATTTATATAGTCATAGGGGTCATTTTAAATAAATCACTTGCACCTACGCATTCTTGAAAGTTGCCAGCATAATACTTATCAGTTATTGAATATTTGGGCCTAAACCTCGTGTCCTCTGTCCTCCCGACCTTTGCCTTGTTACAACCCGGTTTAATAATCGCACAGCTCTTCCTTTTATTTGACAATATTTGCTATCTGGTTGCATTATTTAATGCTTATGCAAATGAAAATTAAACATTGTGTCAGTCACTCTTCTCTACAAGTTTTCTAATTCGGATTTCGACACATTATATCAAGAAATTCTGCTTATCGTTTGTGCTTCCAGAGATTTATCCGAAAACAGTGTACACAACTTTTAAGAACCAGAGAATCACTATCCTTTAGATCTAACCACTCGACCAAACACAGCTTTTAATCTTCATCGTGCTTATCGTTTCATGCAGTTGCATCCCTCTATAATGGCGCCTTATTTTACCCTCTACCTGTCATATATCATTGATAACTGTCACAAAATATATTTTACTGGTTTAGTAGTTTTCTAGCAGTACATTAATTTGTTTGTCATCTTACTCGTCCAGTACACGACCATGATGCACCTGTATAAATTGATAATATGAACCACAGTACAATTCTATAATTGCCTGGCCTAGACCACTCCGTCCTCCTGCAATCCAAATATGTGCAACGTGGGGACAGAGGGCCGACATCTTGGTGCTTAGCCATAGGTCAATAATTAGTGGCCCGCCCGACGGCATCACGTGAGAAGTGGCGTGATTTCCTGTTGCGTTGAGCAGTGGGGTTTCGAATCTAACCACCTCACAAATTTGCCTTTCAATTTCTAGAAGCCAAACCGGAGCCATTGGACTGACACGGGCAACCCAGACAGACAAACCCTTTGTTCACAATGAACCTTAACCCTGATATTGGAGACCCATATCAGTATTTCGTAACAATAACTCCAAATAATCGTCCATACGCTTTCTTAGCATGTCCACACACGTTACACACGAGACTCGAAAAATAACACTGGTTTACTGACCTTTGAATCACATTATAGGATAACCACACATTAAACTGCTTATCGGCTTGAAAAGTTATTAATGAGCGCATTGAATAAAGAACTAATCGATGTTTGTTGGGAGTAATCATTCAATGATCATGCATGGAATCTACACCACCTGTAAATGTCTTGGAAGCACGTGTAGTCGAATAAATTGATCAATAATGCCGCTTGATGAGCATCAGAGGTGTAAAATAATATGCTAGATTAGATTAGACTTTTCAGTCATTAGTATTATTTATTCTGTCTTGGCACCGGCTGCGTTTCATTTACTCCACATTAAATTTTAAATACTCAGATGCCATTCTTCCAGAAATTCATAATATAGCTCAAGGAAGATGTAATTGCTTGCTGCAACTGTAAACGAAAAAAATATAATAACTCATATCGAGTAAGTTCGTTCACCAGATGTAATAATATTTCTTTCAACACTTTAAAAATTCCCACAAAATTAAATCTATCCAGAAAAGCCCATAGGAGTTAATCTCAGCTAGGGCATTATCCTAGGTTAATTCTAATTTTTCTTTATTACCGTCCATGTCATTGACATGAATTACTGCTCCTTTCGTTTGAGCACCACCTGAAGGAAGTCCTTACTAAGTCACAGTTCATGGTCACTCTTCTTTGAAGCAACGTAAAACTATCTAAAAGATCTCAATCGTAAAGTGCAACTCTTCACACCTAAAATAGTTGCTGGAATTCTTTCTGGTGAACCCAATTGAACCTACAAAGATGGTGTCAGCATTAGTTTCCGATATGTGTGAATCACGTGGTCCATACATGATCCTGGAACTTGTGGCGATTAATTTACTAAGGCTAAGCTGTGAAGCTTATTATTTACTTCATTTGCAATCTACATATTTTTGTTTAAATTAGCACGTGCATTGTTTTAAGTGTTTCCAGTCTTCATCAATTATCCTTCCAATGTCGAGTGCTTTATCCGAGTGTATAAAACGTCATCAATTACGAAACCTGTGGTAAAATACTTATTATCTGATCAAAAAAAACTTTTTCAAGAAAATTAACTCACACCTTCCTTAAGGATTCCGCTATGGGAAGGCACAACTGTAGATTACTTTTCCCTTAAACCTGTTTGCAAACACGATTTATCTATGTTCTGTACTCCCTCTGACGCAAGCGTCTTTATTGTAGACTCCACCACCTTCAAACGAAACACGCTCCAAGACAACGACTTCAGTAAGTCTCATTTATGACCAACAATTCGTGGCAGGCGTCATCCTGTAGGCCTTACAATTCCTCTGGCATTAGAAAATGCTGAAAGTTCAGAAAAATTTTCATTTTCACATTAATTTAATGCCTAATCCTCAAGCAACTGCGCAGACAGCTTGGTAATTCATGTAAAGTGTAATTAAACAAGTATGTCCGTAATGTATGCCCCACATTACGACCACAAAACCCGAAAATTCCCCACGAAATATAATCTCGGACTGTTTACACTAAGGCCAAGGCAAAAGAATGATACGCTACTTCCAGAATCTTTGCAAAAAAATTCACTTGTTTGTCATTGTGCATGTAAACAAGACTTGTGTGCTAATAAAATCTATCGTAACTGAAAACTATTGAATACGTAAATAAAAATCGGTCCGAAACAGTATACAGTTCAAACCAGTAAGAATACAGACAACGGACAATGTAAATTTTATATGCGAAAGGGTAAATAAACTTATGATATGTATATGCAAGTTTCAATTAAAATACATTTTCCCAATGCCGCAGGATGGCAAGAAACATAATAATACTGTTTTTCCTTTTTAACACATATGTTGCAGAGAGACACATTTACAAACTACTAAACGCAAGTATAAAGAACCGTCATCAGGAATGAACAGAGTTATGGGCAGAAATGAATTTATCTGACCTAGTCTAAAGGCAAATTACCTGCGCTTAGAGAGGCCAGCTGTGGACAAAAATCAGTTCTCAAAATAAAAATTTAATACTTTGTCAATCTAATCACCTTTAATGACTGTCTACCACCATGTGAAATTTCTCGTCTCACATTATTTTTAAAAACTAGATAAAATCTTTTTTTTAAAAGTGGAATATCTAACCCAACTTTGAGATCTTGTACATGCATTCCTCAATACTTGTCTAAGAACACATAAGTCTTTTATTTACTGCATCTTAAGAACGCTACAGAAAAAAATTGTTTCTACAAATCAGTACATTTAATTCCGATTACAATTAAAAGGATATGGGTGTAGTTTAAAGATAGTCAAGAAATTTAAAATGTCGTACCGGTCCTGAAAATTGGCATCATGTCATGGTTGAGTTCAAAGATATAAAAGCTAAATCAAATGACGAATTGTAGAACTGTGAACTAATGTATTCTACTTTTAACTCCCACGGTTCATTTTCAGTACCCATTGCTTGAAATCAGCTTTAAATTACTTTCCTTAATTTATCCATTTTTTGAACCTTTAGGATAAAATGCACTTTAAGAAACTTGCATTTAGCTCATTAGCAGCCTTTTTTCCAGATTTTGGAAAGATTTATTCTGCGTGTTTTAATAATTTGTCGAAGTGCAGCCTTATATGATTTTGTGCGGCTATTTTTATTTCGTTTCGAGTCTACATGGTACGGTTTTGTGGTGCTAATCCATCTTAACGCCGTCCAATCGTATAAGAATTTGTTAAAGTTACTCAAAACGTTTGGCTAAGGGCGTTTAAAGTATCACAAATCTTTTTTTAGCATCGATGTCTTGAGTTATGTTTTTCAAGTGATAGTTCGCTTACTAACAATAAAAAGTCTCTTCTCATGAGATTTTAGTGCTTATACTTTTCCACGTGTCGGTTTGGTGATGGCATGGTTTGTGGGTAGATCCTCAGTTCATTTAGTCTGCTTTCTTGCACACAGTGGACTTCAGCATTGATAGACGTTTTTTGCAAGTAAGCTCGGTTGCTGTTTATGTTTACTTTGTTTCTTACAGCTTTTCATGCTCTTAGTTTTCATTAAAATATGTAACCTTGATAAAACCCTTCAATACGCAATTTTTTTATTTTTCCTCTTTTTGTGGTCTGAAAATTAAAAGAATTTGTGATCTTTTTATATTTGCTCTGTACCTTGAGGCTGCACCAAAACCTACTGTGACTACTTTTATTTCGATCCTCTTTTATACTTGTGTGTTTTTTGTAATTGTTTTTTTAAGATGTTGACTTAAATTCACTGGTGTGGAGAGACTGGAGTATGTTATCGGGCGCGTTATATGATATACCAAAACTACTGATATTTGCCTAGACAATTCTTATACTTTGGAAATTTTATTGGCTTGCAGCGTTGTTGGTTTGTCACCACCTCGTGCCGATCCTACTTATGTTATGTTCTATCGCAAAGTCATCGTCTGTTTTAATGAGGAGGCTATTACAAACACCCTTACTTTATATATTATCAGGCTATTTAAATCCAGGCTGGAGTTATGCAGCTACGAAGGTAATTTTAACGCAAATCTAAAATCCGTCTAATCACTTTGGTTTGGGCTCCTTTACTCTCTTGTTTTCGCAAAGTTAATTATGAATCATTATGAAGGGGTAGATTTGGTCGTGAGAGAAAAGTGAAGGTCAATTAAAATTTTATTATAACTGTTGGAAAAGAATTAATTCAACCAAAAATGAAAAAAATTGTTCGGTTCCATTTTCGGGTCGTCGAACAAGTACACCATGTTCATTAAATAGAAATCACCTATGTAACCACGGCGTTCAAATGACTGCTTAGACACGTTCTGTCACCAGGTGAAAATTCTGCATTTTCCTTGCACTACTTCATTTATAGCGTTTTTCCCTGCCAGACAATTAGTTGTTTGATAATTTTGTAGGACATCAGCGTTTCTCGCTGTGGTATTTTCGTTTATATTAAAGCAAGGAAGCACAGGAGCCGAAGTCATTTTCTGCTAATTGTTTTATTTTTTGTTCGTAGAGGCTTCCACGAGTTTTATTTTTTTTTTATTTTTTGTTCGTTCTAAGTATGTTGTAAAGCCTTCGATGTAGTGATTTAGAAAAAAATCTAGCAATCAGTGCACTATTTCCATATTCAATTGGAGTTTTTAAATGATCGAACAGTCGATTGACTGATAGACGACTATTTTTACTTGAAGTGTTTAGTGTGAACATAATTCATCGGTTTAATTTAAAAATTTGCAACTGTCTGCTTCTGCCTCGGGTAACAATCAATAAATGATAATTGCGGAATATGTGAGTGACCAAATGTTTTTGTAACTGTGACAACGACCTCCAAAGCCCACACGACCAACTTCTCAGGAACTTGTTACCGCTCAATTAGTAGCAGTGCAGTTCTTGCGAAGCGCCCAGTTGAGACTATATTGCCTATACTTGTTCCACTCCATTAATGAGGACAATTATAACCGATGTAGAGAAATTTCTAGATTCTGAGCAACCTTCCTGGGAGGATGTCTCTTTCTCCGTTAAAATTATTTGGGTTTGCTGAGCCATTCCATCTGTGTTGAAAGACTAGGACTGTGAGGGAACCTACCGTAAGGATAGTGGGTTCTTGTACAAACACCAACGAAGGCTTGTAACGACCTCTATGCTACCCCATTCTTCATCGAACATCTACGTGCACTGGAGAACGCGTCCGGCACTTCGTGCACTTACCCTAATTTTATTCAATATGATTTTTGCTTCTTGTACATTTGACCTGTGCATTAACAATTGTTATCATTTTGACTGAGAATTTTTTGTCTGCTCGATTGCTTTCAGCTCACACTGGACAGTTCCTACCCTGTAATATTTTGTGCTTCCCTATCTGGGGTTTTTCATCTAGCTAAAAACATGGCCTCTATGGGTGCACGCCAGGTCTTGCTAACGCCGGTGCGGTATATTCGACACAAGCCTTGGATCCCGAAGTTTCGTCTAATCCGCCAAATGCAGCCGTGGGTGCAACCTTTTGATCCAGACCACATCTTTCTTGGTGGAAAAAGTGGAATGGAGCGTGTTACTTCAACAGAAATTCGAGAACAGCTTCGTCGCAATGGACTGATGCCCCCAATTCTGTTCCAGGATCGTCCTATTAATTTAACACATTCCGGTAAGAATTCCTTAAAAACTGCCTACCTAAGTGCATCAGTAATCTCATTATATTATGCATTATCGTTGGATAGGTCGCATCTTCGATGAATACGTCCCCCCTGAGGGTGATGGAAAATCGTCTCTCCTTTCCAACAGGGTATGGCTTCTTCTTTTTCTTCATTTCTTAGGGTGTGTCAGGGGTAAAGGATACAGTAATGAACAACACAAAAACAGTCCGAGCAACACAACGTATCAAGAAACACAAGCCGACATTCAGTACGTCTGGATTTTTGTCAGAAGCAGACGCAATTTATAAGGAGGCTCACACTCTTCTTCCCAAGTGCGTTCATTACTTCGTATCCTAGCGTTCTGGATCTTTTTTGTCATTTAAGAATGACGTGAGCAGATTCCCTCACGAATAGCTGACTACGCTCCTCCGTGTGTTCTAGTCTGTGAAATGATGGAAATCATCACTCTGAGTTCGGTAAATGTTGTTGACTCCCACACATGAAATTTAACTGGTCAACTAATTTTGTAGATGCTATAATCAACCTTTTCTTGGTAGGATTAAACAACACCCTTCAAGGCATTACTGTTGGAAACCAGAATAAACGACTGGCCGTGTACTCGGCCATTGGTAATTTTTCAGTGTGCAGTGTAACAAACTTTCGTAAGAAGTTGTCTAGTGACTTATCGCTTTGGGCCGTTGGTGAACTTTTCAGGTCCTGTATTCCACTACTTTTGCATCCAAATCCTGCTATTTGCTTTTTTGCCAGATTCTTTGACAACGAAGAGAGGCTTCTCGAGTTGACTACTGAAAAGGCCTTTGCGGTGAGTTCACATTTGAATTCCCTTTTCCCCTTTTCTGGCTTTACTTTTATTCCATATTCTTATATTTTCTGTGTCTCATCATTAGTATGGTAGGAGGCCAATTATGATTAACTCAACGCCAATATCACTCGAACTCCAGGCCCGCACAGATCTCTCAGAATTCTCGCTTTTCTTTACTTGCGAGGGCCCTAGGGATGTTGCAGTTGAATCATCCAAATCGTGTTAAAATTAATCGTCGCTTGAGTAATGAGTTCGTTTTGTGTGGATCCATCGCCGTTATTCACCATGGGTTATTCAATTCCGATGGCACTCTCCTGTGTTTTGCCCTGTTCTCATGTGCACGTACCCACGCACATTGCCGATTACGTCACTGCCAAAACATCCCACTCTTTGGTGGGTGTGGTGCCTTTGACAGCGGTTTGTTAGGCTCATTTTGATGCGACGGCGGTGGTGGCGACTTCCTCCTTGGTCACTTCATCTATCCTCGTGTGGTAGGGATTGCCAGTGGGGTCCATTGATCCCTTGAATAGCTAAAAAGACAATTTGAGGTCTATTAAATTGGCTAACGGTCTGCGTTCCTTTCAGGCGCAGGGTAGTCGATGCCCCATGAATGTCAGACGCCGGCCACAGCAAATACGTGCTAGTCGCCTTAATCGCTTGCACTTTTTCAGTATAGGCTGCACCCACAACGTAATTATACGATGTTAGACTTTTTATGTTGGGAATTTTGCGTGAACGGTAATCGGGGAATCTTTTGTGGTCGGATGCTTATCGACGCTGTACATCCGGTCAGGTCATTATCGTGAGTGGAAAATTACGTCGTGGTAAGCTTAATTTTTTTTTAGCAGTCAAGTCGTTTAGGTTAGATCCTGCCCATTCTGTGGGCCTAATAACTAATGCAAGTTTCCCGGACGGCTTATACCCCCCTGCAAGCACACTTTTTATCCTTACAGGACATGACCGAGGGTCTACAACTGCGAGTTCTGCGCTGGAGCTTTGAGGGCAGCATAGAGCCGCCGCGCGTGGTCAGCTGTCGGACCCAGGAAACCATGGGGAAGGGTAATATTTTTGCCCAAGTCACCGTTCGCTTCCATACCCGTCAGGCAAGTCTTTCCTCTTATTATAAACCTTTCGTCGTAACCAATGCGAAACGATTTTGTACAATTTTGAATTGACATTGTCTGCGGCCATCGTACTCCGAATCCTATTTCGGTCAAAATTTCAAACACCTAACTAATAGATCTCCCTGGCCTAAAAGCAGACGTGTCAAGGAGGAGGAGAAGCGGGAGTTTAGTTTAGATGTCTAAGCGAAAACGAAAATGGTAGAAAACGTTTATTTGGGCGGTTTTGTTGCCTTGTGTCGCCAGTCACCATAGTATCCAATGAAGAGTGATTTAGCCAAGGCGGGTACAAGCCTTGAGTAAGCTGACATTACAAGGGCAGTCTATTAGTTGCTGCTGCAGTCCGTTGGGGATGAATGAAATTACACTTTTGATGATGAACTAATGCGTTATAAGCGTTCGAAGATGGAATTTGACCATGCTATACCTTGACTCCAGCACGTCGAAAAAACCTTGAGGGATTATATCGATTATCGCATCATTCTGTAGAGTAGACTGTTAAGGTCACGATGCCGAAACACCAATTATCCCTCGTTAAATTCACCGTTTCCAGATTCTTGCCATCTACGATCGTTTCGGTCGCCTGCTCTACGGTCACCCGTCTAGTTCAGTTGACGTCCTTGAGTATGTTGTCTTCGAGAATTACATTACCGACGAGTACAGTCGTTGGCGCATTCACGGCAAGGTGGTGCCCCCGTGGGCGCGTGGGTTCGCCGCGGCTCCTCAGAAGACCTACCGCCTTCCGGCCACCGCCACCGCCGACAAGGTGCAGCCAACAGCGCCCTCCTCGGAACAACTCCCTAACCCTGTTTAGTTCACATTTCCTGCGTTATACACAATGTAAATTTGCGTGCCCATTTTTATGGGGAGTCCCGTTCATTCGCTTCAGTGAGGGGCTGATTCTCCGACTCCAAACGTCCGATTTTTACTTGCAGTGCTCACGACTTACCACCGGGCGTCTTCTTTATCCAAGACGAAATGGGCGGCTTAAATCAGAGCTTGTACGTCTTAGTTTTAAGGTACTTAAAAAGACAATATTCGAGCTTGTTGTTGGTGGCTCCGTTGAAATGGGTTCAGGTCGATGTGGGCTCGAATTCCCTCTTTTCATGTCTACTCTAACCAATCAGGTGATTATCAATCCTGCGCCAGTCCAGTCTTTCAAAGTGTCCATCCACAATGGTTCTTATAAAAGTGAAAGTTGTTAGACATTTGAACCGGCCTCCATTTCCATTCGTAACAGGGTTTTGGACATATCTAAATTAAGTTCTCGTACCTGGGAGCTTGCTGTTGGGTTACATTCAGGTCGTTTCTTAACATTGGGAATTGATTTTCCGTCACTAGTGAATTGACGCTTGGCGTGGTCATTCCGACCTACACCTCAAAAAGTATTTTTAAATTACTTTTGCATTCTATTGACCTACGCACCTTTTATGCTATCGGCTGCCTAGTTAATGAGCGAATTGTCGCTTTGTATTTTCAAATGAGTTTCTGTCAAATGCATACCTGGAATAACAGAATAGGCTGGCTTTAGTACGCACCAACGATTTTATTAATTGATCCAAACCTACTACTAAACTGTTTCAAGTACCATGCGTATCCGAATGTTGTCATCGTTTTTGAGAGCATCTGCAATTGTGGTCAAGCATCAAGTGGTTTTTATGTAGACTGCATTCTCTTCAAAATAAAGGCAAATGAAATCAAAGGATGTGGGGTAGAAGACGATGCCAAGCTATAAATCTAGTAAAGTAGGAATCGGAAGCAGATGACTACAGCTAGGCGGTGTTTTTGGTTGGCGATTCAGCCACAATCCGTTACATGTAAATATGCTGTTTGAACAGCTCCAAGAATCTGATACCTGGGGCGAACCGAGTCCTTAGGTCTCCAAAAGGAAGGACTAAAATAGTCCACCCGAATTCAGAGGTTGTTTTTAAAATATGCAACTCGGCGTTACGAGTGAGAAAGTTATTCACACTCATCTGATTCATTTGCTAGATCCCGACTTGTGGACGTTTGAAACGTACAACTCTGGGTAGGAATTATATTTCTATCAAGGTGAGTGGCTTTCAGCACGCTTCTCGCAAAGTGCAGTTCTGCGAGATGAGTTTCTCGAACACGGCCAATGGACTCAGAGTTTGGATTGGAGGTTTATTGCTCAAGGACAACATGTAACTCATGCTAAGAGTAGCAGCATTTTGGGCGCGCTCGAGATGTGTTGCATAGGTCTGTTATTTGTTTCACAGTTGATGAGTACCGCGTCCACGTGCAATCGTGATCAAGCGGCATAGGAGATCGTTTCCCGTGCGCAAAATTGCAATCAGCAACGCGATCTGGTGCAACAATCCATCACGCTCAACGTCGCTCTTCTGTGGCTTTTTTTAAATTCTGCACAGATGCCGATGCCATAAAATGTGTGGTTAATTTTCACTACTAATCACCTTTAAAAAGTTGTTGACTACGGTAATGCTTAAGATGCAAGGTAATTGGTTCTAATCTCTTTCTGTGCGCAAAGCCTTAACTCTACTCATTACTCGAAAATTCAATCGCAATGAAGCTAGAGTTGCACACACACATTTTCATACTCAAGTGCATTGACAACAAGGAGCTGCTGGCCCCTTCGACCAGGAATTGGTCGTCGAGGATGCCTTCGACGGTTTACGGTAGGATAAAAAAATGGGATTCGAGTGAGGGCGAATTCGGCAAATAAGTCGTAGTGGCGAAAAATCACACTGACGCATGAGTTGCTAGCGTCGTTGCATAACCGGGTTGACCAATCCCAGTAGACGAAAATGGCGGTCAAGTGCCAAGCTGATCAGGTGTATGCCGTGGCGCACGCAGACTGCGCATGGCCTGACAGTACACGAGCGGCAGACAGGGTGTGACGCAACAAACCCGTCATTAAACCAAACCAAGTGTGTGATCACTCTAGTTCATCATCTACCGTGCATTGTAGAGAGGAAACCGCGGAGGTCGCGCCGGCAACGTGGCGTTGTGGTGAGCCAATCGGGGACACATAGTTAGAAGGGGAAAAGCTGAAGCCGTTAAATAATTATTATTGTCTGCAGATAAATGTGTACGCATGCACTAGCGCCAAAGTGGCGTGTGTGCGTACTCGATTGAAAAAAAAACGATAAAGTGGGTTCAAAAACAAACGCGGATATGTCAACGATAGCAGAGGTTAGTCTGGGCGGAGGGAGGGTAACTGTACAGGGATTTGAGTGTTGCAGTAAAAGCACATCTATTAGGGTGTAAATGAAGATTGTAAAAAGAGTACAAACAGTTTTGTGTGGTTATCGCAACTGACGCGCACATTCACAGCACAGATAAGTAAGCCGACGGGCATTGAAAAGCGGGTTCGAAGAAAGACGGTTAAAATTAACACGAAAAGAGGCACGAGGACGTGGAACAGGGTCCCCAGTCGATTAGGCTTCCGGTGTTAGAGTGAGGTTTTGGTGGTCCACAGAGGCGCGGATGTAGCCGTTTGGAAGGCTGTGACGCCACGAGTGGCCCTGCTTGAGAGACATCAACGGGGCGTGTTCGGGCTTCGATTTCGCCAGCGTCGCCTCGGGGAAGATCACACCGATCCCGGGCGCGGGTTCAGTCAACTTGGTTCGCTTAGCAGCTAGGGAGGAACGGCTGCTGACACCGTGGTAAGCCTCTGTGTGACCACCCAGTGAGAGGTGGTATGTGTGAGCGCCCCATTTCACAGTGCGTGGATGCAGCACCGCTTTCGCGTAGATCACGTATGTCAGCACCTCCCGCAGCCACCACGCCATCATAAAGGTCAGGACGTTGAAAGGAAGAGGACCGCCCTGAAAAACCAAGGGGTGTTAATGAAGAGAAGTCTTTAGTCGCTGAAACTCAGGAGGCCAGACGAGGACCAACTCGAATCCAATTAAGACAGCAGTGCAGCATCAGGCACACGATGAGCTTGTGTGGGCTCTGGTGGCATGGTGAGCGGTAAAACGACGAGTCCTCACGATGCACAAGCACGGAGGCGATGGACGCGCGCGCACACGCGCACGAAGGAACCAGGCGATTGGTTAGCAAGGCTGAAACGATCGATTAGAATGAGCCTACCGATTGGAGTAGGCATTACAGCAGCATCGACATGGCATTGGAACGCCTGAAAAGTTGCACAGTGTTTTGCACGCTAGATTGGATCAACGGTTCACGAACCATGATGGTAAATAAACGAAAGGCAAAATGTAAAACCAACTAGGCAATCGTCTTCGATAAAATAACTACCAGCGAGTAGCGATCAGGCGATCTATTTCAAGCATGAAAATAAGACTGATTGCAGGCAGAAAGTGACAGGCGCACCTGACACTGCACACGGCATGACTACGCACTATGGCAACGAGATGACGTCCCTTCTAGCTAGGCCTGCCAAGGTCGCTGAAAATGCGGGTGACGCGAGGGTGCGGGTCGTGCGTGGGTGGCTGGCTGGCTTTGAACCACCAGAGCGTCATCAAAATAAGCAACTCAAGTTATCGACGGATTGTTCGGAAATGGCATGCACGACTGAACCATCAGCCCAAGCAACGACCGAAAAGAGGGGAATGAGCGTTCACCTTAACAACGCCCATTAAAGCCATTCTTTGGCTGAACAGAATTAAATTTAGGCTGCATATTTACATATTTTGGCCGCATTGTTGGGGGGTACGGCAGCGTAACAGTGATTAGATGCTATTGGGTTGTGCAAAACCGTACGAGGAGTTAAAATTTCATGCTCGGCACATTAAAAAATAGAAATGAATTTTACGAAAAAGGTAAATTAGTGAGAGAGAGAGAGACCAAACAGGAATCTAGATAGTACCATGGAATCAGCGGCGGAAAAATGTACCATTAGCCCTGGAATAGAGTTGGCATTTGGGTGAGAGAAAGCAAAAATTTGCCACTTACCAAATGCAGCATTTAACGGAATCATACTTGGTTGACGAGGAATTCAGATAAACCGAAAAGCCCGTAAATAATACCGAGTCAACAAGTGAAGGCAAAAGGTTGCGTCAACGCGAACCGCACAGTTAATTACCAGTGCACAGTAGAGTGGGCACTATTGCTGTTGTTGTTGTTGTTGTTGTTTTGGTCAATTACTATACTAAGAGTACACAACAGACCTTGTATTTGCAAATCCCAGTTATACTGGTTGAGTGTTTTCGATGCCACAAAATACCCTAGCCTGGGGTTTTTCTATTTAGCCACATAAAGGAACAAAATGGAGAAAATATATGCAGAAAAAAAAATTGAAAGTGCAATGAAGTTCATTACAATTCAGACAAACTTAACACGCGATGGTAAATTACTGATGAATCGAAGTCGCGTAAAGTTTTTTTAGCAAGCACCTACGTAAATTGGCCAAAACTGGAAGCTGTGCTATAACCAACCTACTTAGCTACAAAATTGTACTGTGAAGAAATAATCGTAGCTACAATTAGCATAATCATCGTGAGGCATGCTAACAAACATGAAAACTTTGACCAACATTTTGCGAATCAAATGCTTCCAGAGCTACGTAGCTGAAAGATGGATGGATAAGTTATTCATACGAAGCATCAATATCGACATGGCCTCAAACCGTTTTCTCAGCAAGAAATAAGTTGTATATCGTAGTTTCTACGCAGGCCTCAACACGAAACCAGTCCCCGAACGATTCGAGAGGTGACCTTCTTGGTATCCTCCCGGGCTGGACATCCAAATTCACAACGGCGCTGATCGACGAGGGATCACGCAGGCCGCCCTCGCACCTTTTGCTTGGCCCATTTCATGCATTAAAACAATGGTACACAGTGGCTGGCTCCAATGGGAATGCAAAACAGCCTGAACTAAAGCCACGCCATGTTATCCCAAGGTTCTTACAGAAATAGATTTAATAACACAGAACTTTCGTTTGCCGAGCATCTGCCTCCTCAGAACTCGTCGATGCGAGGTAGAGTAAGAAAGCCTTTGACAATATAATGAAGGCCACAGTTACTTATTGCAGTCGCCATCGATCGCCGAAATACTCAACAGTGCTCGGTGGAAAGAGCTTTCCGAGAAGAGCTCCTGGGGCATGCTAGGCCTACTACATGGAGGAGCACTGGCCGGGGAATCCAGTGTACGACGGTATACCAGTGAGCATTTATAACCTCAGCGCGTCTTAGAGATGCCTGAACAAACATTTCACGCCGAGATCAGTTACGTACGAATAGGACGTAAGTTGTTGACCACAAAACACTTTTACATGGCATGCCGTGGGCACATTGACTTGTCTTTTAAGTAACAACAAATAGTCTATTGCAGCATTGGCACAATTGCGGTAAGAACGTGCTTTCCATTATCCCGTACCTATTACATTTCCAGAGGATCAATTGCAAAATCTTTGGTGTACGGATAACTTTTACTGGAATGCTCAAAAAAAGAACAAGGAATTCTCCTGGTATAAGTGCCTTTCAGTAATCTTGCAATGCTTTAAAATTAAAAGAAACGACAAGGAATGAAATTTAACGATGGCTTGAACTATTTGCAGGTTGGGTTGTTTAAACAAGGACAAGGATGTAAAACAAAAAAATCATATCACGCAATATTATGTGGCAAAAATACACAAGTCCCACCTGCGTGCACCGTAGAAGGAGGTAGTCAAGCACCATCCACAGGGAAATGTGGACTGCCATGGTTGTGAGCATGGAAACGCCAAAAAGGTACCTCAGTGAAAGCGCAAGGAGGAAACCCAAATTGACGCATTCGATCATCGGTTCGAAGAAAGCAGCCACGATGGTAAGCATGTTGAGTCGCAGACGCAGCCACCGTACCATCCGACTGATATACTTGGTAACGTTCGTGCCGGCGATGTTTTGCTGGGCCGGATAGTTGGACATTTTAATTTTGTACCCACTGCAAAGAATCGTCAAAAGCGGTTTTAGGTAAATGCAACTGGATACAACAAGCGACTTCTGGAAATTTATGATATACGAAACCAACAAAAGAAGTAGAATGCAGGTTTTCAGATAGTTACATTCAAAAAAATTGTTAGAGATATTTGTAAATGCGATGCGAAGGCCCGAAGTAACTGAAGATTTGCTGGACGATCAAGCAAGAAGCTCAACCGGGGCACGAATGTGGACCACCTTATTGCCCTAAACAAGCTGACCGCCTAACACCTGTGCAGACTGGATACTACATGTTCCACGACTTGACTACAATAGGGTGGTAAATAACTCATCATGCTTGCTAGAGAAGTGGGTGAATTTTAAGCTTGCTTTAGCATTTTTTGACGTGTAAGAGCGCGCACCTTCGAGATCGAGTTGCATTGCTAAAATGGGTACCGCTGGGAGCAAAACTTCTGCCGTTGGTAGACCACGGATAAAAAGTTTTTTTTCGAGGCGTTAGCTAGCAATCAAAACGGGTGTTAGAAAACAAAAACGAGGCAAACGACACTTCGTTCCTCAGGACATTAAAAAGTAATACATGCGGCCGTGTGTACAAGTAAAGTACAGCAAAGTTTAAACCAATTTTGTCAACAAAACCAATTCTTCGAGGTTATCTACTTGAGGAGACACGCGACCACAAATAAGACGAACTCGAAAACGAAAATTTACTCACAGCTTAGCTTAGCTTCATAAGGAAATGGAATGCATGGAGAAATTCGTTAACATTCTAAGTTGCACTCTGACTATGCCTCTGAGACTTCTAAAAACGATAGAACACTCTCACAAATAATAGCAGGAGTTGTTAGATCGACTCAGTCAGCAGACGCATTAGTGATGGTTCACAGGGGACGCGAGTGTGACGACGTTCTAAATGTCATTCATTTTTTAGCACTTGAACCGGCACGTCCCAATGATCTCAGAGGTGACTAACTACTCAAAAGGAAGCGTATTTATTTATCATAAGGAGAAACTACAAATGGGGGGAAGGGGGAGAAGTAGACGTTCTCCAGTAATAGGGCGATTTTCGTACACAAAGACTTACTAAATTCATTAACTAGCTTTTACACGTCAACAATGTTCTTTCAGGGAAAACAGATACCATAAAACGACCTTAAATTCCACCAAACTAAGCTAGCAAGAGGATTTTACAATTAGCCGCGTATAGCCAGATACATACTAATAATTTAGATACCTAAAGGCAGAGGCTAAGGAGTACATCTTCTGAGATATCAAAGGCGGATATGACAGACGAAAATAAAGGAGTAGCCAAACTCGAACACATCGTGGCACAATTACACAAGATGCCAAATGCAGTTAAATTCCGACGTCGAGTTAGTCATGAGCGGCCCATTAGCGACGCAGATTGAAATCGGAAAAAACGAGTTTGGAGGAAGCAACTGGTTTTGTGGCATTTATGCAGCTCCGGGCATCGGGTTGCCACTTCGGCTAAGCTAAATCATACCCTATTAAATTATCCGATTACACATAAACATTGAAAGTGGGGTTCTAGTGGATGAGCATGGTGAGTGGGGACTGAGGAATGCCCCTGGATATGGAACCACGCAATTAACAAAGCCCTTTGAACCAGAGTAACCGAAGAGCCCTCAGAGCAACATTCGGCGGCGTCAGTAGGTGGTGCACAGCTGTGTGGAAACAGTTTATGGAAAACGAACGCGGCTGTGGCAGTCAAGATGGTTGGTTTAGCACTGAGTATTGTTCAATACACAAGTATCAACAAAACCAACACCGTTGTCTGCGCGAGAAGACAGTGCGCTTTGTGCAAAAAATCCTCACAAAGGATTTGGAAACACAGCAAAGACAGCGCCCAGATCAACCGGCATCGTGAACTTGGTATTCATTTGAGAGGCACGCCAGGTACTGCAAATAAATGCCGCCGTGTGTGCCACCAGAGCCCTGACCACAAGCGATAAAACGACACTATCCAATTGACTGCAAGAGCTTTCAACTAGACCGGGCGAAAATGAATCGTTCGTTTACTAAACTGGACAACCAGTGCCACACTAGGCTACGTGCATGAAAGAGGCACAGGCCACGTCCCAGGGAGTTCAGGAGACGCACTCCAGGTTGTAAGGTCCATCTACCGTCTTTCTGTAAGCGACGTGCCAAACGCGTACTCGGAGTTGATTGTGAAACAAAACATTCACCTGAATGGATTGCGTGTGGTAGAAAAACAGAAATACGAAAAATCCTAAATACGGTCAGAAGGTAATGCACTTGCTTTTCAAAGAGGTCTTTGGATAAGAAGTAGTCTTCGGCCAGGAATTTCCCGTATCGCGCGAACCCACCAAATCGATCGAGGATGGGCTTTTTAAAGATGTAAGACATCCCAGTGAAACAGAGCATTTCCATTTGATTAAGAGCCATTGCACTCCGTCCCAAGGCACACCCGAAGCATATCTGAAAGTTAATTTTTTTTTACTTGGACAAAGCCAAACGGTTAATTTCAACAAAGCATAAATAAACCTGTACAATGGGCATTCAACATTTCATTTATTCTTCGAACTGAATCCACCGTTGCAACACCTGTGTGGCAAAAAAGAAACCGCACAAAGACAACTTTGATCCATATGACGATTGGAGTTGAAAGCTCCAATTGATGGACCATCATTAGAAAGAAAGAGTAATTTTATAGAAGCTAAATAACGAATGGGAAAAGGCCAACTTCGTGTACGGTAGCTGCTTCTCCTTTCAACAATGATGCGTAAAGAGACTAAATTCAACAAGCTAATTGGTTGCGATGGTCAACGGTAGCACACACACACACTTGGGTGGATGGGGTCTCACGGGAACACCACTGGCACACATCGCATGGTGAGCCTGTCCCTACTACATTCAAAATGACTGGATTATCCCAGTTAAATTCCTAAAAATCACAATATTCACCACGAAATCACTTCTGGGTAAAAAATCCACGTGAGATAGCAGCATAATTTAATACCATATCACTTTAGAGATGACGCAACACAAGTTTTCGTTTCATCATTGAGAACATTTGAACTTTAATCCCCTGTGCGAGCAACATCACATGACGACAACGTTACCGTTCAATAAGCTCGTGTCAAATCCACAATTTTTTTGATGCCGAACCAATTAAACTGATGAAGCACTCTGTCGCTCCCCAACCGAGCACACGCGAAGTCAAGGCTCCATTGACTCGGGAGTACAACCACACATACCCTCCTGAATGGCGACTTTTTATACGGCCAAACACCTCCCCCTGTGCCAGGTGGCAGTCACTGAGATGACATGAAGGCTTACGAGACTAGTCACGCGTACAGTGGAGTTTCAATGGCTCTTGCCGAGCCTGCACCGAGACTTGGGGAGCTGGACAAAAATCCGCATCAATAAAGTTACTAGATGATAATATTAAAGCTTGCGACGTTTCCGACACCTTTTCGACTGCATTAATGAAGCTCCATTGATCGGTGCAAAAGGGCAGTTGGTGAACGAGGGCCACACTCGGATCCTCCGACTTGAGCACCATTTCGACCATTATATCAGTATTCACTAAAAAAAAACAAACAAGAAATGTCTAACGCTGATGTGAAGTAGGGCTTGCAGCAAAGAGAAACCATAGTAAAAGGTACCTGCATGGACGAAAGAGGGAGACGGTGTACATGCAAGTTGTGAAATGAACTCTTGTAAGTGGACCACGAGAGCAGCTTCCACAAGGTTTCAGGTAGTGCTTAAAATGCGTGGCTATCGACTGCATTAGTGTGCAAGCAATAGTACACCATGAGTAAAGTCAAACACTTCACCATCTACCAGGAGAAATCGACTACCACAAAACGTCGGGGCCAACACGCCCAGTGAAGTTAGTCAGACGAAATCCACCACCAATTGCAACGTCTCACAAATTTGACGGATAAATAAGCGAGCAGATAGTAAATACAACTGTCACAAAAAATCGTGCGTATCGCAATTGTGGAGTTTTGCACAATAAACAAACTGTGCACTTGAACACGCTAATCATTCTAACGACCATTTAAGTGGGAGAAACTGCGCTGTTAACGGAGATTCGGCATTCGAATATAAACTTAAAAAGCATAAAACAGCATATTGTCGTTCAAATGCACATAAGAAAGTTTAAATACCGCCTATGATGTCAACTCGCTAGCTACTAATGAGTGACAAAACGGTTTACATTATCAAGCACCCACTCTCGTGAACTTTAATAGGTTCTGTAGAAAATCTTGCGAGCGTAAAAAATGTTGTTCAAAGAGAGTCGTCAACTCAAGTAGGGAAAGCAGTTGACTATGAACGGGGAAGGTGGGGCAAGTACACAGGAATAGGGGTTTGAACAGCTAGCAGCGTTTAGTGAACATGTCACTGCAAAATACCCACAAAGTCGGCATATTCTCCGGGGCTTTTGCTGACCGTTGCAGCTGCAATTTCGCCACTGCATGGACTACGTCGTACTTGCTTGCACGCCCATTACTTTACGAAATAAAGGCTAGAATAATGCGCCGATCACGTGTAACACTTCGAGTAAAGTCATTAGGGAAATCTCACTGTCATGCGCCAATAAAATCAGTGTTCTAACCTTTTATTCGGCTGGTGGACATCCAGATTAGGTCATACTTGGCCGCGTCGTAAGCAGGAAGAGCATTGTTTACCAGTGGATTAACCACGTTTCCGTTTCCACCTAAATTAGGGAACACAGTCACATGAGAAGACAACTGCAGAAGGGCGAGAGAGTGAAATAACAGGAAAAAAGAAACACCACGTAGAACGGGTACCAGTGTACGGGTCAAAAGATTCACACAACCAAAAAAACCAACTGAATGACAGACAAAAAAATGTACCTTCGTTGCAAAGGTTAATGTCCTGGGAAATACAAAATAAAGATTATTTCCGGAGCGAAGGCATCTAAACTACTTTGTGTTTAGAAGATAGGCAAATTGTAAACATGCACTTTGACACCAATGCTCCTAGCATGAGTAGCAAAGCAATCAATCACAAGTCCGTGGCAATGTTACTTTGTCATTCACGATGCAAAACGCGCCCAAGAACAGACAGGATATCCGGGATAACTTGGATCAATTAATGCATTGTGCACATACGTGTGCATCTGTACTAGTGAGTACCAACACAAGTTTAATTAACAGTGGGCCATGAAGAGAGTATGCAAATCAAAAGGACAAACCACGGGAAGTGAGTAACAAAACTGACAGAACAAGTCGAAAACAGGTAGAGAGCACAGTTAGTGAATTTAGCGTAGCACTTTGTTCGACTGCTACAAGAGCAATTCATCGCCATAGAGAAATCGGCCAAAGTTAGCTCACAAAAATACACATGACTATAAAAGGAATAAAAAAGTTTTGAAAGGAACTTGGCAAAAGAACTCACCAATAATAAGTTTAGCATCAACGTTTGGATACTTATGGAGGAGTAACTGCACAACCTCAACAGCCGGGTCATTAGGGTCCTCAACACAGAAAATGATTTCAAACTATAAAAAAAGACAAAAGACACGCGACATCAGTTTACTAGTGTTCGGTTTCTCTATTATTAGCTGTCTAGTAAAATCGGCCGAAGCCACGACAGGGCACATTTTACATGACAGGTAGATAACAAAATAGGGCTACAATGGATGTAAACAAAAGCGGAATTATATACAAATGCATAAATTTTTGATAGGACAAGAACTCACGTTTGGGTAGCAAAGTTCAAAGTGACTAATAATATTTTCCTGAAGAAAAGGATCTACACCCAGAAGGGGCTTGATAATTGATACGCCAGGTAAATATTCAGGGGGCTCAGGAGTTTTCCTATGTAACTTGCGTAGACTGAAAACGAGACAAAAAAGGAGCAGAACTTATCAATAAAATTCAATTTGGGGATCGGTCATTAAGGCATCCGTAAAACTTGACACGATTATTACGAGATGGAGTGGACCATAGGGACTATTACGTGATACGTCGAGTAACGTCACCACAACTAAAAACTAAATCAACTCTGTTAAAAAGGCCCTATAATGGCCAAACCCAAAACACAATGGTCATTAGATAATGAGTTAATAAACTTGGGGGATCGGATGAAGCACACTAATGGAATAACAGGCTGGCAGAATAGTAACGTTTCGGTGGAAATAGGTCAAAACGACCGAACTAATCTACGTTTAAGAAAACCTCTTAAAACACCACACCTAAAAAAGACGCATGGCTAGATTTTAGAGTGATTATATTCCATTAGCATGATGTACTCAATTAGACTGAAATATCAAAACCTTGTATTTAACGGGCAGAAAAAACAAATAGCGCAATAAACGGCAAGTTTCCAAAAATGGTATTTTAACATCAGACACACATGTAGCTTTTCTTTTGCCCTTAACAAAGCCAAGTGAAATTCAGCGCATACCACAGATCGAAAACGTTTTATTTGCAAAATAAAAGCGATCAAGGGTTAAGTTAGACATGAACGCCCCGATTTAATACTATACAAATCGTAGATCAGGGCAGTCACTAAGTGGCAAAATACTCTTTTAACTGGAATCACTATTTGTGCCAAACATGAGATGATTGTGAATTACAGGTGGATTTCAATATCCCTGAGAAGACGGGAGTTAACCAAAGCTTCCTAAATTCCCGAGAACTTCACAAGATATTAAGAAAAGTGAAAATTGTCGGCAGTAGAGCATTTATAACGGAAAGTAGTGAGTCATCGGGTCCCGTAGAATTTGTAGGTTAAGCACATTTATCCTGGTTACGACCGTGTTGGATACCAAAACTGCTCTTATTTACAAGTGATGCAATCTAGCTCTTCAAACATTCTTGATCCAGAGCGTCTACTTCGTTGCTCAAGGTATCCCAATATAGGGACAAAACCTCATCTGACTGAAGGAGAAATGTCGTGTAGGCACGGGAATTTTGTCTAAAATATTAACTTCATCTTAATTGTCGTTTACAATACCTTGTCTCGAACTTTTTCATTCGGAAGTCGTGGATGAACAGTTAAGCAACTACCAGCTACAGACAACAAATTTCCTCGTCAAAAGCATCTTTGGTGCTGTAACAAGATTGTTCGCTAAATGGCCGTTAGGATCAAAATTTGCTTTATTGAAGATGAGATATACGATCAGACCATCTGCGGTGAAACCATGCATGAGACGAATGGTCAAAACAAAAACTGCTCAAAAGAAAATATCGATTGTCCGAAAATCTACTAAGCAGCGATGCAACAAACCTCTTCGAAATCCCATCTGGATACTTTATAAAGGCCATATTTACTTATATAAGGTCAGATTGTCTTTGCATACTAGCCTCCAGAAAGTGACGAGATACGAGACCTTGTAACAGAATCACACTGGGTTATCAAGAAAATGACCAGAATACTTGAGACTGATAGTCAATCAGTTCAAATATTAAGTAGAGGGTGGACTGACTGTAGTTGCACGAACCCATAAACCGTATAACGTTTCGTGAAAAACAGGCTCGCATTTATCTTTCATGTGATTCTTCGTTCCTCTTAGCAAATGCATGACGTTAAGTTCGGTACCGAGCTTCAAAATACGTAAGTGTGAAACAAAGCATCAAAATAGACCAAATATATGGAATTAGAAACATCGTATCTTTGAGAGTCGAACATGTTGTGGAGGCGAAGAAATTGGCAGATACAGTCTCGCGTGTCATCAATTCAAAAATTAGGGGCTCCAGGAGAACAGCCATTACCACCATTGAAAACTCATGTCATGAGAACAAGGGGTGGAGCACCAAATAAATTGCCACCGAAGGCAAGCATGATTACAGCGTAGGTGGAGCTGAATGCCATAGGTTTTGAATACCATATTTAAACTATCCAGACAACCGCGAATAGAGCCCTCAAATCAGCAATCTTACCGCATAGCAGAAATGCATTTTATTTCACACAATTTCCGCAGATGTGAATCAACGTCGGCTTTGAGTGCTAACCACCAAACGGAAGCAAAGAGGTTGAAGACCCGAACACAACCAGGAACCTCAAGCTGTCGATAGATAGTCATCTATACGGTAAGCAGTTGCGTGATAATCAGAGGTGAGAGGAAACTTGGAGACCAAAACATAGTATGACTTATCCAAGATCAATTACCACAACTCGTGGCCACAGGTCAGTACGATGAAACATGTCAATGAAAAACGGCAGGAAAGTCAGTCAAAATAATTTAAAAAGGTCTGTAATTTCGAATGTGTCAATAAGGTATGTGCATCGTTTCGTTGTATCCCGTAGCTACTAGAGAAACAACATGCCCATAACAGACAATTTTGCAATCTCTGGAAATAGTGATTTAGAAGAACTGATATCAGTGCTATGTATAACAAGATAAGTCATTTAAGTACAGTATCCCTGGCAAATACAAGACAATAGGTTAAACTTGGGTTTTAGAAAATGTACAGAGACAAAGCAGAATAATTATTTGATCTTCAATTTATAGCAGTCCAGATGATTTAAAATATCAACAATAAAAGCTGACTTACGCTACGTAAAAAGCAAATAAGAAGAACAGAAGTTGGTTAAAACACACTGTTATGGGAATTACAGCAAGCCCATAAAGTATGAAAGCCCAAACTTCGTTAACCATGATTGGAATTGTGGAAAAAGCCTGACAATGCGCCTTCAGGTCAACATGGGCCACTAGGCTCTAATTGGTTGACAATTTCGCTGATAGGATGTCTGGCATCAGCATCTCACATTAAGGCCGATTAGTATTATTTTTTACAGATATATTTAGGGCAGATCTAAGATTATGCACATTTTCCGAAATGTAATAATTGTATCTGTTAATTAAATATATGTTAAAAAAATGAAATAACCGATTAAGCAGAACAATAGTATAGGGTCCGCAAAAAAAGCTGTTGAATGCACTGCTAATTTAATGTTTTCAAAAAAACATTACAAGAATTTATAATTAGGCAACAAAGTAACTTTACATAAAGGATACCTAATTATATAATTTAATGGTGTGGAATCCTTATTATTTCATTTTCATCCACTAAATATTTCATTCTTAATCTCAAAATAACTCGAAAAATTCTCAGGCAGAAATCGGAGAAATCAATTGATAGGAAAGGCAATGATACAAATAGTCAGACAACCGAATTTTTTGGGCGAAAAATAAGCATACTCCTTTAGAAAAAGTCAGGTATATTTATAGGACTGTTTCGAAATGTATCGGTAAAATTTGGAGATTGGTGGGACGCAACATAAGCAAATCAGCACTTTTGGCGCCTTATTGCGAAAACGATAGGAGCAATTGTTGTTATGGTTAAATTTGTAATAGTGTTAATACATTAAATGAAATTTTTATTTTTGCGTTTTCTCTAATTCGCTCGTGAAAATTCGGCAATATTGGATTTCTAAAATTTATTGTGGAGTCTTTATATTTCTTCCTAGTATCCTCTTTGGATGCTAGGTGAGTGATGTGGCTTGCGAACTACCACAATGACCGTCTTATTGTTAATTTTGCATAAATCCTGCTCGCATACCCTTATACTTCTTGTTTTTCATGTAAACAATTTGCATATGTAGAAAAGAAAAAAAGCATTTTCGAGAAAAAGAAATTTAAGCCCATGGTGATTGGACTATTGCACATTTAATTAGCTCCTAACATATCGAAGCTTAATATTTTAATATAATTGTTAATACAAACATTATTAACCCAATATATACCTTATTGTCCTGTGTCTTCGGATAGATGTATAGTGCATTATCAGCTGCCACATAAAAACATAAACATATTTACATGCTATTTCTTTAGAAACCGAATGCATATTAGCTTATCGAAAATTCTATACCTTAATACTTTGAATGACTGCTACTCATTTAATTAATGAACGCTTTTTAAACTACCATTGAAGCAACAGAAGCCTTTCGGTCTAAAAGATTCTTATAATTGTTCTCTCAACACATTTAATCGACATAATACCAACAAAGCCCCTATACAAGTGAAATGCAAATGATTTATTTTGCGGGTATACGTTTTCATCATCTTATGGATAGATGCGAGTTGATAATTTTATCGGCCTTGATTCCCGAATTTATAAGGGTCTTAAACAGATTTTCTAGTGGGACTGACTGCACAGGAGAATACGTAGGTAAAGTTGCTTTACAGTGAAATACGTCCGAGTAAATCAAAGTGCTCTTGTCGTGGTATATGTATGTGAAGAACAAGGGCCATTGCTGCAATTACATGAATTAGCGAGCATTGCTGCATTGGCAATTCATATTTAATTTGACCTAGGTACGTGTTGTCACACATAGTGATAACCGAGGAAAATAGTTTGCGCTAAGGTTTGAGTTAAGGTTCCGCTCGCCTGACGGCATGATGTCGAAAGGGGTCAGTGTGGCCAAGAATGGAGCGACTCGATTAAGCAGCGAGAAACAACGCGGTTTAGAAGCAACAAGGGAGACAAACCGGTTAATTATCAAGGTTACAGCTGAGTGAATGTCAGGGTGTGTTTGAATTTTGGCCCTTAAAATGCTTAGGAATATTGCGACGATTTTTTCCATACTGACAAAGAGCACATTAATTTTAAAACGCCTCATTAACCTTTGGGCTACTTGGCCATTCCTGCGGCCTAAAAAAGGACATAAACCAGAATCGAACAGTGTTTTGAGATACGAATAGCGACTCTGATATCACCGTTGGTGGCCCTTCTTCACCATACTCTAACCCGTTTGAACACCTAATGAGATTTGACCTGCCCCAACCATGACATAATTTAAACTAGACCTCCTAAATTCCCGTCTTTGTCCATGCTAGAAGAGAAAGAACACCCGCATAAGCCCCTTGAATCGTCAGCAACATAGACCGACTTCACAATTAACGTTAGCCTCCGGCGCTAATCACAAATTTCCTTCTTACTTCAACTAGCGAACGCAGCTCTTCCCCGTACGTAGCTTGACCCAGTTTAGCTACATTATGCTGTGGTCTATCGCTCAAAACCGGCCAATTTACTGACACAATTCAATTGTCATTGTGGCGTTCCTGAGTCCCACATCCAACAATAGCTAACGAATGTGTCGTAAACAGGATCGCACAGGCGTCTCCAGTGCTTATGGGTAAATAAACCACCACGCATTTCTTCTTTGCAGGCGGGAGTCACAGGTTTACAATGAGGAATATTGTAATGTACAGAATTGCAAATGGGAAAGAGAATTAAACTAGACCATGTATGAAATATTTGCACATTAACGTCCAAACCTGTCACCTCGGCAATGCGGATTAACTCCAGGACAGGATGCGGTCTTTTCCACTTTCTTTGCGAATTGTGGCATCACGCATCAGTCGTGAGGAGAAAAACACGTCCTCACCTACATGACCTCGCTAAACAAGTACCCTAAAATGATTTGATCAGTTCGAGACAAGAGATTTCTTCATCCATGTAAGCCCTTGTTGACAAGACAGCAGTAGTAAACACAACGCCCGCGCATTAAAAGGTATCCGGTTCTATTTGACGATCTTAAATGATTTGTTGTATCATAATAACGAAATTGGAATTACGATAGTTGAAACCACTTTCTGAGACTTAAAGCCACAACTTGCCTGCACTATAGCCTCCATCAATGGTAAGGTGCGATTTTAGAAGACACCATAAAAGAAAAGCTCCTACCAACACGACTAGCATGTCTAGCCTGTTTCTTTCGATTCATTGGATATGGATTGATAGCTTATTCACTAGTGAACTTCGAGAACAATTTTGACGTGGTTTTCCTGGTTTAAATCTGGTGCCATGAAACCTTCCTTATTCGAAGAAAATCAAGACAATTAACTTGATCCTTGCTTGATGAATAGCCCAATTCACAATGAAAAGGCATTTGGGCAGAATATACAGAATTGAAAAAGACGGCAATCGACAGGGTTTCGCATTACTGTAAGAATTTATTTGATCGAATACATCCAAAAGACATAATTTCAAATCGCAGTTATAGCTATGCGAAATATTTTGAAATGGACATCGAAACACCAAGGATCAGCAGAGATGAAAGCGATGAGTTATCATACCCAAAGAATAAAGACTACAGGTGAGAAATCCGGCTGCGTGAAAATTGTCCTCCAGAACACTACCTCAAAAACATGACCTACGCGAAACGGGAGCTGCGAAAAGAACGCACTTAGATATTGTTAAACGAAAGGTCTGCAAAAGTGTTTACAACAAAACAATCGAGGCCTTGATCCTAGAAACTGGTGAAAAGCCGTTCTAGTTGAACTGAGATAGATTCGTAGAAGAATAATAATAAGCAAGTACCACATCCTTTTTATGCTAGACAGGATTTCGAAAAATCTAGAAGCTATAAAAAACGTATCGTGACACATGAAGCTGAAATAGTGACTAATGTGACATGTTCAACCCTTTTTGACTTCAAAACATTTTGGGAATCAAGATGGGCAAGTTTGCAACTGTGGGAATCGTAAGTTAGTTGCAGCGGCCTACCACATTTAGGTTTGACAATTGTGGAAGCAGATGGGACCGAAAAACAGAAAAGGATATTATGCAGCTCCATCAGGTAGGATAAACACTGAAGGGGGGGCAAACCATAGACAAGAAATGGTAAAGAGCGCATGACAGACACCACAAAAGACAGATTTCCTGCATAGAACGCCGCATGTACAAGGGCGTCAATAAAACCAAACAACAGGGATATCAAAAGTGGTGAGTAGTTCAGACCATTCAGAGCATCCTGCAGAAGTATGGCTGATTCTCAACCGCTTAGATGTTTTCAAGTAGTGTGAGGTGGCAAATTATGTGGAGTATTAAGCAATTTAGCCGATCCAAGAATTAACGGAAATGGCTACCGGTGGGACGTCCAAAAATAGGAATGCATATTGCATCTTATATGTGGATAAAGCGTTGGATGAAACAGGAATGTTTGAAAAAAAAGTGGGCATAAAAGAAACTGTTGGTTCGAAAAAAACAGGAGCCAACAGAAATATATGGATACTAAACTTTAACCTAATGCCACAGAGACGCACTATTTACTGGTCTAGTGCCTGAGAAGAGATAATGAAAGATTCGTTCAGATCAGCGGAATAGTGCCTTCCAAACGCGCACACCAATGTAAGTCAATACCGAATACCTACCCCAAGAACATGCGGGTGATAAGTGAATGGTTCCAAAACGCATTTATTCAATTACTTCAGTGGTATAAATCGAGAGCTGTGAGTCGCACCAATACCGGGTCGACCATGCTTTACAGGTTTGTAGGTGATTGAGAACTCGCCTAAATAATGGCCGATCATCTCAGGACGAATTTCGACTTGGTTGTAGCTTTTGCCGTTGTATACACCAACGATTGATCCAACCATTTCAGGAAATACGACCATGTTCCGCAGGTGAGTTTTGACAACCTAAGAGATATTAACGCATACTAAAAATTACAGCAGGCTTCTCGCCAACAGGGCACTTTTTCTTGCTTTCTCTGAGTTTTTTAAGAAGTGTTTTGTGATTCTGCCGGAGCCCTCGCCTTACACGACGTCTTTTGCGAGCATCGAATAACTCAGCAATTTGGTCCCTAGGACATTAGTTATAAAAAGCGAACCCACATATTCATATCCAGAAGCTGATCAAGATCAACCCCGCGATAAAAATACTTCCTGAAGGTTCGCCTTTTTTTAGTTTCCTCGTCTCCCTTGTAGATAAAGGTGAAAACACGAAGGTAAACATACCATTGTCTCGACAGCCACAAGGAACGTGAAAGTGGGCAAACGGCCCGCCACACCCAAATTTTGGCTGGGTAAAATAAACGCATGAAAAAAAAATTGACAAATGCAAAGAACATTATAAACTACAAAAAAAGGATTTTTTTAATATACTTTTTGAAAAAAACATTAATTCGTATCTATTTTCAAAAATACATGTTACAGAGACTAAATAAAAACTTACATTTTGCACGGTACTCGTAGAACGTAAAGTGTAAATTGATATTCAAAAGCTGATCAAAAAAGTAATCACAGAAAAAAATGTAGTTTCTAAAAAAGCAATTGAAATTTAATTCTTTTTTTTAACGGAACCTATACCGGAAACTGAGTAAAGTTACCTGGATTTTAAATTTACAGTTTTTTTGACAAGCATTTTGTGGCAATGATATACTTCTGCACTAACATAATTTTTTATGGATAATGTATTAAGTTAAAAAAAAAACATTAACTTTAACATAACGTAATGCAAATTCAAAAGCATTTGTGGCATTTTTTTATTCTTATCAAAAAAAGTTGCGGGATCGTCCATCTAATTTTAAACCCAGAAAAAGTTTTTCTCTAGGACAATAAGGTTGGTGGATATTTAGTCCTTGAACATTGTCACTATTTACTGTGATGGTAAACGAATATTTTGGATGTCCTTTTCCCAAACTTCTTTTATTAGCAAATTTACGTTTGCGGTCTTTTAATTAATTCCAATGCTGTTTTTAGTAGCGTTTTGGCTTGCCTATGTCAAGGTAACTCTGCATTCTTTCAACACGGTTTTTTTGCTTAGGAGATATTGTGTATGTTAGTGTCCTAATTTTGAAAATGGCGAAAATGCAATTTCTTCCTTAATACAATTAAATTTTAATTTGTTGAGTTACGAGCTTAATGACAACACTTTACTCTTACGCGTACGGAAATCCTTTTTGTATCGTGTCTATTACTCATGAGAATACGGTAAATCACCCTTTTTATTTCGTGCACTATTTCGCCAATCACTCAATCCATGTGAAAATTCATCTAAATAATGCAAATAAGTAATATTTTTCGCAATGTCATTCCTATACTAGACAATGATTAATAATTATGCACGAATATTATTGCATTTAAAATGCGTAGAGCAGAACCTACTACTAAAATAACTAAAATGAGTTCATCCCTGCTTAAATTTATATTAAACGATTACCAAATAGCCACAAATCTATGTTAATTAAAGTAGCAAAAGAAAAATCTCGTTTTAATAATTTTTTTTAATATTTAGCTTCTACAGTCCGTTCCACGATGCAATCAATTGGTTCGCTGGTAAATATCGCATAATTAACACTAATTTTCAAAGCAAAACTCTGCAAGTTTGCGCAACATAATAATGTTAAATCTAAGGACGTTATAACAATTTGTCTTATGCTTCATGACCCATTAAATTAACGTGACAGGTAGTTTCCGTACAAGATTGGCTTATGAAAGACTTAGAGCACAAAAAAGATTGTGTGCTTGATAGCTTAAAATAGCCAACTCGCCAAAAAGAGACTTAAAGTTTTCAAGGGAGTGACTTAATCATACAAGTCGAATAAGATATTTTTTCCTATTTTGAAAAACAAGTGAACAGATGTAAAAAGAATAAAATTACTGAGGCAATGAAACACTTCAATGGTATTGGCGCAAACATCAGGCTACAAGACGGATTTTTGAAGGCATCTATGAAAAATTCGGTACACTTAGTAAATCACAAATTACACACTTTGCCTTTTAAATACTTAGTCAAACCAAAGACGGCGATATCCTGATATTTCTTTGACAAACTGTTAACATATCGAAAATGAATAGGAAAGTGCCTTAAAGAATGAAATTTTGGGGTAATTATACAAAGGTCACCCTACGAAAATTGACTAGAATTTCAAACAAATTTATGTTCAAATAGCTTATTATTATTTTCCAAACCCTTTTCATTTTATTTCATGTATATTGGCGATTAGACTTGATGGAAAGTCAATTCAAATCTGAAAATATTTAGAACCATTAACGAGGGCATATGACCTAAATAATAAACAAACATCGAATGTTTGACGACGGGAGGAGATCGTTAAATATTTGCTATCCAGTACTTATTTATTTGAGAGTTAATGCTAAGGTAAATGTACATTCTTATAACCGGGTATCGAAATAGTTAATGAATTCTGTGACGAACAGATACTAATGTTCTTGAACAATCGAGCGATAGCAGATTCACGCTGCTCCTTCGCATATATTTTGCATAAGTTTGACGTTGAAGCTATAATCATTTTTCGCGTAAATAAAATGTTTACTCGGTGACTACAAAAATGTTATAGCTAATAGTTACTTAAAGAATTTTGATTACTGATTTTCGTAGGAATCAAAAGCCAAGGTGTGCCTACAAATATCAATTAAACCATTGGTTTGGCAGTTGTTGAGAATTAAAGCAAGATTAACCTAATATGAAAGTCAAGCGTGGACATAATTTTGGGATAGCTAAAAAATAATATGCAAAGACAGGTTTAAAAATGTGCTTAAGAGATAGGTAAGATGATCTGCTTAATATTTAGCGAATAGTTTTTATTGATTCAGATTTATACCCAAAGTCGAACGCGTCATGTATATTAGATGTGTATAATTAGTTTTATCACCTTAAAGAGGTCCTTTCGTTTCTCTCTCTTTTTGATCTATTTTTTATTGTCTCTATCTTTTTGATACTTTGGACTTACCTATCTTAGAGTATTATACTATTTCAACCTGTAATTTCCCTTAGATTTCGAGGAAGTTTAACAAACAAATTTAAACAGTGTGCGCAAATAATAATAATTTACAGGTTTATATTTTTATTTTTAATTTTAAGGTTTTGAAATGATAAAATTCTATCAACTATGTTTTACTTTTTAACTTGTTTATTTATATCTCATTTATCTAACATTGCTGTCACCGCTGCATTGGAATCTGCTCGTGTTTTCTTTTTTGTACGCTAATGGTTTTGGACGTCTTCTCTTACGCTGAAGGTCATAATTTAATTTCTAAATATGGATGGAAAAAGAGTTTTGATGCACATTATCACAAAAGCGCTGGTCCACTTAGAATTAACAGACCTGGCACTTTCTTGTCTATGCTCCCAGATTTATCAAGGTACATTGAATTTTTTTGAATGACAAATTTTGTTGAGGCAACTTTAATTTGTTCGACATGTATTATAAAACTTTGTGGTGTTAATTTTTATTTACTTGTATACGTATTCTTTGTGTACATATTCTTATCCCACATTTTGTTGGACATGAGTGTCTGCATACCTTGGTGTCTTTTTGCATATTTACCTTCGTAATTTGTCATTAAGCAAACACGACATTTCTTTTAACACCATAGGTTCGTTGCTTCTCTGAGGTTTTTCTAAAATTTCCATTGAACATTACTTCATGTTAATCGTTTTGTAAATATATGTTTTTGTTTTTATCGCCGTCTTACTAGGCATTATACCTCTAAATCTTGGCCAAGATCCACATTTTGTTAGCCTTTGAACTGTTGACTACCTTAATTTTTGGCCACTTTTGCCCTTTAGTGCCAATAGAGTATTTTAATGCCTTGACACAACCCGGATTTCTAAAGCAATTATGTTTTGTTGGTTAGACCTGTTTAGCGCCGTAGTAGTCTGCTTTGCGTTCCCTCGTATTATCACAAGTGTACCTAATTATGGTTAAGGTAATTATTATTTAATTACAGGATGTCAAAAATCAATAAATTTACACGTGCACACAACATGTATGGTGAAAGCACACTACAAAATGTGTAATATTGCTGGTAAATAAAGATTTTTTTGTCAGAAAATACATGCACAAATGAGCCACATTTTTATCCATTTTCCTAATTAATGCGTTATTTTAGCTGTTTTTATTTTGATTTAATTTTTCATAATAAGGAGTTTTCGTTGTTATGTGCAGCAAATAAATTTATATGTTATGCACGAAATGTCCGTTTAATTTTGTTGCGGATGATAGTTATGTTAAATTCGAGACGGTTTAATTGTTGGCAAAGGTGTTATTGATCACACTGTTTTAAAAGTAACACAAACCCAATTTATAAATTCAGGTTATGCAGTAGCTTAGCAATAAAATAGCACAATAATTTCCGCATTGTTGCAAAATGTCAGCCTATCGTCTTAAATATTTACTTAACTTTTGGCCACAATCATTAAACCTATGCCTACCAAGATCTCATGCCAGCGTGACCAGATTCCGACTGGTTCGCCCATCAACGTTACTAAAATTATTATTAAGCATTTGAATTTTTGCAAGTAATTGTTGTATGTGAGCATGTTGCAAAAAAATCCCTCTTAATTTAAATAATTACCTGGTCTTTGCATTTTAACAATGACGCGTACTAGCTTTTAAAATATTTGATTAAATGAGTTATTAGATTATCCGGTCTCTTGCTGTCTATTTTTTTACATTATACACCTATATGCTTGCACACGTGCAGTAAATAAATTTTAGGTACATTGCTGATGTAGCCATACCGGCTAAATTGCAAGGAAAATCTGTGTCACCCCTTGACTTGTTTAATCCTCTGACTGTCAAGCCAATATATGGCGTTCCGGTGGGTGGAATTGGTTGTGGAACAATCGGTCGAGGCTACAAAGGGGAGTTTTGCCGATCAAGTCTCATACCTGGCCGTTTTAACTATGATGTTGGTGTGGCTGATCAGGTATTGTCTGGGTTTTTTTCTAGTGGTACTTTTTTACATAGGTTAATATAGTTTCTAACATCCGGTTTTAGCTTCGTGGTGAAATTGCAATCATCTTTGCAAATGTTTTCCATTAAACAGTTCTGATGATAAACTGGTGTATTTTAGTTCATTCTCACCGTCAAGAAAAACGGGACGTGCTTGTACCATCAAGTTCTATCACCGCCTCCTGATCCAGTTAAGCGTACCAATTGTTTTCAATCATGGAAATGGTCCACGTCGCCAGGTGTTAGCACATTCATTGGGCTTTATCCTCGGTCTTGGACAATCTACAACATTCCTGAACTAAAACTTTTGCTTATATGCAAGCAGGTAGGTTGTTTTTTACTCATTCCTCAGATGTCATAGCCCCAAGTAAACTCCCTATCCACTTCCACTTTCCAAACGCATTCAGGTCTCGCCGGTCATCCCCAACAACTACAAGGACAGTTGTCTTCCGGTTGGAGCATTTAAATGGACCGCCGTTAATTTTGATACAGATGCCGATGTCGATATATCTATTACGATGACCTGGAGGGGTCCGAGAGCGCCTGTGCAGTCCCCTCCACAGAATGTTGGAACTGCTGGAACCGTGTGCTGTGAAATTGGGCACGCACAAAACTACAAAGCAGAAGAATATACTATTCCGTTTGATGATGCTGAAAACCAGCTCTGTGGATGCTTGTTGGAAACGCTTATTGATGACATGCCCTGCTGCTTTGGCATTGCATCCAAGTCATCTGAGAGGGTAATTTTTATTATTAACAACCATTTTGTTTATTGGGACTTTAATTGTACATTAGTTTTTTTAGCGCGGTGAAATTATGCAACTTTCATCCTCCTTATCATTACAATGAGTCAAAGGTGGACATTTCCGTAGATTTTCTTGACAACTTCTTTCCCTACTGCACGACGAATTGAAATTAATTCAGGACCTGTTTGAATCCTGGTTCTGTCTTCGTTTTGCTCTTATCTTCCCGGCCAACCGTGTTAACGCATGCTAGGAATGATGTTTACATCTACCCTGGCCTAGGATGAAGTCATTTCAAGTGGTCGGGTTTTGAGTTTAGGACATCGAAGTCTACCGCTAAATGCACGACTTCGGTCTAGGGTATCAGCTTAACAGACGCAGCTTGTGGAGACAGATTAACTCGTTTGTACTAGTAGAAACAGTAGCAGCAGTAATTTTACAATTTCACAAGCAATTTCGCTGGCAGGCAAATTCTTTCGTCTTCAAGTGGTGTTCTACCAAAAAATGGTCTTCTCTTTCGATCAACTTCTGCGTAGTGTGGTGTCCTTTCTCTTCCCAAAGCTCCTTCTATGCATCCCCATCTCAGTCAGTCGCACTGCCAGAAGGAAATTGCCGCGTGCTAATTCGCACAGCCACTTCTGTGCCGCTCGCTGGCTAAACTGACGTCCCCTCCGTAGGTCGCGGCCTCGGCTTCAGCACCACAGTCACACAGAGAGTAGCATGAAGCATTTGAGAAAAACAGCAGTTTAATTTGCAGAATTGGGGGCATGACTGCCCAACAGAGACATCAGCTTGCCAAAAATAAGCTGTACGACAACAATAACAGTTGGAAATGGCAAACGGGCTTATGTATCAACTCAATACTTCGCACGCAGCCTGTTTTAATATGGGACAAGAAACGTATTTGTGTTCGATATTTTTTTATAAATATTCTTCTCAATCCTGTCCAGACACTTTGTATCGAGATTGAAATCTCTGTCGGTTAATGAATTTGAATAGTCTATCTACATCCGTCACCTCGTGCTTTTCATTGGCACTTCCCAAGCGAGTTTCGTCAAGACAATCTCTCGTTTTCATTCTAATGTTAAATCCCTAAGATGGTACTCTTCATTCAACAAGACTTACTTTTAATACATTATGTGGGGTATTAAATTAAAAGTGCAGGTCATAATCGGTGTCGTCCCGTGGCAGGATTTTCGCGTGGCTGCCACAAGGCACCAGAGCTGAATTAAAGGCGAATTGAAGCACACAAACGCAAAATTAGCTATATTTGAGATTGTTGAACTTCCTCTCACATTTTGTGTAATTATTTGCGTTAATAACATTGGCCTCTTGGCGTGTGCTCATCCGTAGGAATTTCGTTGGTCTTCTGCTTTCTAGGTTGAGGTTACACGCTCGTTGGGATTTCGTTTTGGTGACAAAGGCGGCAGAGGACAACAGTCCCCCAGGGGAGAGCAGCCCTCCCTGTCGCCTTGGGGCGTCGCATCCCACACCGCCTCTCCTGCGCAAGACGCCGTCACCGCGACCGAGTTCTGGACGAACCTCGGTCTGCACGGAAAACTGGCTGCCGATAAATCTGGTAGGATGTGCTCTGCCTGCACCCACATAAACCCCACTGTTTGTTTCTGGGCAAACTATGCGTCTAATTTATCTCCATCTATGGCGTGGGTCGCGAGCATTACTTTCCCGTTTGTAACAATTGAGGTTTGAACACGGTCTTTCCCTGTACCACACGGACGAATCAGGAAGGCATGCATCCACGCATGTGGCTCGGTCTGAATGACTGTCGAGAACCAAACGCCCGTCGCAGTGGACAGTGCCATTGTGCACGACGTTATCTCATTTCTAGTTTAAGTACTCGGTGTCCCAATAAAAGCATATGCCAATGTGGTGAAATAGCTGTATCAACTTGATTTCTTGTTGATTCAATTATCATCACTCGGTTTTTATGCAGAAACTACGAAGGGTTCGTAATTGCAAAATTTTTAGACAAAAATAGAAGTAGTTTAGAACATTTGGCCTCTGCTACGTAAGTGCGACCGACGTCCTTGGAGGTGCTCTGATAGGAAATTTCATCCAATCTGCGAGAATTGGCGTTTTGGCTTTTTTGGTGACCTGAGTAATTTAAATTTTTAACCAAATTTGTCCTTCGCGGATTTTACTAAACCCTGCGGTAAATCTCGAAGGATGTCATCTCCAACACGTTGCCACCTGAGGTGCTGAAGTGATTGTTCAAAGTTAATATAAAACGGAGCAAAGTCAGAGTGATGTTCTCGAGATTGGATGCATTGTTTCCACAGGTTTATTCTGTTGATAGTCTAAGTTGAGGACACCTATTTCAGAACTAGGATTTTAACTAAAGGTCGCCTCCTGGGCGTTTGTTGTGGTCAGCTACGCGCACACTTACTTTGAATCGTTTCTGTTTTTAAGTGGGGCATTTTTTTGGCGTCGTTGGCTCTTCCACAGACCACTTTCATCTGATTTTTAAAATTTATGCACTAAAAGGATATTACAGCAATAATAGCTGCATAGATGTCGTGTGCAATTTCGCGCATCAGTTCTGAGAACCGCTTTGCTTTGCAGGCTATTACGTGGGGTTGAATAAGAATCGGCCGAAGATTGGTGTTGCTGTCTGTGCTTCGTTCAAGGTGCCAGCTGCCACGAAAGCGCCCAGCGCTGACGGCGAGGATACCCCCGGTCAGGAGACGTGCGACTTTTTCCTCACTTGGCATATGCCGCGAGTGCACTTCCGATCGTCTCTTGTTGCATACAAAAGGTTTGGTGTTTCCGCATTTTACTCCGTGTGTGTGTGTGTGTGTGTGTGAATTGCCGCAATCCTGCCTTCGACACAGAGCTAACTTGTAGCCATGCGCAAGTCACACACAAATCGTATCGTGCGTTGACTCATAAGAAACCCGAGAACAAAGAAGGAGACGCGACGAGATGGGCACAACTATTTATTCACCCGCTAGACATGATGCATCGTTGTGCGTACGTGCGAGTAAGCGTACTTATGGAGACAAATGAAAGCTAAGGTTGAGTCACCGGTGCCATGCAAGTTAAGCTAAACTTTTTGGGGCAACCTCACACCCATACGCGTTCCCGTGGTGTGGGCATCTATTATCAGCGCAAGCAGAGCCCTAGATTTCCCGGCGTGACCATCAAACGAACATGCCTGGAACTGTCACGATAAATACTAGGGGCAAATCGCTACAAACCCATTCACAGGCATGTGTCACAACTAGAATTGCAATTGCCCTCAGTGTTCGACTACTGTCCTGTGTAGGGTTCTGGCTCCATTAAGAGCTGTGTAATTGCCATTGGTCCCTTCCTGCATCCGGCAAAACACAGACTGGATTCATCAGTATGTATTTGCGTGTGTGAAGGTAGTTCAACAAGGCACTTAAGACAAATGAGCAACAAAAATTGTAGTTGATGATGCTCATGGTTTTCTGTTTAATCACTTATGGGCCTTCGACATTATTATTAGATCTATTGCCTCATATAACTAAAATTGTGGCTCACTCATTCGCGACGTCAAAAGTGACCGTTCACAGATTACATCGAGTACTGCACTCACCAAGCGCATCAATGCAAACTTCAAGGGCTGGACGTTAATTCAAATTCGATGTCTTGAAATCCCTCACAATACTGCAGCCCCAGAATTTCGAGTTGAGGGCACAACGCTGTTTGTTACTGCGACAATTCTAGGCATTCTCTGGTCCGCAAGATTAACCCCATTGATATCAAAACGATCAATATTTTTACCTGATGACTTGTCCTCGAGTACCCAGTGGTTGATTTAAAATTTTTGCGTAAGTTCTTTTTCTTCCATCCATATGTTACCTTTTCATGTACCGCAGACGTTATACCCGTTGGTTCTCTGAGGATACAATTGCGGGCGCGAGTGAGCTTCTCACCTATACCTGTCAGAACATTGAGTCCTGGGATAGTGCAATTGAGTCGTGGCAGGCTCATATTCTTGAAGACAGGTAAGCAAATCAGATTCGCTTGTTGACGTTCTCGGTCGAAAACACATTCAAGCCTCTGCTATTGAGAACATACCTAGGTCTTTGAAGTGAATTTACCAATCTGAAGGTTCTACTTCATCACACTTTTTCACTCGTCCTTTTCCCCTTCTCTTTAATGAGAACATGTCAATCGAAACCAGTGTTAAAACCATGCTGTAGTCACGCAATCGCTTGTTAAAAATACCTCTTTACTCGTTATTACTATAGCAGTCGGCTCTGCTGAAATCGTGAATCCAGTTAAAGCAGTACGACTAATGTGTAATATTAATCGCTGCTTATTCTCTCAATGCGTTGTGTGGGGTCAATTATGTTATATATTGATGGTAACTGAGCCGGTTAAATCGATTCATCCGACTTGTTTTATTGGGTATTTCGCACTTACATCACCGATGTCAGTTTGCAACACAAAATTCTAACCATTCACACTATCAAAGCGGCTTTGTTTAGTTATTAGCAACATCACAGGCAATGTATAATTTACGCAACACTAAACATTCTGGGCGTCGGCTGATCCACACGAAGGTGGCAAAGGAATGTCTTTGAGCGACTTTGAAATAAGTCTCCAACCCCGTCGGACCGCTGAATTCCGTGAGTCCAAGTAGACTATGCAGATAACCTGGTAGACTGGAGATGACAACAACACAACCGTCGATTGGGTGGCTCAACCCAGTTGTATTGTTTTGTGTGTGTGTTTTGTGCATTAAAAGTCACACATGAGAGATGAGCGATGAAGGCTGCCAACCAACACAGCTCGGATGAACAGGCAAATGTATGCGTTGCAGACGTGTCGGCATTGTCGGTTGAGGCATCAGAGTGTGCATATGATGAGCGTGAATCATTACGATTCATTACACCGACAAAACAGTTGAACTAGACTGGGCACAGTGAGCTCTTCCAGTGTCAATGGGTAGCTTATGCGAATGCGAGGAATTCTCGGCCGAACTGGTGTCTAATTGCTCCTATTTTGAAAGTAATTCCCTCGAAGATTAGTAAATCAGTAAGGAGTTGTTACTTGGAGTACGCTGACATGGTTTTGTTAAAATAATCAAATGGGATGAATGAGAATTAAAATGAATTGGACAAACAGGAACATCACTGGAAACAATCTCAAGATTACTAACCTAATTTCGAAATCGCAACATAAAATGGGTTAATTGGGGACGCATAAGTGCGAACTGAATAAAAATGCTGCCATAAAAGCTGTGGTAAATAAATGGATAAGGTTGGGGAAAAGTTGCTAGAACAAGTTGCTCTAAAAAGGGCGAACTTTCCTCCTCATCCCACACACACTCTTTCCTCCATGTTTTTGTATCTGACAGCTTACAATTTTGGCCCGAGATTCTGGCCTCATCTCTCTTCTGCCAATACTCCTTTGTTCTTATTTACAGCTGACTTATTTATTAATTTCCTTGATTCATCTGGCATTGCTAGCCCAACACTGTCCATTTCCTTACCTGTTTACACTTATTTGGTCTAAACTGCTACAAATGTGTTCTAACTCTAACGTGCCAATTTGGCAACCCCCCTTGCAGCGGTCTCCCTCCCTGGTATAAGTCAGCCCTCTTCAACGAACTCTACTACCTCTCTGACGGAGGCACCGTGTGGCTGGACCCGATCCCCTCAGTCCGTGTAAACAAGAGCGATGACGGGCCTTCAAGCGCCAATACCCAGTCTCCCTCCGGCATCCCACTGGACGAGGTTCGTAGTCGCAACCCCAACGTCACTCTTGATCCCAATCACCTGACCGCTCGCAATCCCCCCACCAATGCTGCTGGTGCTGGGGATGAACTCGCCGACCTTCCTGAAAGGGAGCTTCTTCGAATCCGGGCAAACGTAGCCAACGACATGGGGCTTTTCGCCTATCTTGAGAGTGAGTTTTTTAATTAATTTTCACCATCTACACTTCTGTCAGGCCACATTTGTAGAGGGGAACTGAAATCGAAGATATTATCATAGGTGAACCAAGTCAGTCTATTTGTGGTCCCTATCCTATGTTGGAGTACGGATTGTCTAAAAAGTTGCTTATTTTCAAGGCCACGAATATCTTATGTACAATACCTATGACGTCCACTTCAATGCTTCTTGGGCTCTCATCAAACTCTGGCCGAAACTGCAGCTCGCCGTCAACTATGATTTGGCTGATATGACCATGAGTGAAGACCGTACTCCTATGCAACCGATTTTCAAGGGAACCCGGAACAAAAAGAGGATCCGCAGCAACACCCTCGCCGTCCCTCACGACTGTGGGGACCCAGAGGATGAACCCTGGGTTCGAATCAACGCATACACACTGCACGCGACCGACGAGTGGAAGGACCTCAACCCAAAATTCGTTCTCATGGCCTGGCGCGATTGGAAATTAACTAGCGACGACAACTACATGCTTTACATGCTCCCGCTTATAGTGGTACGTTCACCAGCCCACACCGTCGACCTCGCAAAATACACATAAATAGGAATTGTGGTACACACGAAATACCTGTTGTCTGTACACTCTTGCGTGACGCGTGTCCTATTACCTGGGAATTTACCCGTTCCCCCCCCCCAGCCACCTGTTGCTGCTCTTTGTCCTGTTCTACACACGTTGTGTTGGTTAATAAATGATAAGTGTCTAAACCGCCTGGCCAGACTGGGTCTAAGCAAATCCCAGTGAGCCGTAAACACCTAAATTGACGTCGGCACATTTTTGTTTTTATCGTTTGGGTTATTCATTTTGGTCTTGGATGTCACGCGCTGCCGGGCATTAAAAAGGGCAAATCAAAAAGTCACGATTCTAACCTCTTGAGCTACTTATCTGAAGGCTTGAATTAGCGCGAATTGGTTTCGTCGACCACTTGAACACTTAGATTTTTGTTTTCGTTATGAATGACCACATCTAGACTCGGAGTCTCGCACTGATGCAAGAGAACATTGTGACTTTCAAGTACACAAATCATCCGTACTTTTTTTCTATGGTGAGCTCTGCATTGTTTTTTTTAGAAAGTCATGCAAAGCTGCCTCGAAAGATGGGATAGCGATGGAGACGGATTGATTGAAAACGGAGGCTTTGCGGACCAAACTTACGATATGTGGAAGACCAAAGGTGTTAGGTAGATGTTTGATCCCAATTCTATAGGCTTAAGTCACTAAATCAATAATTTCGACCATAGCTTATTCGTCTGATTTTGGTGAGTGGATCTGTTATAATCTCTCCCGCTAATTTCGACACGAGGTCTTGGCTGAAGTTGGATATGTAGTTCTGGTTCATAAGAGAACCAACGGTACGTCAGGTATGGCAGAGCTTAGTAACTAATTCACAGCAAAATCCTACCACGACAATCGTTGAGGGGCAGCCACTTAATCATCACCAGAATAAGTTGATAATGCGACTTTGGTTCGCGCCCAAATTCTATTCTTGTGCCAACTGCAGAGATTAAATTGCAATGAAAGCGGTCGGGCTTAAAATCTCCATGTGAGTCTGTTGAATCTGAAACCCTTGATTTAAGCTCATGAATTTTTATTAAATGCTGTCCCGTAACTGTATGCTCTAATTGTTACCATTTCGACTTCGTCATTTTGCTTATCACTAGCTTCTTCTCCTTCCCTAGCGCCTACGTCGGAGGCATCTGGCTTGCCGCGTTATATGCAACTATAGAGATGGTATCTCACGCCCATTCAAACGAGCTTGTTCCTGACAAAAAGAGCAACTACGAAACTCTAAAAACTAAGTTTGAGAAAATCCTGGCTACTGCGAAATCTTCTTATCACGAAAAACTTTGGACTGGTAAGTAGTAGAAATTTCACTTTAATCTGATCAACGTTCCTGAATATCACGCAATTTTGGCGTTTGACATGAGTTAAGTGTCAACCTAGTGTATTAGTTAACTTTCTATAAGCCCTATAATTCATAAAATATGGAAGTAATTGAGAAGGGTCTGATCATTTGGAATGCTTTTTTGTTTGCCTGACTCTCAAATGACTGAATTAAAATGTCTGCATAAAGAAGGGAGTAGCATCAGCAACCATAAGTCCCTGAAATGGTTTAAGTTGTTAACCGATAGTTGTTTGATCACCACCCGTTTTTAAATCACCCTCGACTCCACCTCTCGGTTTTTGGAAGGGGAACTGTCGATGCATTTACGCAGCTTTACCGACGACTAGCGAGGTTTTGTGGTGGTCCGCACTGGCACCTCAATCAGTGTTTAGACATCCTCCACGTTCGTAGGGCCTTGCTGCCTAACTATGTGAATTGCCAAGTTTGAGAGCCACACGCAAACCGCTATCACGCGTGGTGTGAGACTACGTAAGCACTTTTTACGCGCTTTGATGTCTTCCTCTTACCTGGCTATACACTAGTGATTGCGCCGGCGAGGCACACACAAATGGGTGTGCATTCCCTCAATGTAACTTTGATCTCTGCTGGCTTTAAGCATCGCAACATAACACTCAATTGGCCTTTACACTACCAACCAATGGATTGTTTTACATACAGGAACCACCTGACTGTCCTTTGCACGAGGTTTAATGTTGACCATGTTACCCTGACCTGCCCCCGTTGTTTTAGTGTGCGTATTCGCTAGGTGTCCTTTTTGGATTTGTTCACCCAGCGCTCGTGACCCCACTCCAGCTCACTCAACTCTCAAGCGCATTTCCTGTTTGTACGTATTATCAACTGATGCTAACCTTTGAGACAACACATTCACGCTCTATGAGGTCGATTAGCCGATTTCAGTGCGTGTATCAGAGCCCTGTCTGCACGATTGGCGAGCGTGTGCGCGCTTGCCTCGCTCACTGACGCATCGAGCGGGCCACTCAGGGGGTTACGAGGGCCCGCCAGTGGGCGGCGTCGGTGGCGCCGTGGGGCCCAACGCTCCGGTCAGGTAAACAGATGGCTAGGTCTAAAAACCTTCTCGGTTGATCCCTGCAGCGTCCACTGAGTGATTAGCCAAACTTGGAGCGCTGCCTGCCAGTGCGGTCACGACAGATTTGTGAGAGTTTATCCGGTAGCATCATGCCATCACGTGGGGCACTTGGTTACTGTACCCGAGTCTTTCACGGCGTCTTCTAGTCTGTCTGACACGCAATCAACTTGAGATTTCTGGTGGCTGCGTCAAAACACCTTTTTTGCCCAGCCGGTTTGCAATTGTAGCTGCATGTCCCCGTTGAGCACAGCTGCGCTATTTACCGATTCGCCAAATTCATTCACCTTCCTCTAGGCACTGGTTACCGCTACGATGTACACGACAATGAAAAGAATCCGACAATAATGGTGGATCAGCTGTGTGGGCACTGGGTCCTGCGGTCGTGTGGCGCCCCACGTGATGCGGTGAGTGCTGTTCCCCTCTTATTGACCGGTTATACAGGGTGGCGTAGATGCAACCGAAGCCTAACGCAAATAGGTGGAACGAAATTTTAGTACACAATCTTGCAACCAAACATCAAAAGGTAAACCATCATTTGCAATGCAAATACAGCGATATCCAATGACAATGAAATAATGTTCAATTTATTTACAATTTAAAATTTTTAGTATTACGTCTGGGGCGCCATGTATTAAATCCATGGAATCTGAAATTGTTCATTGAAGTGCTTTTCATTTGAGGAAAGAAAGACTTGTAACTCGAGTTTTTTTGTGAGCGCCTAAGATTGATGAAATTCACTTTCGATTGATTCTACATCAGATTTTCTCTTTTTCGGAGTTGGCCGATTAACAATCAGTAGGCATTCCACATACACCGTACGAACCTTGAAATATTCGTGATTTCACTGCTCAAAAGTATTAGCCCCTGATTTTTGGCTCATGAGTTAGCTTTCGCTGTTTAATATCCCTCACTTTACAACGGGAAAAATTGTTACGTGAACACAGACAAATACTAAAGGCAAGCAGAGTCGAGATAATCAACCTTAAGTTGGATGAAAAGTCAACTAAGTCGTCGTGTGTTGTGAGACGTAGCCGTCTTCAGTTGGTGGCATGTCGGATATTTATGCTGCTGAAGCCTTGAAGGTGTATCTGCTTCGAACGGCTGCTGTTTGTGCAGGTCTTTCCGTATCCCTCCGTGTTTGTGATAGGCCGGTTGGATCTCAAGGAAGTCCATCACGATTTGTGATTTGAAGTCGTGACTTCGTTGCAGAGCGAATGACTTATAACTGGTCTTGTACACGCAGCCTCAGTTAAAATGTCTTTTTTTTCCTGAAGATCCTGCCGGGTGACTCAGTGTCGATTGTCATAAATTCAATTGTGAAGAGTAATTGGCAATCCGTTTGCAAGGGTAAAATGGGTGCCATCAATGGAATTTACCAGAACCTCGAAGTTGTGACCACAAACATTGAATCTCAGGAGTTCTGGGTGGGCATAAACTACTGCCTAGCTTCACTCCTTATACTTGAGGTAGGTTTTATGCAGCATAGTGTGGGTATTGTGGCCTCACTTTACTTATTTAATGTCATGAAAATTTCAAAAAATTGCAATGAAGCACCCCATGTTCTTGTCCCGTACATGCTCACGGATAGTGTTATTCTACAAAACACTTCTTGACGATCCGTTCGTATTCATTTTAGACAGGACACCAATCACGCCTGTTGCCCTCTATTTCTTTGCCTAGTTTTGCTCTTTCACGCCTCACGGCAGACTTGAGAGGCCTTGATTATTAGTGTTCTCACAAAATTCGCAACTTAGCCTCAATGTTTGCTTTAACATCAAGTGCCAACAAGCCTGTAGGTGTGCTCAGTAATGGCGGAAATTTCTTTAATAGGAGATAATTGGTAGTTTAGTGTTTCTCATGTGTTAGTGGGTCAGAACCATGTTTTCCTATTTAAGGGAATGCCGATCGATGGCTTTGACCTGTGTGGCGCCTGCTTCAATACGGTCTACGAGGACCTAGGTCTACAGTACCAAACCCCGGAAGCCTACACTCGGGAGAAGCACTACCGGGCTCCGGGCTACATGCGTCCTCTTGCCATTTGGAGCATTCAACAGGCAGTTGACTTGCGACAGCCTCGCTACACTGGAGCCAACGCTATGGAAAAATAGATGATTATTTGGGACCAATTTGCTATCCCAATCCTGCGTGATTTCCGATCTTTGCTAACTCGGATTACATGACTCATAACATTTTCTATTACCTTTTCTCAGACTATTGTTCCATTGATTTGTGCCATTCGCATATATTTCTCCAAATTTTGCACCGATATCTTGTATCAGTCTCAGACATGCGTGAAAAACTAAAAGGAAATCATGAATAGCTGCAATTGAGTAGGGAAGGTAATGAGATATCGTCACACATTTTTACGTCCAGGGAACCCTAGTGTTGCTTATTTTTATAAAAATTTCACCAAAAAAACGCTTTTCAACCCTAATATTTTCGCTCGCCAGCTCCACTCAACAACCATTCGGAGACCACTATAGAAGCATTATGAGGAGCGATTTATGGACGGGAAAGCATTCACGAAATCAGCGCCCCCATTTCTTAATAAGAGTAGTTGATGGGCTGTTTCGGTGATTAGGCGTGTCCGCGCTTTATTCAACCCTTTGCGCACCCACTCGGTTATCTAATGAATCGATCGGTGCATGGGTCACCGCGCTCAACTACTCGCAGATTTCAAATAGAAAACAACGATGTGCTTGTATCGGTCAATTGCTCAACGAAAAGAAACAGCTTTTCTTTTTAGCCTTTCATTAACGTTGGACTAGACAACCCAAATACGTCGCTGTTGCTACGTTTGGCAGCCTTTAGAGGTCTTCCATACAGGTGGTCTACGCTCATAACAATGCTTTTGCAAGTACTATAAAGGTAATTTGGCAAAAAAGTACACGACACCGTTACATTGGGTTGGGAAATATTAAAAACAAACCAATGGGATTTTACAAGTGGGTAAACAGCATCTCGAAAAGTGCATATTTGAATGGGTTTAACCCTGTTATCTAAAATAGAATAGAAAAGGTGGAGCAATAAGGCACAGCCATGATCGGGAGATAGAAGGGATGAATTCGAGAAGAGAAATGATATGCTGAAGAAGGTACTACCGCTTGAACATCCCGACGAGTCCATGTGGTTGATGTTTTTCAAACGGTACCTTGGGGGGAAGGAAGGTAAGGAAGCATGCGTGAGATGTGGGTATAAATAGGGTCGTGGGGTTTGTCATGAGGTTAGAGGCTCTGTTGGTTAGTTACAGCTACAACCGCAAACGAGCACCGGTTAGCAAACCACGCACGAAAACTATACCCGATTGCAGTTAGGTCAGTCGCTGAAGGGTAAAGTGTAAGCGTTAATCAAGAAAGCCCTTGTTTCTAAAAAAAAGTGATCATTTGCATACAGAGGACCATGATGATGTAATCGAAAGTTTCTATCAAGTATTACATCAGGCCGGAATTATCTAGGGCAAACAAATGCTTCCTTTAATCTACTTTTTTCCTCACATTTTGGAAGCAAACCGGGGCAAAGGACATTTTAAAAACAGCCGCGCAAAACCTAATCACCATGCTCTGTGGCCTCAATCGACCTAATAATTATGCGTTTTCAAAGACCGAGTGTTTGCTGCAGCTTTGCAAACGGAGGAAAAGAATTTCGGGACTTACCACAAGGTTGCAAGAGTAACGCAAAGGACGCGAGCAGGTTTCGTCAAAAGTTGTTCCAGCGAGGAATGTAAAAACAGCCGAAACCCCGACTCTATCGGGCTTCGACATGGGGCGCAGCACGGACTCAAATAAAGCCAAATCCAGTGCCCAGTTAAACGTAAACGGACGACCCGGTGAAATGACCTGTAAAATCACATTGAAAGAGAAAAATATGACAAAACTAAACCAGTTTTAAAGTTGCGCAGAGACAAAACAGTGGAGATCCGCGTCCGGGGCATTTGGCTGCCAAAATTAGCGACGTGGGTGCAGTCGGTAAAGGCCAATTCGTTAATGCTGTGAACTGCACATTATTCACGGAATCTGTTTATCAAATACCAGAAAGAAATTGCAAGGTGTTGAAACTGACGAGGTAAATTTGGGTCAATCCGTTTCATATTTTCTTTACATTTGTTGCTGCTACGTTATTTGTTATTTATGATAACGGCAAACGGGCTGCCTACTCGTTGAATTCTAAGGACCAACTATATATATTAATGTCTTCGATCTCGTTATTTTAGAGTACCTCAAACATTTAGTTAACTGGCCTTTCAGAGACCCAGAGTTAGCTGACATGACTATATTCCGGTGAGAAAAAATAACCATCGGTTGTATACCGAGAGAAACGAGTCTAGCATCAGGACGCTAAAACGTACACACATTACGTGACTCTAGTAAACCACCAAAGCGAAATCATTCAGTCGGTAGTAAATAAAGGTGGAGATCAGAGAAAACAACGATCGCTTCAGTGACTTTAGATGCTGCAACAACTGTTGGTTAGTTTTTTTTTAATATTTACGTCTCCGTCAGACAATGTGAAAACAAAGGCACAAGCCCAACACAAGTGCGATCAGCTACGGAAGCCAAGTATCGAGACGCACACATTAACAACGTTTAGATTGGTGTGACTTTAAAACGTTCGTCAAACTTTTAATGGCATTGGGTAAAAATAATCAATGAGCACAAAAAGCCTATGTTATTTTGGTGGGACGTACCCCATTAGATCTGTCGGGATCGAGTAATTTGTGTTCAATTTGCCGCTCTGTTGGCTGCTGTTTTACCTCTGAATCGTTATCTATCCCATTGGTCCCTGATTCTGGTCCAGTGTTTCCACGGCCTGAAGTCGTGGAAGAAGTCACGTTTGCGTCATTTTCGCTAAAGAAGACCGAATTACCGACCCCACCAGCGTCGTTTGTGGCCTTGTGGAGGAATGGGAAGGAAGGGGAAGTCGGGACGAATTCGACTACACTGGGAGATCGAAAGGGAGTCGGGTCGCCTGATACCTTGAGGGTCAGCTTAGGTGAACATATCTTAAAGGCCAACATTCGTTGGGAGTAGAACGGATTTCGACGAGGCGGGTTTTCGGCCTCGTTAACACATCCAATCACCGGGCACGTGATCTCGCGCACACTGACACGCAGTTGGATCAGGGCGCTGAAGGATAATGCAGAAAGTCTTGGAAAGGAGGACGTAGAGTTTATTCTTTGCAAAGTAATGGACATCTGTGGAGCTGAGTTAATGCACACAAAAACAACAGCTGGAATACGACTCGGGCAAACTTAAGTCACAAATGAAAATAAACGTAAACACATCCAAGGCGCTTTTTGCAGATGCTTTTAAAGGAATCACGCCGCACAGAAAACTTTATGGGCATGGCAGTGTGATGAAGGCGTTTCACTAGATTCGTCTGACAGAATTTTACGGAAAGCGCAGAACTCATTTGACAGCAGACCTCACTTTGTTATTAAATTCGACGTTTGCGCATGCACAGGAGGCTTCAAAAAACACCTACAGCGGTCAAGACGAAGCTAACAAAATCGGTCGCCAGAGTTCTTATCGAAGTTACACTGAGCCGCAAAGTAAAGGTAACAGAAGGCAAGCGTTTGTATTGGATGCGCGGAATGCGAAGCATAAACTTGATGCGATTCCGTGGGACGTGCCATATAGCGCAGAGGCACAAAAGAAGCAAACAGGAGAACCTGAAGGCGAACAATGACTTCCTCCCCGTCTGACCAGATGCTCCTTTAATAATGCCCCGATCCCCTACTTTGGTAATTTTATCAAGATACTCCATAACACGGATACAGTGATAGCATCTATTAGAATTTGCCAATGGTGAGAATTTAGATTTTTCGTGAAGAAACGTCCTTGCCTGTAAGAGCATTAACAAGTGCAGATGTGGTCCTGGAAGAAGCCACTCGTAGGAAGGGACGTTTTTGGCTAAAATATGCTTGTTTTTGACTAAGTATCGGGACGCTAAGCATCAATGTAAGAAAATTCTTCGATAAACATTTAAAATATAATAATAATCGCCTAACTGTCAGAAGACCTTATTCAGAAAGGCTTAAAGAGTGTAAGAGCAATTAAGCGTTGGATAATTTTTCCGAAGTTTACAAAAAAATATCCTTTTTTCTATTAGTTAAGCTGTCCATAATTATAAAAAGGACGCACGAGGCTTCGCCTAAGAATTATACCTTGATAAAATTAAAGTGTACATGTGGCGTTCAAGCTTAGAGGGGAAATCCTGTTCTTGAGTTGGCCGGATGTCAGTTGCTACCACTTGAGGTAGAAACAATGGCTCTTCAAATTAGAAAAAAAAGCAAAAGCAGGCAACAGTTTTATGTGCAGTAAGAGAGCTCCAAACGCCTCGGGAAAACGAAAAAGCTGTGATAATCCAGCAGACCACCGAGGCGCACTTACAATCGCCGTTGAAAATACGAAACCTTTGCCTTGAAGAAGAGGGGATTGACGGTTGTCAGGCTCAGAGGTTGCGGTTGTCCTGTCGGTAGAATGATGGCAAACTGGGAGGGGAAAACAGTTTGAAGTGAGAAACACTATTGTTAAGCTAAATAAACTGCATTTAGCTGACTTTGGTAGACTTCGATTTAGACATTACTGTTCTCAAAATCATATCGAACTGAATGTGTCTAAAAATTACGCACTTCATCAGGATCGGTAGGATTGAGTCGAAGCAGTAATAAACTTGCTAAAGGAGCAAAATCGTCTTGTGTTAAAACCGATTCATGTCATATTAGTTGAAACAGGTAAAACAGTTTTGCTATTTACCAAACACGCAATTCTTTGCGTCAAGTCTGGACGGACTAAGGGTACAGAAAAAGGAGGCTCTGCGGTACCCTAATTAAAACTATCCTGTTGTCTTTTCACATGATGGAAATCCAGTAATTCACTAAGATTTCACACCAAACGGAAAGCAACCCTCCAGGAAAGAGGGGAGTAGTTTTAACATTACCAAAACTATTAGCCCCTACAAACCACGCATCGACAGTGTTAACCGACCGACAAGACCCCAGAATGGTCACTCCTATGCGATTGAACGCCCTTGCTCATATGGGTGTGAAAATTTGGAAAAAATCTCTTAAAAATACCACGCCATTGACTGGGAATAGATATGCGAGATTTGGTCAGGACATATCCACAAACAGTAAATCGGAATTCGGAGGTTGCATAAGGCCAAGGCGAACAACAACAATACACGAGCGGCCTAGGAGCTTCTATTTGTCGGGTTGTTTTGATGGACACAGCACCACGGAAGATGCACTTAGATGAAAAGGCTGAGTATCCGCTTGACGGAAGCCACATAACAAATATTTATAAGTAAATGTGAAATTAAAAGAAGCAAAACTGCAATGAACGTCCCACCATTTACTTGTTCCCTCAGATTTAGCGGTTTGATAATGAGAGTATTCGCTAAAAGGCTAACCAAGCGCAAACTATTGCCCCAGTCAGCATGACTTGTTCAGAGTGTCTTTTCGAATCAGTTCAAATGCAGGTTTAAAGTAGCGCTTTAAAAAATATACGAGAATAAAGAATGTTACCTTTTCGTTTGACCTCGGCCTTAGTAAAAAGCTGCGCTGCAGACAAAGACGCATTCCTGGCGCAAATTCATCTGCCTTGTCCGACGCCTTCTCATCGGGCACAGCCACCAGCTCACCAAGATCAGTGGTATTAGAGTAAATCTCACTAGATCGTTCTAGAATTTCCTCTGGCTCCTCAATCACAGAATACCGCTGTCCACGAACCGCCTCTGTCGGTGAGTCTGAGCGCAAAGTGCGACTCAGCACGAGACCAGTGGGTCGCCCGCCGCCGTCGTGACGGGGCATCGCCAGACTGCCGACGCGGGCGGTCACGAAGACGGGCTGGTTCATCGACGCCACCACGTTAGCCGACACTAAGGAAACCGACGTGTCATTTGAAATCTCGCTTATCATGCTAACGAAAGTGATAAAAAGAAACGATCGCGGCAAAAAAAGATGCCGTTAACAAAGTAACAGGTCAAACCTCAAATATTCACCCACATTCTAATAGGTTTTCATTCACATTGGCCAGAATCACACAAGCTTCTAAGCTCTCAAGAATGTTTCGCTAGTTCTTACTAATCTGAAGTCCTGGAGCATGATTTGATCACGTCAGATGTGTCTTTTCTTCTTAACTCCAACAGATACGTACTTGAATAGCATGTGTGTGTGTGTGTGTGCGTCAAACCCTAGGCAGGGCCGTCCGGAACTAACCACCGTGCCCTAATGCGGTGCACTCAACTGTGCTGCCCGGCTTTCGGCCCAGCCTGCACCTGAAATAGATCTAAGTAGACAATAACTAAACATTAAAACATCACTTCTCATGGGAGAGGCAAACGGTTGAATAAGTTTATTGTGAATAAAATTGTGATTAAATTACTCAAATAAAAACATTGATGAATGTGATGAGGCTATGAGGGGCAAAGTATTTCCAAAATCCGGAGATAATTGGACAAGACCACGTATGTATCAAGCACATATTTTCGAAAGGGAGGCATTTCCGTAAAACGTGGCTTTATTTATATCGAGACTACTATACCTAACTATAGGGATTGAATTTTACGGTTTCGCACACTCTTCAAGTAGTTCATTCACTGTTTATCTCGCTAACAAAGGCAGCCATGCCATAGCACAGTTGATTAATAGCAATCGTACATTGCGGACCCCTGCACAGCGCGTCATTTGCCGTAATCAGATATAGCTGGCCTTGTAGACAAAATCGGTCGCTCGGGAATGTGGCAAGACCCTGGGCTTATCTCCAGAGAACCACTTTACCTACTTTAATGAAGGGGAATGCCTTGGATCTAATGTATTTCATTTCATTAAAATGAGTACAGTCGGTTTAAAGTAAAGGTAATTGACGCCATGCTGTAAGGGAGATATTTTGTTTATCGTAATAAATTAGTTTGAAAGTAACTCTTTTAATTGTTTGTGTCCACCAAGCTAGATCACTGCAAACACACCTTTAGCGGATTTATTTGGTGAGTCGATTGACTTGGGCACTCGAAGGGCAGCTACCTGTTCCACCTGCGGGAGAAGACGCCCAAGGAGAGTGCGGTTGGACCACGTCGACCCGAAGTGCTCAGGCGCGATTAGACCCGTAAAGTTGAAAATAGATGAGCCGCTGACTGCATCTTCTGTGCCATTGTATATGGCAATTGAGATCTCCCTGGGGAGATGGAATCCGCATTGCTGGAAAACCAATAATTCTAAAAATACTACTAATAACGTTTAGGTACACAATGTGGCTGACGCAACCTACAGCGGTCTCCAACATGAGGTAATTGTACCCCGGATGAAGAGTTAACGCATCGCCCTTACTGTCTACCAATTCCTTGGCTGCTTCAGGCAGCCTGCATTTACACAGACGCCTTGCATGGCAACGCGGATAAAAGTAGATATCGTTGTGGTCAATTTCACTTTGTGTCGTTGTGACGACCGGAGTGAGGTGGTGGTTTTTGTTAGGATGTGTCTGCTGAGGCTTTGGGACGGCCGCATTCTTGGTCTGTTTGAACGCTTGCAGAAGGCCTGACCAATCAGACATGCTGAATCCCTTTTTGTGGCGTCGAACACCCTCAGCGGAGAAAACCGAGGCTCCGAAAGTTGAGGTCTCGTCAGGGGTTGCTGCAGAGCTGCGCACATCTCGGTCGTAATCTACCACGAGGTAAAAAACATGGAAGTTACAAGAAACACGTTCTTCTGAATAAATGAAGAAAAAATTACACCACCGCCAATACAGATGCAAAGGAGTCTCAATTCGCCTGCCTAATCTCCGACGCGAGCGAGGCAAGTGTGAATTTGAGCCACACACATCACGCGTGGCTGTACAACACAAGGTCACATCTTGCGTAGGCTACTTTAAATCAGATGTTTTTGCCCTTGATTATCAATTTGGTTAAAGCCTCGTTTTAGATTACACGTGAATAACACCATCTCTTTAGGTTATGTTTTTTGCAGCAGGCAATTTCGGAAGTCAAACTACGGCAAGTTGAAGCATTTGTAATAGTGCAACATGCAATGCTACTACATAGCAAGGCTTAGGCTACAACAGGCCCAGTGAGATAAGCGTTGAACAATCCGCAAGGCTGCTTTAGCACTTCGTCTGCCGGCGAGCCCATTTCACCTGAGGAGAGTGTGAGTCCATCCTGGAGTGAGGCGAGCGACAAAGGGCTCGCCCTGTCTGGTGTGCTCAAGCGACCACGAAAGGCAAGAAAATCAATGGACGCAGGTCGCCTTGTCGGTTTCCCGTCAGAAACTGAGCCATCATCTGTTGCATTTAGGTTGTTGTTCGATTGCCTGAACATGCCCCGGCTCGACCTCCCTCTAAAGACGGCAAAAAATGCTCGTTAACGCGGGTAGATAATGCTTGAAAGTTTTGTGTTAGTGAAATCCTGAAGGCGACCATTTCAACTCTGAAATGCTTGCTATTGCATTTTGATCATAATATTGCTCTACAAAGAATTACATAAGATGCCTGAAGGTTGAGAGAGACGACTTCAGCTGATCAGGTGGAACAATACCTCAACTTTACCGATGTCATCTGCTTCTGCCAACTTAACCAACTACGACGCTTAATTGTAGGAACAGAGCTTCCACTTACGTGGCCTCAGAGTTCAGATGCAACACTAACAATCCCAAATAAAGAACTAGTTTTACTTAATATGCAACAGAGTAGTACCTAAATCTGTTTAAACAAAAATACAACAATTGCGATGACCGTTTTTTGCGAAAGAAACATGATTACTCATAAAACTTTCCAGTCACATAAACATTGCAAAACAGTGTCCGGAACCAGTTGCATGGCACACATTTGTGCGTAAATCAGATGCATTAGGAATCCAAAAGTGTTGGTTCGAAAACTGTATGTGTAGACACAGTGACATTTTGCAATGGAACTGGGTTACTGTGCACTTGATGGTCTGTTCTAGGGAGACAAGCGCCCACCTGACACTTGACCTTCGGAACAGCCTCCTCATCACAGATTCTTTGGCTGCATTTGAACTCCCAGAGGTGGAGTGACCGGAGCCGTGGTCCTTCGTGGTGAACGCGTTTTCAGCGGACGAAGCCGGCGCGCCGGGAAGGCTGCCCTCGACTGCCAAGTCGACATTAAAAAATTTCGCCTGATCGCAGCTTCGAAGGTCATTTGACTCATTCGACAAAGGGGGCTCCGTCCAATCCCGCACAACCGTGGACCGTCCCCGAAGTGAAACCCTTGCAAAAAAGAAAACGAGCGTTTCATTGCTTAAACGTCTAGGGGATTCACAGTGACGCTTTTGGCATTCTTATCAAAAGTACAACTGGTCACATGCACTTCTAATGGTCCTGCTGTTGTACGTTTTTGGGTTTAAAGGCAAAAGGCTGGGTGTAGGTGATTCAAGTTAAACTGGAGCCAAAAGTCAATAAAAATTTAAGCAGCGTGCGGATACACGCGATTGATCCCAAAAATAGCTCCCACTAAGGCCATAACAGAATTCAAAGCATGTCATCGTCAACAGCCATGTTAAGCTGTTTTTACATTGACAGCTCTAGAGAGAATTATCGAGTCTTAAACAAGACTGGCTGACAATCCTTTGTAAAACAGAAGTATGTCAGAAGTCAAGCATTTTCAAGCAAATAACGTTATACTTCGAGCAACGCGACTTCTCAAATGATTGTAATACTATTTAAACACACAAAAATTGAAAAAAAAGTTAAGGCTTTTTACTGACCCCACTGTTGTTTACAAATACAGAGCATTAGTAAAAAGTAACATAAACCGACACCACACCAAAATGTTGACCTGAACATTGATGTCGTTACCTAATTAACCCTCGAAAATAGAGACTAAACATGAGTAATGGTAATCTCCGTTGATGATGTCAGGGTGCTTCGAAGATGTGAATTCAATACAAATGACAAATGTCTAATAGCAGTCGAGTTTTAGGCAATAAGTATACAACCGAATGGACCCAATAGAGCATAACCTAATCAGTAGCCTATTTCTGACCACTGAAGGATTTGCTTCATAAGAAAACTTTCTAAACGCAGGCACATTTACACAATGCCTAACGAGTGCTCGCGAAAGGTCAAAGTTTCATTAAAATCGAAAGGCACCAGTAACTTACATGCTTAGAAATCTAACACTCACTTTTAGCAGTCTAAGCATGTAAATATTTTCATTCTGTTGTGGTATGCTTGCGATTTCTTCAGTACAAGAGTTAGCTCTGCTGTAGACCAGTTTGCAAAAGATTTCTTAACACAACTAGCACGTACAAACAAGTATGGTTTTAGTAGACCCTTCTTTAGCACACAAGAGAGGTGACCTTACAAGTGGGCCTTAGTTTTTCTGAAAGGTCTGACCGCTTAACCAGAAATTTTTCTTCTGAAGTTTTGACCTCTAGTGGATAAGATTGTCTGAAAATTAATTGACTGTGTGGACGAAGCAGTTGTTCAAAATGCTGCCTTTTGTAGACCAAGATCACTACAGCCAAATACAAACTAGGGCTAGTTGCTTATGGACGAAGAAGCCCACTAGCATGAAATTGTGCCCGTTATGCAGAAGGAGGCAGAGTTTTGCTTGAACTTACCGCGCTAGGATTGGTCGTACGCCAGCAACGAAGAGGTGAATTCGAACCACTTGCCTGCCGGTGTGAGGATTGGCATCGTCTAGTTCAATCAGACTCAGATGAAAGAGAGGCCTCAAGGAGAGCACAGCAAGAGGCGGGCAGACGCGATGGAGGGGCAAGACGTCGCTGGTCGAGCTGGAGGAGATGCGCGCATAGTGCTCGGCCACTGTGCTCACGGCGTGTTTCCACCAATCCTCCGGCCACCACGGCGGCAAGATGGCCTCCTCGTAAGAAGCCGTGCCGTCCTCAAAAAGGCTGTCAAAGTGGGAGCAGCGGTTGCTCAAAATCTTGTAGCAGTTTTCCAAATAGTCTGCTGGGGTTATCGAGAGGATCAGGGCTGTTTGGACGTACCTGCAATCAATGCCATAGAATATGAAGAAAATATTTGATAAGATAATCCGCGGTAGAATAAGGCGTCAACTTGGGTAAAAATTCATTTTATTTGTTCCAAATAAAATGATATATTGATTGAATTTGGTTACCACAGCTTTGATAACTGTGAAGGCGTATAATATAGGTAATTGTGTGCAGGAAAAGGTCAAAGCTAGGATTAGAGCTCACAGTAAAGGGATTACACAAAACGCTAAAATTCAACAAAATCAGAGAATGGTGCATTCTTACTAATTTTTGAAACATTCTGAACACACACTCACACTGTTGGGGTAAGAGGCACGCCTTATGCAAACGAGAACTTGGTCGAGCAGTAAGGTGATGTGCTGGAGGTCGCGCAAACGCTCGAGTCCAGGCAGGGACGACTGTGGTGGGCTTGAGGCCTCGTTGCTACCCCAACGAGAACTTACACTATTGTGTGTACCTTTGAATCAGCATGGTAATACTACACCAGAATTGGATAAATGCGAAACCTACGTCTGCACACGCTACTGTTTATACACATGAGTAAGCACCACTCGATGTAACAAGACATGCCAGAGGTGACTGCCAGTCTTACCGATGGGCTCCAGTTATTCACAAAAAAACTAACCGTTTAAAAACGGATGCCTCAATTGTATCAACAGTTTCTGTTCTCCACTGGACTTGCTGACAAAATGCCTGCTGCAGAAGGGAATACGTAGCAAGCTCCGTCCAGGAAGTTTTCATTAAAACCTCCGTAGCTCTTTGGTACAGAGATTCTGCTTGTATGAATTTCCGAGCATCCCTGAAATGCGAAAAGTGTGAAAGCAAAATTTCAATTACTTGTTCTTAAAACATTTAAGGAAAATCAAAGTTTTGAGCTTGAGTTAACACGAACATATCACTTGAAGATTTTTGTACGTAAAAACTCAACTGCACAAGCGAGAGAACCAATTTTTTGTGGTTAGAACTAACAATTTGGTAATGAAGGAAGGGACATCGCAGTGGCATTTTTGAAGGACTTCTGTCGATAAAGTACTCCTTTCTTCTGTATTATGATATATACAACTTTTAGCTTATTTCAGAAGCAAGTTGCTCATAATTATGTTTGCAGCCGTCATTTTAGGGCCTATTTTAACATTGGTTGCAAAAGTAGCATGTTCGACTTTTTTTTATTTTTAATCTCCTTTGGCGACAAGAAAGCTCCTGAGGCTTACAAAGAGGTATGTGAAGATGGTGCCTTTGCTTGCTTAACAGAACATTATACGAACAAATCTAAAGCATGGTAAAATTGGACCATCGTGCAACTGTGCAAAAGAATGCGAAGCACTTGACGGTGTGTGTGCAACACAAGCGAAAACGACGTAAAATATCTTGGATTCGATTAAAAGCCTAATAATGAAAATACGATTGTTCTCAATAACATAAATCGACAACGAACAGGTTCCACGAGCAATGAATTAGCACACACCACGCCGAATCCTAAAGCGCACAAAAAAAACATGCAGTATTTTGGTGGAATTTCAAAGGTTTCGTGCATTTTGAGTTGAACTCAATGAGCCAAAAATTAAACCACATGTTTACCGCCGATAACCAATGAAACTCGAATAAGAAGCAAACAGAGGTAAACGGCCAAAGGGTTGGTATTTCACCGAGGCGCAATGCAGGGACTCGCACATACCATCGACAGCTTGTGCAACTTGATTGTGGAACTTGACTGCGAAGTGATATCGCATTCAGCCCTGACTTTGCACCACCGGATTTCCATTTTTTTTGAAATTTGCAATACCCTTGGAGTAGTCACACTAGCACTATTTCTGGTGACCTGAAATCACACGCGGTTAATTTACCATTTATCGAAGCAGAACCATGAATTCACCAGAAAGACAACTAAAGGTCTTTAAACGAAGCGGATATAAATAATTTAGGTTCGATTTTGAGAAAACAATTGGGCCTTATTTCACACTTCAAAACCGAAATTGCTTCCTTGTCAACCAGCTGTTTGCCAGTTTTTAAAAAAAAGAAAGAAAAATAAATTTACGTAGTTAATTGCTGCATAAACTAAAACCAGATTTGTTTGACCTCACGTCTTGTTAAATGTCCGCTCCCAGATTAGCTGACAAATCTCCACTTTGTCAGGCGAGAATAGACCTGCTGGAGGAAGCCTGAAGCATGACTACAAGGCGCTCGCTGCGGCAGGCCGAACAAATTAAAAACAGTTTTCTTGATTTTCATCACATTACCGTCTTACTGTGCTGGGGCATTATCTGTTTGTTTAACGGGAGTCCGATCAGTTTGACTTCAATCAAAAAATACTGCAGGTCAGGCTATGAGTTTACAGACACTTTCGATACCAAACAAAATATTTGAATCGACAGTATTGGAAACAACGGCCAACGTAAAATATGGTACATTAGATACGCCATACTTAGCAAAAAGCGGTTAGCATTTATTTCCACATAACCTACTTGCGGCTTTCAAGTATCCACTTATAGTTTCCCAAAAAACAACAGAAGCACGTGGTAATTCAGTGAAGTAATTGCCACACTCAAATCAAACACTAGAATACCAAAATGCACAACTACGCTGAACTTTCAATCCACTCACCAACAGCTAGTAGAACTAATGTAACCTACGAGAAGTTGTTATGAAAGAACGAGACGTAGATGTTTAGTTCTAACTAGAGAAGGTAATAAACAGTGATCTAACCTATCAGAAGGAGACAGTTGTGTCAGTGGGAGGCAGAATTAATGTTTTAGAAAAAAGGCAACTGCGCGCAATGGGGCCGCAGCAGAGGGCCACAGATTTGAGCCACACCACACAAATCGGTAGGAGCCACTCTGGGCAGCCTACAAAGACGAGAGGCGATGAACATCAATTGCCGTGGTTGAGCTGTCAATTTGGAATGTGTGGGCTAAGGGTGTTTTTAGCAATGCTTACCGATAAAAGTCAGCTAACTCCAGTGACGTATACATAGAGGCACGCTTAGCACCATAGCAAAATTGGAAGAAAATGCAAGCACCGGCAAATTTCCGATAGGTTTCTTCAAATGACTCTGGTGAAATGAAAGCCACAGCCAACTGAGCGCCAAACGAACCTGCGAAATGCAAATGTCCAGGTTTTTCAGATTCATTGTTGCTACTCGTGAGATTTCGCAGTAACTTCAGCATGGACAACAGCATAATATCCTGTGTTGAATTGAGTGCATCTTTGTCAGAAGAACGTTCGGCGTTTGGCCAGAGTTCCAAATACCGACCCAAACGTGCAAGAGCTGTACACGCGCGTCTCCACAAGTCAACAGTCCACTGACTTGTTCCGATGAGAATTTGGTTGTGAGAAACAATACGACCGGATTTAGCGCTGTCGTCGGCCACTACTGATGCAAAGACAGCCCGCGCCAGGATGTTGAAAGTACCCTCAGTTTGTAGAGAGGCATCTTCGAGGAAATCCAACGATTCAAGTGCTTCAAGACGCGCCGACATAAGGATAGAGGAGGCTGTTTCAGACAAAGTCGAAGGACAGATTGATTCGTCCTCGGTGGTCAAAACACTGGGCGAACAAATGTGGAGACTTGAAGCTTGGAATATCTTATTTTCAATTAAGTATTTCTGCCGAAGTTTCCTGAAATGCTCCGGTTTTATCGAGCAAGGAGTACCACGGCGAAAGATTTCGAGGGTTTGAAGGGAGCAAATGAATGTCCAAAAGTACAACTGGGATGGCGAAACTCGCAGCTGAATTCAGTAAAAAGCACTCTTGTCAAGGTTACACAGACAAAACAGCACAAACTAATGCAATAGTATGAAAAGCAGCATGCAAGAAACATATGCTGATTTCGAAAATAAACTAAATTGACTTAATCAAAGCAGCACCGTGACGATGGTCTTTACGTGGAAGTGTCGAGTGGGAGATGTCCAAACCAAGGCTCGACATTAAAACCTAGAAGTGACCATTCATTTATCCACATTTGCCAGCATGGATGCTGCCATAGGGATGCCAGAAAGGGGTATTCAGAGGTAAGATTTTAGGACAGGTTTAAGGCGCCCATTGGCTGCTTGGCTCAGCAGGGGAGAAAAGTCAAATAATCGCATAACAAATTGAGAGTGCAATTAGCAGGCTTTACTATATGTTCTTTTAAGGCACTTCTAATGGTGGAAAGTAAATCAGAAGAGTCACTACAGGTGAGGTGGTGTCGCTACCTTGGTCCTCAAGATCTCACCTTAAGATCCCTTGACTCCTTGCTTGCAAGACGGATGGTGCGGACAGCACGAAGAGGTAATTCAGCGATCCGGTCAGTAGCCTGTAAAAGAGCGCATTGGCGCGAGAGTATGTGCGACCGAAGCTCGAACAAGTTCGCCTTCCGTGTCCTCACTCGCTCGACACGCAGCGGGTCAGGAAATGTTGAGATAATGTTAGGAGTCGACACAAGCGTTTCACAGGGATTGGATAGGAGAGAGCGCACCCAGCTGGCAGGCCCTGTGGTACACAAGTTACAAATGAACTAATTCCGTGCGTGACATTAACAATTGTCCAAAAATATCGCCCCTTAAAGGACACAATCAAAGGGCACAACTGAGTCCCATCAGTCAAATTTCGCTGATTTGTCAGGCGTTAATGACGAGGCCTGGCGTGCAGTTAATTCCACTTAAGTCGCTGAAAATGTATATATTAGGAAGTCAAAGGAATTAAAACACAATTATGAATGAACTCTCGATCCGTTAGTAAGAAAGCCCATTTGACTCTTTGTGAGGTCACAAGATAGTAAATGATGAAATTCGAGTCGGAAGTTGTGCATTAGCGTCTGAAATTTTCCTAATCTACGACACAGTCTTTCAAAAAAATATTTCAAGTATTAGAGTTAGAACGAAAAAATCAGAGAACAGTGTGCTTTAATCTGTTATCAGGCCTTAAACTCAACTCCCTTCTTACGACATAGGCGTATCAGGAGGTACAAGCAGATTGACTCTTAGTGGCGATTCCATATTGCCGACAGACACGACTCGTGTTGAGCAATGTGAGCTCGGAATGCATTTCAGAAAAAAAAAACATAAAAAGACATGCAATGTGAGTGTCTACTACCGTCGAAGCTAAATTGTTTGGCATAATAAAGAAAGACCCCAGAAAACCCATCGTCCTTCATTCAGCAACGCAGAAAACAATGTGAGCTCTCATTTTATTTGGAACAATAAATGAGGCCGAACAGAATGTGAATAGGTGATACGCCCGGTTGTCACGGTTCGACTGAGTTCCACCCTGTAGTGTTAGCAGGACATGTGACAAATCATGAATCTGATGGGAGGAGGAAGACGACCAATGATTCAGAGACAACGTGTGAACAGGGAAGAACTAAGGGAGTGACCTAGGCAACAAGCGATTTTAAGAGGCTAACTCGGGAAGTTGATTGTCCTGACAAAGCATTGCACATCCCGGTAAAAATGGATGAACTCTCCGTACCGAGGATAGGGATTTTCAGTTTACTTCGCAAATATTGACGGCTGTAAGCGATTAAGCACTGCCAATCCTAAGCCAAATCAAACTTCTGAATGCTATGGGTTAAACGCATTGCCCAATTTAAAAGCAAAGTATTTCCCAAGGAATATAACTATCATTAAGCCAATAAAATTTCGAGGCCAAATGAGATAGGGCTCCTCAAAAAAAACATGTATGAGGTGGTGGCTTACCTGCAGCAATGAGCACAGGGTACAATGTGACTGAGTGAACCACACGGACATTCATTTCTTATGGCGGTGAAGTAAGAGAATTCTTAAAGAGCATCAGCGCTCTGTAACATGCAGCAGGTTCCTCACGTGAATCAAGGGACTCGTTACGACATTGCGAACTGTTTATGCTTTCGAATTTCAAATTTCGATTCACCGGGTCCGTCAATCTGAAATGCGGACCAACCACCTTGGGTGGTCGGTCAGTGGCCCTCGATGTCGCTCCTGAGGTGAATGTGGCGAAGTGGTTGGCTTGCGTGAGCAAGAGCAGGAAAATCTTCTTGAATTTAACCTCAAGCTATGAGGATACTCCGGATGGTGTTAAACATGGTTCTTAATCACCACTTTTGGAGCGGAATTTCTTGCTAGTAATTTTTTTAATGTCAAAACAGGATCTCTTCAGTTGCCACACCCACATTTCCCAATTATGTCGTCCTCTACGTTAGGTGAATGGCCGTAAATTACCCTTCGCCACATTCCCGCATATCTACTGACTGCATTCCGCAATACCTATGCTCATATGCTAACCTTGTTCATCCTTCGAAGGCATGAGTATCGCAAAGAAAATTGCCATCAGGTTGGTACAACAGTTACGTCCATTTTTTTTACAATTGCTTCAGCTATTATTTATTAAAATCCCACCTCTTTCTATGGTTTCAAGCGTCACTCTAACTAATTTCTAGCATTTTTAACAGAAGTAACGCTTACTAAAAAATACTCTCTTAATTACTGTTTACTTTATTCTATATGGGAATTCTTGGGAGCGGTTATTTCCCTTGAACAGAGCTGATGCATTGAGAAAGGTTTTGTCCCATCTAGTGAATTTAATTTGACGCACAAGTCGGTATGAGTTCAATACTCTTTTAAGAATGAAAACCAATGACTTTTGAAATTCAAATGGATCACTACAATCAAGACTACAGGCGGTAGAAGGAAAATACTGACTAAAAGATCATTGTTTGACCTCACCTTAATCGCAACAAATTATCAACAAGCCTTGAGGTTCATTGGTCGAGCAAAGTTCCCACCTCAAGGCCCGAGATAAGGACATTGGCAAAAACAATTGCCTCCATCAATGGTGTTTTTTGGCTGTAGCAACGTGTTCTGGACCAATACCACCTGGGCTTGCGATGAGCCCATCAAGTAGTGTTGGCGTCAATTGGATAAATATGCCAGCCAATATTCATCTGCTCCCTTTCAGTTAACTTACACATGTCCCGTAGGTCTACATAATGAGAGGATTACCTACGAACCTCATACATTCTGAGAAGAAATTGCGACAGAGTTTTAACCATTTTATAAGCCTTGTTAATGGGAAAATCACGAACCATTCTCCGCTGCCATAGCTAATTCCGAAGTCAAGCAACTTTCTACTCTGTCCATGTAATCCAAAGCCTCCTCATACATGCTCAAGCAGCAGTAGAGCGACACTATTTCTTCCTAAAAAGATCAAGTTACACCAAGTGAGTTAATAACGTGGAATGTTGGTACCCTCTGTTTGATGATAAAGCAGACAAATCGTGCAATATTGCAGTATCTGGCACCTTACGATGACTAATTCACTTTGTTTTACGTACATAGCTGTACGCTTGACATCTACAAGCACCTAACACAGATCCCCATGTCGCTAAAACCCTTAGCTTGACCGAATTGTGAAATAACACTCACAGTAGTCCGCTCAGAATGCACAGGTCTTAAATTAGTCAAAAAGTTTGGCGTTACAAAAGCTCTAGGGCTTGAATCGGTGACTAGACATTTGGTGTGAGAAAATAAAGATAACTTCTTTTAACGTTCTTTTATCCTGACAATCCGACAAACAAGGCAATTAACGAAGCCTGCTAATGAGCTATAAGGTAGCTAAAATACCAGTTGGATCCGCGCCTCCGAACGCGCACTGGCCAATCAGCAATGACTGTTACTGGAAAAACTTCAAGCCAGAATGCCTCAGAGCCATGGAACCTCGGGACTTCGCGCTGCCCACAGCGCACTCAGCGAATATGTTTGCACGAGTGCGTGTAATGCATACACACATCCAGGCGTAAGCACTGATTCATGTTAGCATCCACCGATTGTCAACATACTTCGACGCTCTGATGCATATTTGCGACTCACAAAAGCGTACACTTGTGCTTGACATTTGGGGCACAGAAGCAAAACACTAAGGAATTCAAGTGATGTTTGCACATTGCTATTAACTCAGTGATGCCAATTTTTCCGAAATTCGTAAACGCCCAATTCTTGGCACTGTTGCATGAAGATTTTCTGCACCAGACAAGACTCGCTGTCTACTTGCCGTAGGATCACTTTGGAATGTTCAGTGATCTTTTTCGTGCGGGAAGCAATGACTACCACAGTTTCCATCTCCGACAAAAATGTGTTTGACGGTACCAATAAAAGTGAGCATTTGTGACACTGAAGCAAACCGTTAGAATTGAAAGACTGCGGCTGCGGTTAATTCCTTAAAGTGAGGAAGTGCAAACAATGTTTAAACGTTAGGCTGTGCTTCGACTTTGGCGACGCCCAGCGAAACGGTGTTGTTGGTGATGGGCACAATGGACAGGATAGATGGCGCCAAACGGACCAGCCCAACTCCATACATTTTATCCACTTAACTATTGCTACGTGTAGTTCCATAATGTCATTCGACAAGGTGACACCTTCCCCCAGCTTAGGTAGGAAGCGACGCCTAGAACTTTGGCTGAACTAGTACTAACTGCTGATCGCATGTACGTTCAACTACGATTTCGCTGTGCGATACCATGTGTCACCGTGGGCGAGATAAAACTAATTCAGCATACATTAGCTCGATGAATCCAATCCCGACTGCTGATCCAGGTTGGCTTATTGCCTCTTCTTTAAAATGTCCATACACTGATCATTTGTAGTCTCGTAAATCATATTTAATCAAAAAATGATTCATTTCTATGCCACGGAACCACGCAGAAGATTATCGATCTTCCTTCAGCTCGCCCTTGAATTAACTAAATTTTCGAGGAAGCAAACATCCAATTCCTTTTACTCGCACATTAATTACCCTAAAAAGTCGTGCGAACCTCGTAGGAGCGGCTCTAACTCGCCATCTTGGAGCACTTCACTGACGCGTACACACATACAACTGAAAGTACATAGTTATGTTCATACTCTAACAAAGTAACATGGCGTGCCTGAGTACTTTTAACTTCTTGAGTCAACAGTCCCACAATCTCACTTTAACCGCCAACTTGTTATTGCGAGCGTTTACTTCAGACTGTAAGACATTTTTACCAGCCATGAGTAAATTAAGTTCACAACCATGGTCTACGAGGCTAGTAGGTGATTGGGGCACAGATCGCCAACAGGAAAGGAAGTAGCTAGACACTAGGAATATGTCCCTGCAGTAAAGACAAACAGAGCATGTAATAAGTCACACACACACACACCTGGCAAAAGTAATACTCCATAAAATCCCAGTTTCCCTCTTTTTGGGATTCTAGCAATTCCTTAGCACGAAGTTCTCTGGCACTGAGTGTGCTACTAAAAGCTCTCAGAACAGCATTCCGTAGTTTGACAAGCAACGTTTGCCAGGCGCTCGGGTATGTCTCGTAGTCATTTGGGAGGTCGATCAAGCTAAAGAAGAGGTTTTAATTGAAACAAATCTATATTAATATGGTTATTATTATTATTATTATCACCATCAGTAAATCAGTTCTTTTCTAGAGCTCTAGCTTATGGCAAGTCTCCACGCTCTACAATAGGTACTGAAGCGTCTACTTATGGCTACGTTTACTGTATCGTGAGCAGACATTTCAACTTTTTTAGTGCTTTACTCGAAACTTTAAAGATATGCACTCAAGGTGCATGCGAAGGAAGATTATTCTAAAGTCATGAGTACGTTAATACATAGCGACATGTTCAGGAAAAGTGAAAAATAACTGTGACAGATGGAAAAAAGTGTTTGTCGACACATTTGCCTACGTAGTGCAAAAGCAAAAGCTTGACTAAAATCAAAATGCTTGAGCATGCGTTGATGTAAGTAGTCAAACACATAAATCTGATTCGAGCATGATTCAAAGTGGTTAAATTCAACTGAGTGGAATATTTTTCTTACACTACGAATTAATTTATCAGTAGTATCGACAATTTTAGAAGTGTTTAGCTGCTCATGTTAACAACTTGATGTAAAAATGGGTAATAAAGCGAGCTAGGAAAGAGAAGTTAAATAAAAGAGTCAAAGCCAATTGAATCATCGGTTGGCTGTCCTGTAATTTTGAAATCTACTTGCAAAACTAGTGCTTCACATTTACGGGAGTTCGGCTTTTCCCTGTTTTGTATACACTGCTAATCATTGAAGGTGGGATCGAAGCAAGCAATACGATGAAGAAAATGACACACTTACCAGTCAACGGATTCTATGGAGAAATCTGCCTTCATTTTGGTAATTATAGAATTTTTCGAAGAGACTTTCTTCGATTTGTCAGTTATTGTGATGAACAGCCAATCCGTCAGGTTATTTGATGACAAATAAATAAACCACTGACTCAACTCACTCTTGCCTTGATTCGCGTAATAATCTGGATCCTAAAAGTGGAAAAGAGTAAATACATTTTACAACAGGGGCCTATAAGGCTGACACAAAACATTGAGTAATTAAGTGCTTCAAAGATACTAGTCCAGGTAGCTACTAAAATTTACAGCACAACGGAAAACGAATATTAATAGGTTGGTAGCAATGTAACCCATGCCATGTAAAATATGGTTGTTCTGCGTACACGTGCCGCCAACCTTGCAGGTCATACAACAAGCACAAGATTTCCCGTGGCACAATACACAAGCCCACAAGTTTTACAGTAGCCAAAACATTACACCTAAGCTGCAAGGCAGGAGACCGTATGTATTTTATTCGACGTGCTCTCACAAGCACATTAGAAAAAAATTGAAGAGATCAACAAAGCCAATTACTGATAAACACACGTGCGCAAATATCAGTAGAATCAGTTCGTCAATTGTTAATGGATTTAAGATTTAAGCATTAAAGCCGGAATACGCAATTACGTCCAAAATAATGTATGGGAGCTATAGAAAGTCGAAAATGCGAGAGATCAAGCATATAATTGTGGAATTTGAATAACTAACAAATAAACCCGACGACGGATTTTCAAAGACCAAGAGATCGGGCCGTGAGCTCGATGGACAAACGTAGAATGATCAAACTGTGGTAGCAAAACCAAAAATGCACAAATAAAAAATGATTTTATATTACTTGCATTAAAACAAACAAAAATGTAGGCAACAGGATGAGCCGAGCGGTTGACAAGGCCATTTTTTACGTTGTCTGATATGTCTAGCGGTACGAAACTCGGGTCCACATGAACGCTTCGCGAAGGTAGTCCTGGTCGGCGGCTCCATTGGACGGGTTGAGCTGCTAAACTCGAGGAACTAAATTCTTCCACACGATCCTTTGCCGACTTACAGCCATAATCTACAATCGTTAGCGCTCTTAATTATAATTATAATTGTGTGACATGCTCACCTAAGTAAAAATTCTCTTTTACCACAATATTCAGTTGGGGCAAATCATAAAAGATTTGGTTTGAGAAACAGAAAAACCCGAAAAGAAGAATTATGGCATGAAAATTTGGACTTGAAAATTCCAGGTTTTGGTGATTCGACCTCAGTTTTAGGTACATAAGCCAGCAAATTACATTTAAAATGTCTAATTATGCAGCAAGGTAGAGTGAAACAGGAGTAGCAATTTTTAATTATCAACGTGGAGAATACAGGAAATTGAATAGAGCACTTTTGTATAGAACCAGCTTCGGCTTTAAAATGACCACAAGATTAAAGACAAACCTGCGTCAGTATTCCATTTCAACTACCGAAAGATTAGAAAAGACAGCAGATCTTAACTTTCCTACTCGAACGTCCATGACTGAGTAATTTTACTCTACCAATAATCCTTAGCTTAAAAAATACAAACATGACATGGCTGTAAATTATGCAATATTTTAAGTTATCTTTCATAAAAACTACAAACAAGATCGTTTGCAAACATGTTTTACTCACAGTTATTTTGAAAGTTTATTGGAAGAAAATTTGGAATACAAGCTGTATGAAATTCCACAATGTCCAGGTTTGAGGTAAAAACCAGCTATCTTAAATAATAAACGAATATTTTTCTAATGATTTGAGGCATTTCAACGTTGATGATACAATCATCTGATCTGAGGAAGTCAAAGTCAATGAGTTTAGTTTTTGTAATAACCAAAGTTATGCCAAGGATTTATTGAAAAACAATGCCAATGTGTTAAAAGATGAGTCAAAGCACGTACAGAAAATGACAGGTCGACTGTCAATATCCATTTTCGTTAAAACGTATTACAAGTCTGTACAAGTATGGGCGGGTCCCAAATAAAAAGATGATTGGTTTAAACGGCGACCACTTGAGCCGCGTGTAGGCAGCATCACCGACGATGGCCAGTTACAACAAATCTCCAGGTCACAGTGAACTCGATCGTGGTCAATCGCACATTTTTTCATGCACGGGCTTCAAAGTTATGCAAGATATCCATCTGTTTATTCAAGGTACATTTATTTATAAATACATTTTTTCTACGACAGATGGCACATTGGACTCGTTCACTTATTCACTATGGGCACTTATGCATACATTGCAAATAAGCTTGGTAGCAAATTGTGTAAATATCTACCGGCTAGACAAAAAAATTTACCTTCAAACTTGACTTCCCTTCTTAAAGCGTCGTTTAATCTCGTTTGCGAAACTTTAGTTCAATCTGAAAGATTTGACGTCTGTTACTTCAGGCCGAGTGATAATAATATGTTCGGGGTTTATTTAAACCTTACAGCCGGTCGTAGCAGGCAACTCTGACAATCTACTTCGATTGGATTCGCACATGTGCATTAAGTGCTATGTCTAGCCCTCCAATCAAATAATATTTTTGGAAAGCAGGATATTGAGTATTCCTAAAAAATTTACTGTTTTGGAGTATTTACAGATATTAAGACACAATAAAAACAAAAACAAGCATAACAAATCCAGAGCTCTTAGAATATGCTAAAATCGGTGAAATTAATTATTTTATTATAGGTATCCAGAAAATGATTTTAATTTAGGTGCAAGCATGCACGATTAGGCAGACAGTATGGGAAATCGATCCATATATTCAAGCAAAAATTATCTTTACACCAGTTTTCCTTCCATTTATGCTATCCACTTCATGATTCAGACAACACGGACGGATTCTTACTTGTTTTAATTTATGCAATTAATATCGCCTTGAATAAAACTTGCGCTATTGTTTTCTTTTCATTATTAGGACGGTTTCTGCCACATCAATAAACTGAGCTGCTTTCTTGGCAGAAAGAATTGATGTAGTATTGTTTGTCCCATTCCTTATCCTAGGTAACTTTATCGTGTCATTTTTTAAAATTAACGAAGTGCCTTAATGACGGTTTACTACTGTAAGCCGTTTCGAAAATTTGTAGTTAGGGTAGAGTACTCGAGCTATATTATGTAGAAGAAATACAACAGACCGGGGTTCGTCGATTAATTACAAGCAAGAGCCACACAACAGGCGCCGTACATCCGAGTCCACGAAACCGGCTACGCTTCTCTATATATACTGCTCATCATTCGTGTCTTTCTCTGGTTGGCTGCACATATTCCTTGCATGGCACTGGAACGCAGAGACAGATGATGGGCTGAGGCCAGCTTGATCCTAATAGGTCGCCAATGTTGAATACCCGAGCAAGACCATGAATAAGACAAGTGCAACAGAACAGACATTATTGACCAATCACAAGCTAGAACCACACGTCAAGCGCCCTCAATCTGAGTCCAAAACGCTGGTCACGCCGCTAACTATATACCACACCACAGTCGTGTCCTTCTCTGGTTGGCTGCTTATCTTCCTCGCTTGCCATTTGAACGCAGGGAGACACAGGATTGGCTGCAGCCAGGTGGTCCAACATGTCTGCGCCCTGATCCGACGCCACTGTAGGTTTCGGCCCCATGGTATAGTGAGGAAGAGAATGAGACAAAA